AGAAAATTTAACCTACTTCTTCATACACAGTTACCCCTTAATGTATTCTCTAAATATTTTTTTGATAATGAATTGTCTACGAAGTGTGGACGAGTTAAGTTTACATGCTATAAAATAAAGAAAATCTATACGTTTATCAAACACATAGCCATCCCAAACATACTTGCACTTGAGACTAGCATGGTATGTCATAGTATGTCATAGTATGCTATGAGATTAAAGAAGTTATAATGATTGTTTGAAGCAAAAACAGAGTTAACACGCCATGTTAAGTTGTTCTATGCTATACATAATATGTCTTCTTCTAGTCTATTTCCCTTGACAACGCGAGCGGGTGGTTATTAGCTACGCAGGCATTGCATCGCTTTTCTCCTTGTTGTTCCCCGTACATTGTTCCTATGAACTAAAAGAAACAATGGCATAATTGCTCTCTTATTATTATTTCTTTGATCCTTAGTCTCACATTTTATATTTTTTGAATATTATATTTTTTTGCTCAAACGAAATAACAATTAAGGCTCGTCTATATTTTATCCACCAGTTGCTGATTGTAATAATATTTTTTGTCTGAAAGCTTAATCTTTCTGTCTGAGTTGTACGTAATGATCACCATGCTGAGTACTTTTAAAGTTACCCCCATGTTTCCTTGTCTCGCCTACGCCGATCATACTTTCCCATGATTTTGGTTTCTCGAAGTGATCATTTCTTAAGATCTTTTTTATTTCTTTTACATATCTGTTCTTTGTTACATTCTAATCTTGGAAGCCCCATACTTTAATCTTAGTTACATTAGAGTTTCGTCTTGTCTGATCTGTCATTCATTCTCTTACTTTTTTTCTTGAAGGTTATCATTGGCTAGATCTAAAAAGCTAAATTGCCTGTTCTAATCTTTAATGCAAGATTGTTTCCTGCATATAAAGCTGATTATTTCTTTTTTTGGCATTTACCGATTATATTTCCTCTTCTGTATTAGGAAAATAGTTTACATGTTAGATGGAAGAAGAGTCATAATAAATATAATTAAAGCCACAATGTAGATGGACGAAGTTACCAAAAAAAGAAATAAAGGTAGTCCTCAGCTTGAAGGTTTCTCTTAACTATCACCTTGTATGAATTCAGTTCATGTGTCACCTGTTAATCAATGTAACCATGAATACTGGTCGTCTTAGACGGCCAAAAATTCGGCTAATGACTTTAGGGTCCAAACATTTACTGTTTCCCTTGGCGTCAGAGAATGCCTTTCATTTGACTAACTTCTAGTGGACAACTGAAGGGTGATAAAGTCCTTGAACTTTTAGATCTAGAAATAGATATAAAGAAGCTAAATTAAACTATTGTATATACAGCACACGTCTAAATGTAAGTAAACGAAGGAGTAACAATTCGTCGCTGTTCATTTCCTTCTATTATCGGATGCTATATTTGCGCTTCGATCTACAATTAATGTATGCTGCAATACTACACCTCATTCATAGGCAGACAATTTATAATTTCCTGATGTGGACGCGCTTATATTCAATACATGGCCCCAAAAATAAAGCAGACATTTTTTTCACTATGTTTCTTTCGCGAAATGCTTTATTGTTTTTCCCAGTGATGTCATGGAGGAAGTTAAAATCAGAATAAGGGGAGGGCAGGGAAGGAACGCAAGGCCCAAAATAAAAATACTACATTAAGAAATTATTCTTGTAATTACAACGTACTTAGTTGCACCGTTCTGTTCTATGCCGTATCATAGAGTTTATTCCTTTCTTTCGTTTTGATTTCAATGTAAGACTTATCCTCATTCTATTTTTTGTTATCACCAGCATTTTGACTTTGCACTTCTTGCCTAACTTATACATCTACTTCTATTATGTTTGATTTTTTCTTGTTATTAAATGGGGCCGATCTATTCGCTTGTATTAAACATTTCTTGTTTCTTGTGAAACAGCAGTACATGATTTCATCCTGTGATATTCCATCGTATTTGTTGGACCATGTAAATCGTACGATTTTAAAATTTTTTATTACTTCCTCTAGTTGTTCGCTTTTGGATTTTACGCTTCAAATGCGTTTTCAGACACAATTCCAAAGTGTCAATTTTGGTGGAGAATAAAGATATAATTGAAATTTCATAAACATAATATATAGATTACTGCAATATTGCATCGAGAGGCAGACAGGCTCTTATTTTTGTCTGCATTACCACCGTATCAAATATAAAGCCATTCCATATTTTTAGTCACCATGTTGATTTTAACTTTTCTAGTTCATTATTTTAGTCCTATGTATCTAATTTTTCTTTGTTTCTTTGACAACTTAAAAAGGTGAGCTTAGTTATTCTAAGACCATACTATTGTGAGCGTATTTTTTTGGTAATAAGTCCGAACAACTCATGTGATCAATTGTTACAATATTTGGTGCTACACAATCTACTTTTAAATTTTATGCATATACTTTTGGTCAATTGAACAGTTGCAGGCAAGTTTTGAAATTTATGAAAGCCAATGGGGTTATTTTTAATCCTCACTGCTTCGTTCCATTTACGTAAAGGATATACAGTATACGCACATATATGCATACTTATAGGTCTGACAATACAGGCAAGGAATATTCTCGTTTTATTTCGGCTATTTTTATTTTCTTGAACAATTTTTACAGGTCTGCTTCGTATCTTAATTTATTGTCCGTGCTAAGATTTGCCTCGACAGCAATCCCATATAATCGATTCCCATATAATCGGATGCGTTTCTTTTACAAATCCGCAATCTACAAATAATTCCGTTTCCTTCACAATGGCCCGTTATTATAAAACTTCTTAGTATTATGAGTCCAACGTTTTCTTACAAGTAAGTGTGTTGCAGCCCTGGAGCCGAATACCACCGATGACTGCCTCGAAAATTAAGTATGACGTTTCAAAATTATATTGGCCCATATTCGGCATCATATGTTCTCATGGTTTATTCTTTCCGCTAAATCTTTCAACTTCACAATAGCTTTTGATGTGCTGTTAGCTTGCATGTCAATAAAGAGAAACTCATTGCAAATTTCCATTATTCAAAGTAGAGCCCCCACTTCTCCGCGTAAATGCCATCGGCTTTGTGTTAGAGAATTAGCGAGAAAATTTCAAACAAAAAATATCAAAAAAACGACTATTAAAATGTTGCTCCTATAACCTCACCATTCGGAAACTATCAATGACAACATGTGTGCATCATTCAGCATTGAAGAAACTATAAACTTAATAGGAAATCCAAAATGTCTGATTGAGGCATCCTTTAACGTTTTTGTTTAGTCTTCAAGGGATTGTGCTAAATGAGGGCGCTTCCATACATCAATCAAAGCTATAGAAGGTGAAATGATAGTCATACACCTTGGCGCATTGAAGGAGTCATTAATTATAGAATTTTGCGTAATTTCCCAATCCCCGTAGATCTCATTGAGCCAAGCTGTGATCAGACATGCTTTTGTAGGATAGCAATGTCCATGTTTTTTTTTTTAAATTGATTGTCGCTTACTGATTTGAACGTGCAATATAAAGTTTTAGTACATAGTTAATGTGCCGTAAACTTAAGCGCAAACTTTACTTCTGTAGAAATGATGCCAACTAATCAAAAAAAAATCAAAGCAAAGCGCATCTCCATACTTTGTTGTTTCATTTATTTAAACTAATTACTCCCTTTTTATGTTACTAAGCGTACTTCTTTTTTCATATTTATTTAATTCCAAATGATTGATCTCAAGCCAGTGTTCTAATTCCAAATACACTTAGCTCCACTACTCCCTCTTTTAACAATTGTGAATTAATTGCAGTACTAAATACTAAATACTATAAAAAAGGTTTTCTTTTACATAATACCAAGGAATTAGGAATACTCGGTAAAGTTGGGTGGACATATTCCTACATGAAATTGTTACCTAATTTCCTTCCATTGCATTTTTACTTTTGCCTTACCGAATTGTACATCTAGAAGAATAAAATAATATTTGTACTGGTAAAGTTTTTCCCGCCAGCCGTTAATGATATCTGTGCGTAAATGAAATGATTTGACATCATCTGAAATCCGCTCTAGGACCACATCAATCAAATTCGTAAACAAAACAAGAAAAACGCACAAGTTAGAGTTTCACAGTATAATGCTTGCATTGTTAGGATACATAGGCGAATTCACTTAAGTTTAATGCCATGGTTTGATACCCCATTATTCTGATTCAGGAATAAATACATGATATGGGCTCATAATATAGTTGGCCGATATAGGCATGATTTTCGCCGGGTCATGGGAATCGTCAAAAAAGATTAAAAATTCACTCCTGAAATTACTATCTGTATACACATTGCGTCGACAATCTTGACACTTTCGTACCTGAATTTGAAATTACCTGGATTACGATTGGTTTTTATTCATCATGAAATTCCAGACATTTTCTCTAAACTTTAAAAGTTTACGTAAAATCTTATTTATCGAATGATCCCTTAAATATTTAGAAGTTGCATTGTAACACGTCAACCGAGTGTATTGTTTAGGGATCGCTGGATCTTCAACCGATCTCTATTTCAGTGTAACAATTTCAAAACGGGAGATTTCTAAAACAAGCAATGCAACAGTATATAGTATACCAAGCAGACAGTTTATTATTAAACCATACTTATTTTTATTTTTATTGTTATTATTATTATTCTTAAGATTAAGTTTATTATTTCTTAACACAATGTAGGGAGATTTCGTGCTATGATTATCTTTCTCCATGTAGAACTATTAAAGCGCCTACATAACAATGATTATGTTCGATTCCTTTTCTTTCGGATATATACTTGCACGTTCATGTGATATGTTCAACTAAATTATAGCTATAGAAACTTGCTGGAAGGTAGATGAGAAATTGCATACACAATTCATTTTCTTTTGCTTGAACTCCATAATAAAACTCCATTTATACATTTCCATATTTCCATATTTCCATCAGTCCTTTAATCCCCCCAATTTGGTAAACTGGGATGTTGTATCAATTAAACTTATTAATGTACTGAACTTTTTGCAGCTTAGACCCTCCTGCACACAACCTAGATTATGTGCCGGAATATCTCTACCCATGATGAGCATCGTATAAAAAAATTTATTGTATGGGAATACAGGTAATTTGCAAGGGCATTATAAGATAAATATCACCCAAAATTAGAGATGTCGGATAATGAAGAAGAGTATGATATTGCTGGGGCCTTGGTAAATGCTGAAGACTCAGATTCAGACTCTGGTTCAGACTTTTCTCTGGACGAAGGCGGTGAAGATGTCCAAGATATAATAAGTTCAGATGATGAAGAAGAAGAGCAGCAACCAAAGCAAAAGAAACAAAAAGTGCAGAAGGAAACCACTGCATTTCCTTCATTGGAGTTGTCGGACAATGAAGATGAGTCTTCTCAGAATAAAGAATACGATGATACCAAAGATATTTCTTCATACTTTATAGCTAATAATCCTCAAGTTAAAAAAGCCAAAGCAGGATCATTTCAATCGTTTGGGTTCTCTAAATTCTTAATGAGTAATATTATTAAGAAAGGTTATAGACAACCTACTCCTATCCAAAGAAAAACCATTCCTTTAATTATGGAAGGAAGAGATGTAGTTGGTATGGCTAGAACTGGTAGTGGTAAGACTGCAGCTTTTACCTTACCAGTCATTGAAAAGTTAAAAACTCATAGTGCAAGAGTTGGTGCTAGAGCAGTTATTTTGTCACCATCAAGAGAGTTGGCCTTACAAACTCATAAACAAGTAAGAGAATTCACAAAGACTACTGATTTGAAATCCATTGTATTAATTGGAGGAGATTCATTAGAAGATCAATTCACTTCAGTATTATCTAATCCAGATATTATAGTTGCTACTCCTGGTAGATTTTTGCATTTAAAAGTTGAAATGGATTTGGATTTAAAATCAATTGAATACATCATTTTTGATGAAGCTGATAGATTATTTGAAATGGGGTTTGCCGAACAATTGAATGAATTATTAGCTAGTTTACCATCTTCCAGACAATCACTTTTATTCTCAGCCACATTACCTCGTTCTTTAGTAGATTTTGCCAAGGCTGGTTTAACTAATCCAGTATTGGTTAGATTAGATGCTGATTCCAAGATAAGTGATAATTTACAAATGGGATTCTTCACCACCAAGAGATCAGAAAGAGAAGCAAATTTATTATATGTATTACAAGAAGTTATTAAATTACCTTTAGGAACCCCTGAACAAATTAAGAAATTGAAAGATATGAATCAAAGATCTAATGATAGTGCCGAAGAGGATGAAGAAGAAGAATCACGGAAGAATAAAAAGAGAAAATTCAAAAAGGAAAGATTACCACCAGCCAACCAATTACCATCTGAACATTCCACCATTGTATTCGTACCTACCAAACATCATGTAGAATATATTTCACAACTTTTGAAGGATGCTGGTTATTTAGTATCATACATTTATGGTACATTGGATCAACATGCTAGAAAGAACCAATTATATCAATTCAGAATTGGGTTAACCAACATTTTGGTAGTTACTGATGTTGCAGCTAGAGGTATTGATATTCCTGTATTGGCCAATGTAGTAAATTTTACATTCCCTGCTTCTTCAAAAATTTTCATTCATAGAGTTGGTAGAACTGCAAGAGCTGGTAATAAGGGATGGGCATATTCTATTATTAGTGAGAAGGAATTACCATATTTATTGGATTTAGAATTATTCTTAGGAAAGAAGATTTTATTGACTAATATGTATGAAGAAAGAGCCAAAATTCTTGGAACTAATCCTCCAATATCTTATACTGATAGATTAGTTCTTGGAGCTATACCCAGATTATCAATGGAAACTTTTCAAGAATTATATGATAACTTATTAAAGAATAATTATGATTTACAAACCATCAGAGATGTGACTATTAAAGCAGAAAAGTTATACTATAGAACAAGACAAGCTGCATCTTCTGAATCAATTAAAAGATCTAAAGAAATTCTTGAAACAGATAATTTTGATGATCAACATTTACTCTTTGGACCAGATTTGGAAAAGGAAAAGCAAGATTTTTTAAATAAATTATTAAATAGAAATGTCAAAGAAACTGTATTTGAATTCAGTAAGAAAAATAATGCTAAAGGAGGATCTAAAGTAGTAGATGATGATAATAATTTGGTTGATTTTATGAATAAGAGAAGAAGACAACTTGCACCTATACAAAGAAAAGCACAAGAAAGAAGAGATTTATTACAGAAAGAAAGAATAGCTGGTTTGAGTCATGGATTAGAAGAAGAAGTGTTAAAAACTGAAGGAGAAAATGGTTATAATGTCAATGAAGATGAACTTAAATCTGCTTTTGAAGATGCTGATGAAATCTTGGAAGAGAGAAGAAAGGAAAAGAAGAAATCCTATAAAGATCCTAATTTCTATATGAGTCATTATGCTCCAACCTCATTAATTCAAGATCAACAATTACAATTATCTTCATCTTTTGCAAATGATGCTGCCAAGGCAACATTTGATCTTAACAATGATGATACTGATAATAAAAAGAATCAGCAGGTGATGAAATGGGATAGAAAGAAAGGTAAATATATTAATTCTACTTCAGTTGAAGGTAAGAAATACATTATTGGAGAGAGTGGTCAAAAGATTCCTGCCTCCTATAGATCAGGAAGATTCGATGATTGGAAGAAACAAAGAAACTTACAACCTGCTAGAGTGGGAAGTCTTGAATCGTCTGGTCCAAACAGTAATGATAAGAGATTCAAACATAAGAAAACAGCTGCTCCTAAGTTACCAGATAAATTCAGAGACGATTACCATAAACAAAAGAAGAAGGTTGAAAAGGCTATTGAATCTGGTATTTCAGTTAAGGGTTATAATAAAGCAGGTCAACAACAAGAGATAAAGACTACTGAACAAATTAGAAAGGCTAGACAATTGAAAGATCAAAAGAGAGCCAAGAATGCTCGTCCTAGTAGAAAGCGTAAATAGAATCATAAATAACTTTTATTAATGGTTAATATATATAAAGTAAAATATCATTATAGTATGTTTAATAGCATGTTTTCTATTTTATCTTTTATCTTCTACCTCCTCGGTATGGATGATAACCTCTACTTCTCTTCTGGAAACCTCCACGACCTCTACTTCCACCTGATCCACCTCTACCTCCTGATGGTCCAGTAGGTGGAGCTCTCTTTGGACCCTTTGGTAAATTAAGTCTTCTTTGATCTCTATGAGGATTTTCATTATAACCTTCACCACTACTACTTCTTCTTTCACTTTCATAATTAGACTCGGTTTCAGCTTCAGCTTCAGGTTCATCACTTTGGGCTTGAGGGTTTAAAGGTTGAGATGGTTGACCATCAGAAGGAGTTTGTGAACCTTCAGATCCTGGAACAGCCGGAGGTTGACCAGCAAATGGTTGACCGGCAGCTTGAGCGGCAGCGGCTTGTTGTTGGTACATATACCATTGTTGCATTCTTTGATAATATTGAACCATTTCTGGAGTCATTTGAGCAGCTCCAGGATATTGTTGACCATATTGTCCTGAACCATAGGCGTAATTATATTGTTGCTGTTGCTGTTGTTGTTGTTGAGCAGCAAGTTGGTTTTGTTGATGTTGACCTCTTGGTTCGGCTCTCTTAACTTCCATTGCTTTACCCTTTAAAGTTAAATATTTATTAACAGTAACTCTATCTACTGCGTCGGGTGAATCATAAGTAATAAATCCAAACCCTCTAGATCTACCAGTATCTTTATCAATCATTAATTGAGCATCGATAATACTACCGAATTGAGAGAAGAAATCATTAAATTCCTTTTCATTAACCATAGGATCAATACCTCCTACGAAAATTTTACCAACTTTATCTTGTTCTTCTCTAGCTATAGCACGCTTAGGATCGATTAATTTCCCATCTAAAATATGGTCAGTTTTTATAACTTCATCTACTGAGGATGGTTCCTTAAATGTTAAGAATCCAAACCCTCTTGATCTACCAGTATTACTATCTTTCATTATAGTATAATCTATAACTTCACCATATTTAGAGAAATACTCAACTAACCCTTCTTCAGTAGTATCCCAGTTAAGACCACCAATAAACATCTTACCACTTTCTTTACCGACATTTGATGGTTGATGTTGAGGAATAGTTGGTGGTAAAGGTGGTGGAGGTAATGGTTGACCCGTAGAAGGATCAAACTGTGGAACTGGAGGGAAACCAGGAATACTTTGAGGAGGTGGTACAGGCAATTGAGAAGGATCAAAAGCAGGAGTTGATTGACTACTACCTACTGAAGGTTGAGCTTGCGGAACAGGTGGTTGAGGAGGTAATTGAAATTGACCTCCTACTGCCTGTTGTTCTGCAGGAGCATCATTTACAGATGGAGTAGTTTCAGGAACTGAAGAATAGCTAGCAGAAGTAGCATCTACTTGTGCTTCTTCTTTAGGCTTTTCTTCAGTTGGCTTTTGTTCGGTGGTATCATCTTCACCATAAATGTCTTCGAAAAGAGCTTCGTCGTCTTCGTAAGTGGACATATTTAAATTTATATGGTTGGAACGATGGATTTATGGACTCTAAACTAAGATAACTATATTATTATACGTAATACGTTGATGATATAATCTTTTGCTAGAACTAATTTTTTAGTTTATTATTGAACTATACGTCGAGATTGCTAAACAAAAAAAGCTATGTATGTATGAAATACTAACTCTAAAACAATATGTAACGATATAGACTAACTTAACTGATACTTAAGTTCTTTTTACGATTTTTTTATCAATTTTTTTCAATTTTTTTTAAATCTTTAAACCTTTTTTTTAAATCGATTTACTTATTATCTGAATTCTTTAACTATACTATAACTAACCTTCACTGGAATGGACTATTACACGAACTGAACAATTGCTTAAACAAAGTAATAAATCAACTCGTATACTAATCGCGGCACGTGAGATTCAAAGCAGATATTCGGATGAATTCTGGTCTATACAAATGAGCTGATGCTTAAAAGGACAAATGGATAATGGGAGAAAGGGGCCACTTCATAAAGGGCTGGTTCGTCAGTTTTATAGCATTTTTTTCCATGCCATTGATGATCCTGAATGCTGGTCCGGGCACGACCATTCCCCATTGGGAAGGACCCATTTGATCAGGGCTATAAGAATTGAATGTATAGGCAATGTGTAAGCAATATCTATGTATCATATTGTGTCTTATTGCATTGCACTATAATAATATCATGTAGTATGATAAAACACTTTTATATATTGTATCTAATAATGACTAGTAATAATTATAAGTCTCGAATAGGAAGTGAAAAATATGAGCCGCATCATAATGAAAAATCTCAATTTTATATAGAGATGAGTTAGAACTCTATCTGTTTTACCACTAAGAACAAGAAATAAAGTAGTACCTAATGAAGGAATATTTGATATATTTTGCTCAGGCATATCCAAACTTTAGACGAGCTGAGCTTGAGTCATTAGCGGATTTGTACAACATACCGTTGGATTTACAACATCACGATGAGACATCTCCATTTCTTATAGTCAAGTTAGAAAACGATGAACAAGCTCGTAACATTATGCAAAGATCGGTTTTAAGTAAGGGAATTTATGAATTATGGGGCCACGGAAAGAGTGTAGAAGAATTACATGCTGATATAAAAGCTAGAAGTACAGACAAATTTGAAATATTTAAAGAAAGATCATTCCGATTTAATTTCATAGGTTATAAAGGTAGTAGAAGTAATAGACAAAGAGTAAAATTAATAGAATCCTTTTCATATATGGCATTCACAGGTCGAGTTAGTATGGATAATCCTCAAGAAATTTATACTGTGTTAGAAGAATACGAAGTCACAGGTATGGCAAAGGCAACTACTCCAATTAACTTATGGTTAGGAAGACAAATCCAATTAAGTGCAAGATCAGAAAACATATTGGATAAATATGACTTAAGAACAAGAAAGTATATTGGGACTACTTCATTTGATGCAGAATTATCATTAGTATCTTGTAACATAGCACAAGTTGCACCTGGAAAGATTACTTATGATCCATTTACTGGTACAGGATCCTTTTTGGTCGCGGCTGCCAATTATGGTGGATTACCAATAGGTTCTGACATTGACGTAAGAATGCTTAAAGGTAAGGGGGATGATTGCAATATACAGTCCAACTTCAAACAATACAATACTTCATTATATTTCCTAGACACTATGACAATGGATTTTACCAATAATGCTTTGAGAACAGATTTTGTCATAGACACTATCGTTTGTGATCCACCTTATGGAGTGAGAGAAGGCTTAAGGGTATGTGGGGCTAAGAATCCTGAAAAGGCAGCTGGAAGAGAGAATGTAGTTATTGATGGAGAAAAGGCTCATCTTAGAAGAGACTTTATCCCTCCTAAAAAGCCCTACGAGTTATCAAATTTGCTTGATGATCTCTTAACTTTTGCTGCCAACAGATTACCTGTCCATGGTAGACTAGCATTCTGGATGCCCACCGCCAATGATGACTTTGAAATAAATCAAATTCCTCAACATGAAAATTTGGAATTACTTTACAACTTAGAACAAGAATTTAATAAATGGTCTAGAAGGTTGCTTGTATATGTCAAGCGTGATGACAAATATAAAGGGGAAACTACTAATGGTTTGAAGAGTCAAAATATTAAGAATTTTAGAGATAGATATTTCAACGGTTTCAATGAAAAGAGCAGATGAATACGGCCCAAATTGTCCCGGTCTTGTATATATAATTTAGGCATACTTTAGTTTATAGTCCCAATTCAATAAATGCTCTTAATTGCTGTGGGGTTATAAAATTATTCGCATATGGGTCTTAAAGTTGAGTTGTATTTCTAATTCATTGATACGCCCTAGAATATTATGCACTTACAGTTCTAGTCGCTGCGATAATTTTGCAGCCGAGCAACACAAGATATGCGCATAGTGGGAATTTTTCTCCTGGATCCAATACTAAGATCAATATATTTTAATACTACCTACAGCTTACAGTCTCCTATAATTGACCAATTTAGTGGGTCCATTGTTAGAAAGATACGTTGCAGGGCTTTAAAGTTTTAGAATGGCCTGTTTAATTGCTGGAGATATCAATTGGGTGGTATTGATCCGATATCCCCTATTCTCATATACTATGCCATTAAGTATTGTCCAACAAAATAAGGTAAAATCGGAATTTTAATTCCTAGGGTGGTTAAGAATTTTTGTTGCCAGATTATCCTTATTGGCAAATATTATATAAAGGTAGAAAGTTTTGCTTGTGAAATTTATTTAATAATAGTTCTATAATTTAATTCAAAAATACATATTATAAAATGGTTCCTCCAACTATGATCCAAACTGCTCCTGTAAGTACTTCTTTCTCACCAATTGTTACTAAAGATGTTCAAATTAAATTGAAATCTGATGCCAAAAATGGTGATGTTAAGTTTGCTGACTGGGATAATTTCAAGTTTGCTCCAATAAGAGAATCAACTGTTTCTAGAGCTATGACTAAACGTTATTTTGCTGACTTAGACAAATATACTGAATCAGATGTTGTTATTGTTGGTGCCGGTTCTGCAGGTTTATCAGCTGCTTATATCTTAGGTAAAAATAGACCAGACTTGAAGATTGCTATCATTGAAGCTTCAGTTAGTCCAGGAGGTGGATGTTGGTTAGGTGGTCAATTATTTTCCGCTATGGTATTAAGAAAGCCAGCTGATGTTTTCTTAAATGAAATAGGAATTGAATACGATGATGAAGGTGATTATGTTGTTGTTAAACATGCTGCTTTATTCATGTCAACCTTACTTTCCAAAGTTTTGCAATTTCCAAATATTAAATTATTCAATGCTACTGCAGTTGAAGATTTGATTACTCGTCGTGATGAATCCACTGGTGAATTGAGAATTGCCGGTGTTGTCACTAATTGGACTTTGGTTGCTTTAAACCATGATACTCAATCATGTATGGATCCTAACACTATCAATTGTAATGTTGTTTTATCAACTACTGGTCATGATGGTCCTTTCGGTGCTTTCTCTGCTAAAAGATTAGAGAAGTTGGGTAAAGCTCCAAAAGATATTACTCAAGGTTTCAAGCCTCAAGCCGAACAGCAACAACAACCATCTGCCGCCAGTGCCGATGGATTCCAATTAGGTGGTATGAGAGGTTTAGATATGAACAAAGCTGAAGATGCTATTGTTAAAGGTACTAGAGAAGTTGTTCCTGGTTTAGTTATTGCTGGTATGGAATTATCAGAAGTTGATGGTAGTAACAGAATGGGACCAACTTTTGGTGCCATGGCTTTATCAGGAGTTAAGGCAGCCGAAGCAGTCCTTAATGCCTTTGAAGTCAGAAAGAAGCAAAATGAAAATGGTTATTAGGTACTTGTATAACACCACCTCTTTATATAGTTAGAGTTTATCAAAATAAATTTGCAATATAACGACATTTGAAGATGTCTCATAGTGGAGGAAAGCGCGACATGCTGAAATTTTGACCGAAATTAAATTGAGTTGATCTTTGGAAACACCACAGAAATTCACCAGTCTTAACTACTACAGCAGCCATGGCAGACATATTGAAGTAAGTAAACTCATACATAGTATGCCAATTCTTCAGACATTTTTACTAACATTTTTGCTTGCAATTTTATAGGCCTAAAAACACAAATCCACGAGGAATTCCCGAAGCACCATTCATAGATAAAGTCGAAAATGTCATAAAGAATCCCGACAAGGACTTTGAATCGGTTATGCAAATGTTTCAAGAAAGATTACAACAGTACAAGTATATGGAATTATCCAAGCAACAACAATTGAAAGATTTGAACATAAAAATACCAGACATTGAAAAGAACTTAGATATCATAAACTATATCAAAGAAAAGAAGGAAGAAGAAGAAGAAGACGATGAAGATGAAGATGAAGAAGGAGACGGTAAAGTTATAGAGACTAATTATGAATTGAACGATACATTATATACAAAGGCCAGCATAGATGTTGAGAACTTGAATTCTGTATATTTATGGTTGGGAGCTGAAGTGATGTTAGAATATCCTTTAGATGAAGCAGTTGAATTATTAAATGAGAGATTGGTTAAGAACAATGAGCAATTAACAATTATAAAGGAAGACTTGGAATTCTTAAAGGAAAACATCACTACTATGGAGGTTAACACTGCCAGATTATACAATTGGGATGTTGAGAGAAGAAAGAAACTTAGACCTACATCATAAATTTACCTAAACTAATGATTCTGTACATAAGTATTTAATATATTAATTTTGAGTTCATGACCTGAAAGTATCTAGGAATTGACTACCTAAAGGTCTGACCGGTGTTTCCGCTCTTATTTCATGAGCTTCGTTTCTATTTTCATCCAATACCTCTTCTGCATCATCAATTTGTTCTGTTGAATTTGGTGATAATGTATCATTCTCTAATGGCAAATTCTCGTTAGATCCAAGGGATATGTAGCCATTATTTCCAAATCTCCTGTAGATGGAATCAATGATATGATTAATTGATTTATTAGGACTTATAAAGAATCGGAATATGATATTAGATAATAACCAATTCTTACTTCCAGGTAGCAATTCATATATATATATTTTACCTATGAATAAACCAACTAAACAAGGAATTATGGATCTAGTTCCATTATTTAATATGAGTAATGTGTAGATAATATGAATTGGGAAATGATTTGTTAAAGTCAACTCCTTGCTTGAAGTGGTTGACTCAGATGACGGAGTAACTACATCATCATTAGTAGTGTTATCACTTTCTGGTGTTGGATTTGATAACAAGACTTTGAAATGGTAAGAAACAGGAACGTATGTTCCATAACATATATATAATGATGATAGTATACCCAATGGACCTGGTATAATTTCATTAAATATGAGTGATTGATATTGATCGTCCTTTGGAGGAATATTAAATATGATTGATTTTACTATATATACAATATAATACAAACTTAATTGACCCAAACTCATAAAGATGAAACAAAATGCAGCATTATATAATGCAAATAACGTTATTATTGAAAAGTATTTCCTGGATCCATAGAATCTCTCCAAATTTTTGAAATGAAACCAAAGTAAAATCACTAATAGATAATCTGATTCATTAATAACTGAGATTTGATATGTAAGGATTCTCCAATATTGTAAATATTCAATTACATAAGGATCTATGGCTAATTTTATATATGGTTTTAATTGTAGTATTGATAATGTTAATGCCAATATAGTTGTTATTATACAGATTGCCTTTGTTACAGGAGTATTGGTAAACCCTCTGATCGGAGATATCTGTCCCATAACTGTTTCACTAGTTAATAAGTTTGTTATATATAAATCAAGCCTATATAATTAACTTTATTCCTACCTATTAGTACTGATGGCAACTCTTATAACTCCACACTGTTACCTGTTATCGGATTATAGTTACAATTACACTAAAAAAATCTGGCACGTGTACAGTCATGTGCAATTGTTCACGAGAAAACACATTTAGGGCTCTATCCCGCACTCTGAAAGAGTTTCTCGTGATCTCCACAACTCTCTAAAACTTTTTCCTCACTACGCAATTTTCCCTTTTGGGCACTCGGCTCAGAAGAGCTAACAAAAATTTTTTCAAAGTGAAATATCTACAAATTTAGTTTTAAGAGCTTTTCATTTAGTTCGTTTCTTTTCTTACTAGTTCAGATTCAAATCAAGTCAAGATGGGTAAAGATCACACTACCAAGCAACACGCTAGATCTGGTCACAGAGAAGCTCCAAAGTCAGACAACGTCTACTTGAAATTATTAGTTAAGTTATACTCCTTCTTAGCTCGTATGTAATAATTCCCACCCAGAAAATGTCCCAAGAAGATGTCATAGTTATTCATTAGAATATTTCAACATTGAGTGAATCATCGTAATAATAATATAATACTACTACCTCCATAATGTGGTCAGTCAATACTGGATTTAGGTTCTTGAGTAAAATGTTTGAGGTTAGTAATTGGATAGAGAAACTTGTCGAGTAGAATAAACCTTCTAGTAACACTTGAATTTCGTTTTAATATAGACTCCTTACCAGTTGGTAGAAAGATCAACGAAAAGCTTAAGGATTGTCTGAAGTTCAAGAGGCATTGGCATAATGTCTAGGTGAAAAATTGTTTTCTTACTCGATGACTGGACTCTGTCTACTAATTGATAATATTTATTCTCAGAACTCATGAACATTCCTTTCTTGAAGTCGGTGATTCGACATTCAAAAGCAAGGGTTCTATTTGTAAATCTCAGTTATTTCTGCGAGTGCTTCACCTTTTAATTCATTTGTATATTAATTTATATTGGATGATTAAATAACTGGTGTTTAACGTGCGTCTTCTGAGCAGAAATGTATTCGAAACCATTTTTGATACTAACCAATTTATTTATAGGTCGTACTGATGCTCCATTCAACAAGGTTATCTTAAAATCTTTATTCTTATCTAAGATTAACAGACCACCTGTTTCTGTCTCTAGAATTGCTAGAGCCTTAAACCAAAAGGGTGCTGCTGATAAGACCATTGTTGTTGTTGGTACCGTTACTGATGACAACAGATTATTAGAATTCCCAAAGGCCACTGTTGCCGCTTTAAGATTCACTGCTGGTGCTAAAGCCACCATCTTAAAGGCTGGTGGTGAAGTCATCACTTTAGATCAATTAGCCTTAAGAGCTCCAAAGGGTCAAAACACTTTAATCGTCAGAGGTCCAAGAAACGCCAGAGAAGCCGTCAGACACTTTGGTTTCGGTCCTCACAAGAACAAGGCTCCAAGAATCTTATCTAAGGGTAGAAAATTCGAAAGAGCTAGAGGTAGAAGAAGATCAAGAGGTTTCAAGGTCTAAGTTAGATAATTATAATTATAATTATTATTACAACTTTTACTTTGTCTCCCTCATTGTTTATTTCATTCATAGTTTATACGATCTCTTTAATTTGTATCTAATGTATAATATATAATATAGGTTAAAAAGACGGTTTCCCTATCAATTAGTTAGTACTATAGTTTGATATTTGTAGCAATAAAAAATGTAAAATGATTCATAGTCATCATTTATATTGTTGGGTACTGCACACAGTCTCCCAAGCCAAGTCATTATTCCTTATCTAACATACTGATTAGTTGCTCCACATTTAGTAAGTTATGATTAACTAATTAGATGGAGTTAGTTATATCATTAAGTATTAGTTAAGTAGTGTGGGTAGTAATACTTTAGTAAGTTGTAATATACCATGGAGTTTGAAGGGCTATTCCCAACATCCAGATGTCGAATTACCGAATTCGGACATACTGTGGAGATGCTGTTAGCAGACTTTCCTATTGAGATCCTTCAATTAATTATTGGTTGGTTAACTCAGGGGAATGTTGATATATATAATAAAGAAGGTGTAGTATATAGGGATGGATTATATCCCCTATTTGTTTATAATTTAAATCAGATTCGTTGTGTAGGTCACTATCAAGATTTAATATCCTTATCATCAACTTGCACAAAATTTAGAAGGTTATTAGGACCATTTATATTTAAAAATTTTAGTTTAATTAGATTAAATAATGTTGATGTAATATTAGGAAGTCATTGGGGTCAAAGTGAACTCTTTTCTGATAAGAAGAAGTATAATCGGGAATTTATGAAAGAATTATTAGCTATCAATAGCGAAAATTGCTTAATATCAGATTTAGCAAGAACAAGTTTTAAACAAGGGATAATCGGAGATCTGAGCCAACAAAGTAGATATAACCGAGAATTTAGTATCAATAACTTTATAACTTATCTTGAAGTTGATTCTACGATGCTTGTGGGATCTAATTTACTGCAATTTCATAATCTAACTTCATTGAAGATACTTGATACGGCATACTTTGACTTTTATACATATACACTTCCTCCACTTGAAAATTTAACTGAATTATCTATACGAGGTGATATCTTAAGTACATTACAATACATTCCTCCCTCATTGAAGCGATTGGATGTGATGTTGGTGTTATTACAGAAAGAATGTTTAGATGCAATTGAGACATTACACGATACTTTCGAAACCAAATTACTTAATTTGGTCGAGTTGAATATGTTTTTCGATACAAGGGAAGCATTAAATTATGATGAGATTCTAAACTTATTGGAAATAGTGGCAGATAATTGCTTGAAATTAGAGAATATAAACTTTAGGAAACTTAGAAGAAACGTTAATATTGATTCAGAATTCTCAAATCTGATATATAATAGTTTGAATTTTTATAAGATTGTAAAGAAATTTGAAAATATCCGACATATTGGTATTGATGTGAAGATTTTAAATACTATAATGGATGATACATTATTTGTTGATCGATTAAAATTAACAAATAGGGCCAACTTACCATTAGCAAATATGGGACTTCAAAGGAGTATGACGGTGTTTGATTATTCTACCACAAGTCCGATATTGACTACCAATGCCATTAAATTATTAAGTGATATTATACGATGTATTGGTATTACTGAATTTAATTTTCAATTTAATGAGTCTCATAATCGAAGTAGAGATAATGCCATTAATTTAGTACTTAGTGTTGTATCATTTCAAACACAAATTTATTCCAAGCAACTTGAGAAAGTGTCTATCATGCCTTGCTGGTCATTAACTGATGGACATCTTAAAAGAAGTTTTTATAGAGATTGTATTATTAAGAATAATGAACTTCCTAATAAAGTATGGCAACAATCATTAGCATCAGCATTAATTGGAGATAAGATATCATGTACCAACTCATCTAAATTTAAAGATAAAGAAATATTTGATGTTATTTATTTGGAGCATATTCTTGATGGATATTTAGGGTTTCCACCTTCTCCTGTAATATTTCAAGCTAAATTGCAACCATGTGAAGATAATGAGGAAAATAATCTAAATCAAAATCAATATAGCACTAGTCGAAGTTTCTGGAGTGTCGAAACATCTTTATCGGAAATGGAGCATTATTCAGCAGTAGTTAAGAGGCCACCAACACCACCCTATAATTGATTAATAAGAGGTATAAAGAGGTATAAAGAGGTATAATAGAGTAATGTATGTAAGTATAATATATAATATATATTAAGTGCATTATAATATATTTTGCAACCAAAAAAAGACACACGTGACCTCAGTGACTGTTTTTCCGTGAGCCTCACATTCCCCAAATAGGAACACTACCCATCATAAAAAAAATCTACTGTTTTCCTGCACACACTCCCTCTCACCTCCCACTACAACAAAAAAAATTTCAGTAATATTTCACTACACGAACACCTTTTACAACTCTACCTTTAATAACTAATAAAGCAAAGACAATATGCCAGGTGTTTCCGTCAGGTAAGTGATAGATAGCACATGGGATGTAGTGAAGAGTGGAAAGAAAACTGTCGTGGTGGATAGAGAGAGTTGTACAATGGGATTGTTACTCTTAGATCAAACTAGTGGAGTAGAGGAGAGACTGTGTGCTTATACTAGTTTACTAGTGTGCTTCTACAAGTATATTAGTGTGCTAGTGTAGTGTACTAGTGTGCTAGTGTAGTATACTAGTGTGCTTCTGTATACTAGTATGCTTCTGTATACTAGTGTGCTTCTGTTCAGACTACAACTTGTCATAACATTGTTATTCAAGGGGTAAGTACTATCCATTACCATCAGTTTTCAACCAAATCTCAATATTTCATAGTCATCCACCCCTAATAATTACAAGAACCATTATACTAACAAATATTTCTTATAGAGACGTTCCAGCTCAAGAATTTATTAACGCTTACGCTCAATTCTTACAAAGACAAGGTAAATTGGAAGTTCCAGGTTACGTTGATCTTGTTAAGACTTCTGCCGGTAATGAATTACCACCTCAAGAAGCTGAAACTTGGTTCTACAAGAGAGCTGCTTCTGTTGCTAGACACATTTACTTGAGAAAACAAGTTGGTGTTGGTGCCTTAAACAAATTATACGGTGGTGCCATTAACAGAGGTTTCAGACCTCACAAGCATGTTGATGCTTCTGGTTCTATTAACAGAAAAGTTGTTCAAGCTTTACAAAAGATTGGTGTTTTAGAAATCTCTCCAAAAGGTGGTAGAAGAATCTCTGAAAATGGTCAAAGAGATTTAGATCGTATTGCTGCTCAAACTTTAGAAGATGACGAATAAATTATTTAGCTTCAATCCATCCATTATTGTTGTAAATTATTATTCTATACGTGCATGTATAAATCCAACCCTAATACATATATTTAGCTGACATGTAATATAAATTGTAATTATAACTGACTGAACTATATAGTATTAATTAGTATTAATTAGTATTAATTAGTATTAATTAGTATTAATTATTCACTAGTTGCAAGTACTTAGCAGCTACATTCTGTCCCTGCTTGTTTCTATATAAAACATCAACTTCTTCTTCAAGATCCACCCATGTTAAGGATGCTTGATCAGGTAAACTATCGATCCATTGTTGATAATTACCAGTAGGTATCTGTAGTGTTTGGCTCATGTGCTCATGTCTAATGAGATTGAATGATTTATTGGTGGATTCCACCAGGAATAAATACTGTGAACATTGTCTAATATAATTACAATCTTCCTCTATATCAATCTTACCTCCATAGATAATATCTCCTATAAGATAACTAAGATTCTTCCAAGCAATATCCTTAACTGAGATATCTTGTAGAACACTTAGTGCTGATCGGAAGTCACTATCATTTATATCATATTGCTTCTTAAATGACATTGGCACATAGTTTAATCGTATCAGTACGACACTATGGAACCAACAAAGGAGAAAGTAAATATGACAGAACTCTCTGCTTTCATTCTCAATGTTATATGAATTGAATGTTTCCAGTAATACAGATTTAAAGCTGGGTTGAATCTCAAACGATAAGATCTTACATTTGGCTATTAATCCTGCCGGTATAGATGAGTTAAAGTTGGCAGTTAAGAAAAGCATAAAGTCTTCATGACATTTATCCATACTATCCAACTTTTTCTCTAATCGACTGAGCCATTCAACAGACATCTGAACATTCTGAATAGTTATCCATGTTCCATCTTTAGCAGCTTGAGTTATAGCCACATCTGCTAAATCGTGACTCTCTTTGGATCCCATCGATACAATGACCAACTGCTTATTCAACTCACTTGCCAAATCCTGAACTTTGAACGAAGCATCATAACCTTCTGGTGATAGAAATAAGATAGGATACTTATTGTTAGTATTGTTGCCGACCCATTGTTTCAAATCATAGTAAGAACTGAAAGGTCCATGGCCACTGAATAACGATGTAGCACATGTAGATATACCTTCAATAAACCCTACACCCTTATTAGGACACTGTAAGCTAGAGATTAATGGCTCCACTTTATCCATAGCATTATCCAATTCCAATTCCAATTCCAATTCCACCACCTTCTCTTGTACTTCTCCCATCACTCTCTGAGCAATAGTCACTATAGTCTTCTCGTACGTTTCACCAATATCCAACCTATAGAATGTCAGCATTAGTCCCAACGCAAAGGCCATCTTATCATTGGCTTTCAACGATACAGACACTGCAGCAAATACCTCTCTATACACGGCCTCAATAAACTGATTGGGTTCAAAACTAGTCCCCTTAGATTGGAGTAGATTAACAAATGTGGCCATGAAATCTTCAAGAGAAAACTTATAAAGTTTATGTAAATGAACCAATCTTTCGACTAATCCATATAAGTACGCCGCATGGGTTCCTAACTGAGCATATTCTATTCGACTAGTCTCTACCAATTGAACTACTTTAGCTGCTTCACTAAGTTTAACATCGATTTCATGAGCCTCTTCTTTAATAGATTCTAATTTATCCACTACATCTCCATTATCCAATAAATTCCCTTGAGCACTATTCAATGACACAAGTAAATCTTCTTCTAAGGAATGAAGTTTACTTTGATAATCTCCTTGAAGTTTCATAATGTCTATACGTTTTTGAGCTATCTCCGGTTTAATGGCTTGTAAAGTAAGATTCAATACGGCATTCTCTAATGATCCACTGGTAACGGTAAAGTTTACCATGGTGGTTCGAGAAGCTACAAATGGTAATACTCTAATCAGTGAATCCTTCGTATGTAAGTAAAGTTTGAATTTATTAGAATAGTCAATCAATTGATCTCTCAATCGTATAACCATTCGACTACCACTCCGTTGAATCTCATGTTTTAAGATACTGTCGATAGCAGGATCATAATATTCGGCATCCTGAACTATTACTTGACCTCCGAATCGTAACCCATTCTCAATTTGTTTCAAATAGTCGGCATTTAAGAAACTAGTAATGATAATCTTAGGATGACTTAGACGTACTAATTCTAATGATTTCATCGTGGGATCTATGATGAGAGGTACGCCACTAGACTGTAAGATACGCATATTCTCTTGATGAGTTTCATCAGTACTCACACTCAAACTATTCATATTATTAATACTAACATCCTCACCAAGAAAGGCCCACGCTGAAAAACCTTCATCATACACTATCCCGGCGTCTGTCAATCGAAGTTTCCATAACTTCATAAGTTGTTGACGTCCCTTCTCATCATAAACTCCTGCGTACACTACAAAGGCCGCCGCCAAGACTGAATCTCCTACAAGTCGATGTCTAATCTCCACAAACTTTTGTATACTACTCTTCCATCTCTCTCTCTCTCCGGTTAAACTTCCCACCAACTTAAGACTTCGTTCAATCTTCTTCTCGACTATTCTCATCTCTTGTTTAATATTCTCCAGTTCTCGAATAAGCGTACTATAATCTTCTTTATACTTTTCAATTCCAGCCTGTAATTCTTGAATCATTTGTTCAATGGCTATCAATTGCACTTTAGTCTGTTTGGTTTGAGCTTCTAGTTGTTCAACTTCTTCTCGTAAGGGTCCTACCTTGACAAGAATCTCCGAATAAGCCAATTGAGCAACCACCCATTGTAATAATGGTCCACAAGCTTTACTGGCACGATACAGGGCTTCATAAGTATAATCTTTACGATTAAGATATGTCTTATTCATATGAGCTCTTAATTGATCAGTCATATGACGTTCACAATTGAAATTCACAATGTTGGGAATGAAATCTTCTCGTCTAATCACCAATAAAACATCTCTCCAACTACTTACTTGATATCCCAATAATACACATACTGATTCCATCGTGAGCTTGACTGCATCGGGTGGACTAGACATACTTCTAATCTCAGTAAGATGTTGTTTCTTAATGTTTTGAACTCCTCGTTGAGCTTCAAGAACTGCCGGTTCAGCTCTTTCCAAATCTCCCATTACCACTGTCTTCCGCTTTTGAATTTCCAATTCTTGTTTGGCCAATTCCTCTTGAGTCACAATGGAAAATTCATGCTTTCTCTCAGCTTCATTCTGTTCAGTAAGCATCTTATTCAAGACTATTTTAGCCTGTTTATCCTTAGCCACAAGAAATGCTTTCTTCTCAGAAAGAGCTGCCTTCAAATTATTCACTACAAGCACTGTCTCCTTTAATTTATCTAATCCACAAGTGGTATGACCCTGCAGTTCTTCAAGCGTATGCAGTTTATGATCAAATAATCGAATGAATTGACTTACCATCTCCATGAAATCATGAGGAGATTGATGGATATGAACTGACACTTGATAATCCAAATGAAGTCGATGCATATATACTAAAGTATCCACAAGAACATCTCTAAAAGTAGATTCTTGTCCATCGACAAATGGAACAAACAGTACAGGTACCGTATACTCGGCTACATCCAAAGGCACTTCGGCTATAAGCTTAGTTCCCACAGTAATCAATGTCTCATTAGACCAATCTCCCATCCAACTCAATACACATCGATTGAATAAAGCCGGTGATGATATAATGGCAGGACTGAATCCATCCAGAGTATCACTAACATTAAATACCACATGAAGATTACGAGATATTTGACTTACAAACCAACTATACAATTCATCCTTAGAATCTAACAGTAATCCTTGTTGATGAGATTGTTCTACACACACATTCATCAAAGTATCATACTCTTCACCTTCGTATAATCCCGGAATCTCGGCATTAGCCAATAAAGTATTCATTCTCTCCACAAACGCAGTCTCAAGGATATTGGATTCATCAATCATGAAACAGATTCGATCTCCTTGCGCACACTTCAAGAGGATCCGACGAAGTGTACTGTCAAAGTCTTGAAGCAGATACTGACGATGGACATTCAACAGAATATACTCAAGACCATTCATCCATGCCATGAATCGTGTCAATGTAGACTTACCACTACTACTGGGTCCGACAAGAATCATATGCCCCTGAGGTTGACGAAGAACTCTGTCGATTCTCAAACAGTGATCAAGAAGATCCTGATGAAGAACCAACTCCACTTCACACACCTCTTCTTTGAATATGTGAAGCTTATCCACCACAAAGGTTCGTAACTCCAGCTCATCCACTGGCTCATAGATACCTGTGAGCCAATGAGAGAACAACACAGGTGTATGGTGATTATTAGTATGATCAAATGATGGAAAGTGATTGGTACTGACCTCTTCAAAGAGTTTCATGGTCCAGGATCTTTCCCATGTCCCTACCAATCTATCGTAGAATAAGCGTAAACCTTCATGATACCATAGATACACCAAATCATTCACATCATCATACAGTCGTTGTTTGAGTCCCTCTAACATTCCTCTTGTCCATCGAGTCAATTCTCGAGGTGAGTAGATGTAATGACTATGAAGTTGACATGTCAAAGTCTTCTTGGATTGAGTATACACTTCAATCATGGCTTCAGTAATGGCTCCAGCATATCCTCGAAGATTAGGAGCAAACTTCAAGATAGCTCGAGTGAATGTATGATAGATCTGATACAATGAAGTAGATCCAGGATAGTCTACCATAAGTAGAGTTGAATGACGTAAGAATCGATCACTCAAGACATTCCGACCTGGATCCTGTGGAGAGTTACAAGCTCCAACAAATTGTATATTCTCAAGAGTAATCCATTGATTATCATTACATCTCCAGAATCCCTGTTGTTCCATAAGTTGTCTTATGAATGAAATCACCGCTTGAGTATCATATTTATCCTTAGCTGGTAAGTTAATCTCATCACAGAATACAACTAACCATTTCCCAGTAAGTTTAGGACAAAGGACAGGTCCAGTAGATGTTTGTCTATAAGTACAAGCTTGTTCTAATGATTGTAATAATGCCTTAGGAGTCATATCCTTCGAGAAGTTAAGGGAAAGTAGATCGAGTTGTGGTGATTTCCGTAAGGCTTCAAGTAATGACATGGTCTTACCCGATCCTGGAGGTCCACATAATAAGAGAGATCGATGTTCATTGATGATGGAATAGATGAGACTCTCATGTTTGACTGTATCATCAGTAGGAATAATGGTCGATGGGTTTATGACATGATGAGGTTCTAAATCAACCACTGCTACTTGAGAGTTCCACAAGATCCAATCTCCATCAGGAAGTTGGATATCCACATCAAAGTAAGTTCCTTTTGTTAGTCGATAGTCATTGAAACAGGCCATGGAATTAGTCACTTCCGAAAGAACTCGTCTATCATCACTAGAGCAATCTCCAGCCAATGCCCAATTGACACTAACCAATACTGCTCGATGGAGATAGACCAGTTTCTGTTGGGAAGTAAGTGACTCATGCTGCTCTGTATACCTCACCAATCGACGACAGTATGACTTGAGCAACGACGTCAATGACTCAACCGCTCGATGAACGGTAAAGTTCATAATATGATTGAGTTTCTGAGCTGCCTCTACTAAGTTAGATACTAATTCTGGACTAAGTATACTATGCAAGCCATTAGCAAATTCCGTTTGAACTTCAACCACAAGTGTCTCATCTCCATCCGCCACGGCATCTCCATCAATGGCTATATGCTCTAAATCAAATAAGAACTTACTAACTATGCCAGCTACCGATACAAGAGTTGGTTCAAAGTAGACTATCCCACATCGAGAGACGGTGGCTAGTGTGGCATGTCTTATGGAATCCACTTCAAATAAGATCCGAACATTGGCTGGAAGTCCTAACCGTTCACCATTAGAAAGAGTAAGGACTCGATTATCATCAAGTACACTATTGAGGTTCTCGGCCCATTCCGGATCAACGTCTCCATCAAAGACAATCCATACCATCTTCAGTAATTCTCCCTTGAGATTATCAATGATCTTTCGAAGAATCTGTGTGAATAGACCATCGGTCCATTCGCGAGTTACTGGATCTAACCATCCATAGAGCTGATCTTTAGTCAATACTTTACTATCTATTACATATGATAAGTAATCCATATGTTCATACTGAGCTACTGAATCCAAGACCAGTCGCCAAGTAACCGATTTACCTGATCCTGATTGGCCTACCAACATGATTCCATGATGGGCTTGTTGGATTTGATAGAGTTGGAGAGTCTTGGCTTTCCATTTATTATCATATACTAATCCATGACTAGTATAGTACTGATCAACTCGAGTCAAGAATGCCATAGATTCCGACTCATCATAGTGAATATTCTTAAAGTACTTATTCTGTAACTCATGAAAGATGGGCATATCCTGCTCCACCAATTTAGGAGCTATAGTCTCATTGATACTCTGAAGAACTAATCGATGTTCCTCATGTTCTGAACTATTAATCTGTCCAAGAATCCGTTTCAAGGCTCCACATCGTACAAGAGCCGTCTTGATGGATCTTAATCCAAAATCATAATGTTGTTGATCAGTCGTGAGTTGTTGTAACTGTAAGAAGAAGGGTACTAGAACTTTAGCAATCGATGCTGCATGGGCAAATGTTTGAGCAGTAAGTAACACTTCTACAATGACTTCTCGATCAGGTTCATTCATGGCAATGGTTCTAAATTGTTTCTTAAGGTTTTCAGGTAATTCAGACCGACCTTCATAGCCTGGATTCATGGTAACAAAGAGTCCTACTTCACTATGAACAGTAATAGATTTACCTGATATTGATACAGACTGTCCATTCAGTCCGAGTCCTGTTTCAACGGCCTTGATTTGAGATGAAATAGAACTAAGTACCCCTTCATCCAATCGATTAAACTCATCGAAACATCCCCAACATCCAATTCCACAGAGTCCCAAAAGGAGTCTTCCCATGGCAGTAAAATCAAATGTTTCATCACAACAAAACACGATAACCATCTTACCTAAATTATGACCTAATGCCTTAATAGATTCTGTCTTACCTGTACCGGCCGGTCCATAAGGTGACCCACCTAATTTCTGATTAAGAGCTTGAGTCATAGTTAAATAACACTTTTCAACTAATGGAGTATACGCAAGCTTTTCTGGTATACCCAAGTATTCAAACCCATAAGTAAATGATGCTCCTGCTTGAGTAATGGTAATGGATTTAGTTACATCTGATGAAGTATGATGATGGAAGAGTTGTTGAGTGCCTGTGATGAACCGCACATCTTCTGGTGTCTTACAGGCCATGAGTCGACTAAAGATATCTCGATGATGAAGGAGTTCTATGAGGATATACTCCACCTGATGACGGAGGAGTTCTGCAGTAGAATCTCTAGTCATGAGAGTAGTCAAGTGACTAATGATATTGGTGAATAATGTATGATGGTGTTGGTACTTGTGAGTACTGAGATACTTACTGAATACCACTTGTGCTGCTACCGTCACTACTTGTGCAGGATACCGTACCATGAGCTGTTCAAGTGCTTCGGTACTGACCGCTTCATATACAGTCTGTACTTCAGTAATGGCATCCTTAACCAATAGGGCGAGCGAGTGTTTGATCTCTGTATCCAACTCAGAAAGCCATTCGTGAAGGGTCTTGAGTTTGACGGAAACAGGCCGGTTCAATTCAAGATACTCATGTTGAGGACTGTATACTCCGACCACAGAAGAACTATCTTCATCCACCTTAAGTTGAGCAACTCCAGTAAACATCTTAGCCACATGCCGATTGATACGGGCCATATCGGCCGATCCTCCAATGAGATCTAAGAGATCTTCATTCCCAATAAAGTAGAATCGAGGAAAGAGTTCTCGTTGTTTCTCAAGGTAGTCTGCTAAGGATTTCCGAAGCTTGGTAAGACTATGAAGAAAGTTGGAGAAGGTCAGTTCCATATCCTTAAGTCCCACTACATCCATTACTAATGAATGTTTATGAATGCGTTTCAATACATTGAAGAACTCATAGGTGAAATTAACAAATCGATTCAGTTCAATAGGCAATAAACTAGCAATATCGGCCTTATCATTACCAAACACTCCATCGAGATAAAGCCATTGCCGTTGCACTTCCATCCACTTCTCCCATACCACCAAAAGTCCAATTAATTTATCTTCTAATCGGGTAATTTCTGCTTCAAAACTACTGTAATAAGCAGAATTCTTCATACTGGCTAAGGAACTTATATCACTATTGGCTTGTTCAAACACTCGATCCCAATGTCGAACAAGTTTGACTTTATTATCATAATGGAACCATTCCAAATGAATATCATTCCACTCTTTGGTAATACTCTCAAGTTTACTTTCAATGATTTCTTCTTCACTGGCTTGATCAAGTACGGCTTTAACAATGGCTCTATTTAAGTTCAAGTTAAACCCCCATACATCACCCAAGGTTAATCTATCTGGATCAAGTTGAATCTTATTCAATTGTCCAAGTAAACTAGTCCAATGACGTGGTTTCATACTACTACTCTGTAACTCTTGGACGGTCACAAACGTATTCAAATATTGTTTAATGACATTATGAATCTCATCAAATGATGCATATTGTCGAACACGACCAGGAAGGGATCGAGCATTATTGAGAAGATCATCCAATTGCCTTTGAACTTGTCCAACATCCATTTGTTTCCATACCGTCAGCTTGATTTGATCAAGATCTTCCCATAATGCATTAAGAGCAATCCATACCGACCGAAGATCGGTGATTTCATGGGATATGGATTCAAGAGATTGTGGAGGGATGGTGGCAATATTTAACAGTCTTGAGATATTGGCCACTGCATCTGAATTCTTGGCTAAGATCCCACATAAATGTTGAAAGTTATTGATCTCCACTATGGCCAACGATGGAACTAAATGTCCAGCAATTGGTTTCTTTAATTCCCAATCTGATACTAATGATACTACTGATGCATTGATTCGAACTGCTTCTGATTGAATCTTAGGGGCCAATATATCGAAATTATCTTCTAATGTCTTCTCCTTGGCCGTTAATAATGATCGAATAATAGCCATATCATTATCTAATTGCTCGGTATATATCCAATCAGAGGCAAACCTAAACCGATGCTTGAAAAGGAAGGTCTGGCCGGCCTTGAATGAGGTTAAAGTATCATTATATCTATCCATATCCTGCTTGATGGTTAAGTAGTTGTTGATATTGGTGATTAACTCTGCTACAGCTGCTGCCACATTAAGTTTAGCTTCAAGTCGATTGATTGAGTCAGTCAATTCTCGACTAAATTGATTAAACTCTTGACTGTATCGTGAAGCAAATTTACTAATCAATTCTCCTTGGAACGTATCAAATTTGAGGGTCACTCGTGATTGAACTCCAATACTATTAATGGCCATAAGATTTTGGAATATCACCGTACTATCAGGGTTATCAAACAAGCTTCTGATCCTGAGAATCGTATCCAAATGAGTGATTAATTGCGGGAATGAAAGATCAGATGGAAGGGCCTGTTGAAGATCTTCATCGACATTTAAATCCAATTCCCATATCCGTTGAAGTGAATGCCATTGCTCTAAATATGACTGTGCTTCATCTATCACTGAATCTATCAATCCATAGGTGGTTGAAAGTGGTTGATGAAGTTGGATATTGATGGAAAATGTCTGTTTGGTTTCATAATCAGCATATATCTGTGGTTGTCCTTCAATAATGGCAATGAGTTCATTAACAAGTTCAAACATATGAGTTTTGGTCACACTTAACAGGGGAGATAACGTGAACAGTTGATCGGAAAATACAAGATCATGATGGATAGGTTGACTCACCAATGGATCTTCAAGTCGATCAAGACATTTCTCAGTAAGTACGCCTTGAACTTGATCATTTATCAACTGACATAATCGATCCACTTGTTGTTCCAGAATGTTTAATGATACTTGATTTACTTTCTGCTGTACTGCAACTAAGATCTCTTCAATGGCCTTACTGGTATACAGACATACCTTCAAATTATACACTTGAGTTTGAAGAAACTCTACGAATTGGTTGAGTTCTTCCACGGCTACTACTGCCTCCTTAACCACATTTTGGAATCGGCTAAGACTTCGAAGTGATCTTATCTCCGACAAGTTGTCATTATCGAAATCGAAATCAAAATCAAAATCAATCTCGTAGTCGATGGAACTCAATTCCAATGCTTGTACAATATCATGCCATTGCACTTTCAACATGTCCTTGACTGCTATACCAATAGCCTGTTTATGATGATCAAGCATGAATCCCCATTGGGTAATAATGTCCTGATTAAATATGCTCTTGATACTCGTAATGGTTTGAGATACATCGATCATAAATGGATAGAGTTTCATAACTTTCTTAAATGTCATCTGTAAGTCTACGGGTATTTTAAAGTAAGTAGATGATTTGGTTTGGGAAAGATAAGTATAATCCACACATAACTCCAACACTCTCATGTCGATGTTAATGTGAATATCTTCTTCAATCATCTGAATGACCGGCAGATTGACCGCGGGGAAGGGGTCTAGTGTTGTACTAGCACCAGAAATCCATAAGTCCATGAGGGAATTTATAGTGGATTTCTCTAATAAATTGGTAATATTGGCATGAATCTTAGTCCCCAAGGAGTACTGATTCCAATTGGAGCCCAATACCCTTTCGAGCTTATGTAAATAAAAGTGAAATTTAGTTAGTAGACTGAGATTCCACATGATTTCTCCTACTAATGGAGATGGACTAACTACTGATCGTTTACTATATAAGTCTTGGAATGTACTAATGTAGTATGATTTGGAATGAAGATTCAATAACATTAATTGTTCGACTTCATCATTGACTATACCCAATAATTTAAGTTTATACTCATCATTAATTAACGTACAAATCTCATGGCCAAACTTATCTATAACCGTTAGAAAATCATGAAAGCATATACAATGACTGAAATATGCATTGATATGAAGGGAGATTTGCGTATATAAATCATGATAAATGGTAAGATAATTCTTTTCATTAATCGACCAGATCAATTGTCCCTGTTTAGATAAATCAAACGGTTTGGCGGGGATTATGTAGCGTGAATAAGTATCAACAAGTTGAGTTTGTAAGTGGGGTTGAATCACCAGTAAGAGACTCAATAAATTACTATGATTTAATCGGAATGCCTTGAGGGATTCAAATCTTTCTTTAAACATTGTATAGGATATCAGTTCAAGTTTAATCATCATGAATTTATCTTGTCTTTTCCGTAAGAGTTCTCTTATAAGATTAATCAAATACTTTAGATTATGATCTATAACTGATATTATTGAATTGGTTTGAGTATAAGTATCTAAATATTTCGATAATTCTATAGATAATACATTAATTTCTATAATAATAGTCATTAATTTATGAGTAATATCATTAAGGATTAATTCAATATATTCAATTAATCGCAGTAATGCAAAGGATCCATTTAAATTCCGAACTTTACCCTTTAAATAATTGAATAAATCGACTATTACCAGTTCAAATTTAGATAAATCATGCGATGAAGATATCACATCTTCAATAGGTAATTCTTTAAGTAAAGAATTATATAATTTGGCAGTAGAAAGTTTATCATTAATGCCTGTATCCTTTTGGAAACTAATTGTAATTTGAAATCGTTTATTACTATTTAAAATTTCAATAGTTTTAGTGATTGCTGGAGTATTGGAAATTTGATTAACAATGGAAATAAGGGCGGATTCCATTGATTCCCAAAACGCCTTTTCATCTACAATGAATTCATCATCACTAGGTTCATGATTCAAATTAGTCACCATCTGGATTTGTTTAGTCCAATTATTAACTATAGTAGTTAATTCATTTAATAATCCACTATCTACTGTAACTTCTGAATCATCATTAGCCAATAATTCATAGATTTGTGGATGAATAGATTGGGTAAGATCAGGAATTTGTATTTGTCGTTGAATGTTTTGTAAAGAAAGACTCAATTCATTGAATTTCCTCTTGGTTCTAGTAAATTTATCGGAATCTTCAGTACCTATAACAAGATCAAAGTATGGAGTTAACCCTAAATTGACTACTGATCTCAATTTATCAAACATAGCATTACGACTAGTATCTGAAGAAATATTGATAATGTTAAGTTGATGAGATAACGGTATACCATTAATCAATCTACCTTTAGATTTAATGAATGCCAATACTAATACTGCTTGACTACTCTTCCATTCATTAGCATTAGAATTGTTACTGAGTTCTCCATACACATGGAAATCTCCACTTCCATACGGCACCACCACATACAATGTATCTTCATTATAGTTATTTACAAATGCTTTGTATGTATCGTGATTGAGATCGTGATCTGGTTTTGGTTCTGGTACTGGTACTGGTTCTGGTTCTTCTCGTTCAACATCGTCTTCTGTCTGCGTAAGTGTCGCCACATACTGGTGCACAAATGCTGCAAATCGGCTCGGCTCAAGCTGGATGCTTTCATCCGCGGCTCCGATGCTGTGACTGGATACATCCATAGTGTTAGTGATGGAATTGTAGTATTACTGGATGCTAATGGTGTAGATTGTCAGTTGTAACTGATTTGGTAAACAAACACGCGTTTGTATGCAGGAGAGTACCCACAAGGAACGCTACTGCCAGCCAGTACATAGTTGTATTACTGTAAGTTTGAGCTTATGTACCTGAAAAAGAATAGTGGCAAGTAATTGATCGCTGTGAGTTACTGGTTTAAGTTAATAGGTATTGATACTGAGTCGGTGTGAGTTCATGGCTGATTAATGAGAGCTCTTAATGTTCAATGGATATATGTATTCCATGTTCAGTATCATATACAATGGTTTACTCATGTACTTCTATACCAATTCAGCTTATCCAGCATATATTGTACGTACTTAATTTTATTCTATAGTTTCTACAATTTACGATAAATTTGTCAGTGAATCTTCATAAATTCAGCCCAGACTCGCATAACCGAACATAACTCCGTTTACTCGGAAAAAGCAGCATTATTGCCACCAATTAATTCATTACGCCTTACATAGTCTATTTTAAAGACTCAATACATTAACCCAAGACAATTCTAGAAATTTCCTAGATAAACCGTTACCTTAGGGGACAGTTACGGATTACTTATATTGAACAAAGCCTCGTTTATTAATGGGTACTAACGGAATCGGATCAACTTGTCTCTGACACATTGCAACAAACCTTCCTTATTCAGCACCGAATACGATTAATCACCGAAAGAAAAAGCCGCTCCTGCACATGGTGCTCGACACAGGGCTTTATTATTATTATTTTGTTCGGCACGGAAAAAGGATGTTTGACACTTTTGTTGCCAAAAGATGCCGAAAAACATTAACAATAGAGCATTACAAAGCATAATTGAAAATGGTAGGGCTTAACCTTGCTCAACTAGGCAGTATTCAAGGCTGTGCTATACGAAATCCATTAATAGCTAATTTTGATTTAATAACTAACTACTTTATGAATTTACCATACTTGATAGTACGCTTCGGGACGGAACAACATTCGCAGCATGTCATATAACCATAGAATCATTGAGCCCATTGAGTCACTAACCTAGGTGCTTCACTGGAGTCACCAGCTCAATGGGATAGTCGATACGCATAACATAACACTACATAGAGAACATTCGGTGTTAACGATATAGTTATATAGTTATTAGAGTTATCAAGTACGTCAGCACCGAGTTTCGGAAAGATCAATATTGTAGGAATTTTATGTTTTCCGAGTAAAAGTTCCTGAATATAAGCCCAGAATTAATTCCGTATGCTATCTATGACCATCTAAAAGTTAAAGGTAGAGGAGGGGGTTATAGAGGATGAGGTAATGCCATTGGCGTGACATGGTTGGAACGGTTACAGAAGTAGAGCATAATATGTAACAATAAAGTTAATAGTAACTATTAATAAAGTGGAGATAGAAGGGGGTCATCGCATCAGTTGAAGAAGATCTACAGCCCTGCGAACAACGATAATAAACTGTAGTAGTAGTAGTAGTAGTAGTAGTAGTAGAAACTATACTAGTGCAATATAAGTAGAGTTATCACCATTACTGTAAACTGTATATCTATACTATAACTGTAGATTCCACATACACTTGGCAATGATAATTGTAAGCAACCAAAGCCAACACGGATAGAATCTAAACTTGAAAGTATCCTTTCCGGGTTAATTCCGTATATTATTCCACTTTTTTTCTTTTTTTTCTTAATTTCTTATTTATTTCTTAGTATTATTGTTTATTTATTTTTTATTTTTATTATTATTTTTTTCAATTTCGGCCTTGTGCCAATGAAGAAACTCATCAGTATATATATCCTGGAAAATATGCATTACTTAGTAGATCACTTTGTATATAATTTATAGATAAAGTATATAGAAAACTATTCTGAATTAAGCATGTCTTCATATAATTCATTGGGGAAAAATTCCCATGATGAAGAAGAAGAAGATGCTACTAATAATAATAATTTTGTAGATAATGATGAAGTTGATCAAAGTTCTTCAACAAATTCAGTTAATGAATATCAAGGATTTAATGATGAAGCTGCAAGAAATGTTCAAGAATTAGCAAGAACCATTACTCATGATTCTATACTTTCAAATGGTGGAGATTTTAATGATGATAAATCTTCAGTAGCTTTAATTAAATATTTATCTCATATGTCTCAAGTACCAGGTATATCTCCATATAATGTTGATGAAGAAACTAATCCAAAATTAGATCCTGATAGTGATAATTTTGATGCTAAACATTGGGTTAAAAATTTAAGAAAATTATATGATTCTGATCCTGAATATTATAAACCATCAAAATTAGGAATTGCTTATCGTGATTTAAGAGCATTTGGAGTGGCTCAAGATTCTGATTATCAAGCAACTGTTACTAATGCAATTTGGAAAATTGCCGTTGAAACTTTAAGATCAACTCGTAAAATGGATGAATCTCGTTATTTTGATATTTTAAAACCTATGGATGGTATAATGAAACCTGGTGAAGTTACAGTTGTATTGGGTCGTCCTGGTTCTGGTTGTTCAACTTTATTAAAAACTATTGCTTGTAATACTTATGGTTTCCATGTTGGTAAAGAATCGAGAATTACTTATGATGGTTTAAGTCCAGAAGATATTCATAAACATCATCGTGGTGATGTTGTATATTCAGCAGAAACTGATGTTCATTTCCCTCATTTAACAGTAGGTGATACATTAGAATTTGCTTCAAGATTAAGAACTCCTCAAAATAGAGGTTTAGGTGTAGATAGAGAAACTTATGCTAAACATATGGCATCAGTTTATATGGCAACTTATGGATTATCTCATACAAGAAATACAAATGTTGGTAATGATTTTGTAAGAGGTGTATCTGGTGGTGAACGTAAAAGAGTTTCAATTGCTGAAGTATCACTTTGTGGAGCTAATTTACAATGTTGGGATAATGCAACAAGAGGTTTAGATGCTGCTACTGCTTTAGAATTTATTAGAGCTTTAAAAACTTCGGCTTCTATTTTAGAAGCTACTCCATTAATTGCTATTTATCAATGTTCTCAAGATGCTTATGATTTATTTGATAATGTCATTGTTTTATATGAAGGTTATCAAATTTTTTTTGGTAAAGCTGATGCTGCTAGAGATTATTTTGTTAATATGGGTTGGGAATGTCCTCAAAGACAAACTACTGCTGATTTCTTAACTTCATTAACTAATCCAAGTGAAAGAATTGCTAGACCAGGTTATGAATCCATTGTTCCAAGAACTGCAGCTCAATTTGAAGAATATTGGAAGAAATCTCCCGAATATAAACAATTAATAACTGAAATTGATCAACATTTTATTGATGTGGAAAAAAATAATACTAAAGAAAGTTATCAATTGGCTCATAATGCTAGACAAGCTAAACATGTTAATCCAAGATCATCTTATACTGTTAGTTTTGGTATGCAAGTAAGATATATTATGGGTAGAAATATTCTTCGAGTTCGAGGTGATCCATCTATTTCACTTATGTCTATTTTTGGGAATTTTATTATGGGATTAATTTTATCATCAGTATTTTATAATTTATCTCAAACTACTTCTTCCTTTTATTATAGAGGTGCTTCAATGTTTTTTGCAGTGTTGTTTAATGCTTTTTCTTCATTATTAGAAATTATGGCTCTTTTTGAAGCCAGACCTATTGTGGAAAAGCATAAGAAATATGCCCTTTATCGACCTTCTGCTGATGCTTTAGCAGGTATTATTACTGAACTTCCAACTAAATTACTTACATCTGTTTCTTTTAATCTTGTATTTTATTTTATGGTTAATTTTAGACGTGAACCAGGAAGATTTTTCTTTTACTTTTTAATGTGTTTCAGTGCAACTTTAGTTATGTCTCATCTTTTTAGATCTATTGGATCAGTATCAACTTCATTACCTGGAGCTATGACTCCTGCAACGGTTTTATTATTAGCTATGGTTATTTATACTGGGTTTGTAATTCCAACTCCAAAAATGTTGGGTTGGTCAAGATGGATTAATTATATTAATCCCGTGGGTTATGTTTTTGAATCTTTAATGGTTAATGAATTCCATAATCGAGAATTTGAATGTTCTACATTTGTTCCAACTGGTCCAGGTTATGAAAATATTGCTCTGAACGAAAGAGTTTGTAATACTGTTGGATCTGTAGCTGGTTCAACTATTGTTCAAGGTACAACTTATTTAGCTGAAAGTTATCAATATTATAATTCTCATAAATGGAGAAATTGGGGGATTGTTATTGCTTATGCCGTATTTTTCCTTTTCATTTATGTATTTTTAACTGAATTTAATAAAGGTGCTATGCAAAAGGGTGAAATTGTTTTATTCCTTAGAGGTGCTTTAAAGAAACATAAAAAGGTTTCTCAAGAAAGAAAAATTAATCAAGAAGATGAAGAAAATAAATTACCATCTTCAACTTCAGAAAAGATTCCAATTAAAGATGAATTTGAAGCCATTAAAAATGGATCTGAATCAGAAACTACAAATAAAATTAATGATAATAGTTTACCTTCATCTAAAGATATTTTCCATTGGAGAGATTTAACTTATCAAGTTAAAATTAAATCAGAAGATCGAGTTATTTTAAATCAAGTTGATGGTTGGGTTAAACCAGGTCAAATTACGGCTTTAATGGGTGCATCTGGAGCTGGTAAAACAACTTTATTAAATTGTTTATCAGAAAGAGTTACATCGGGTGTTATTACTGATGGAGTTCGTATGGTTAATGGTCATTCATTAGATTCTTCATTTCAAAGATCTATTGGTTATGTTCAACAACAAGATTTACATTTATCAACTTCAACTGTTCGAGAAGCTTTAAGATTTTCTGCTTATCTTAGACAACCAGATTCTGTTCCAAAGAAGGAAAAGGATGATTATGTTGAATATATTATTGATTTATTAGAAATGAGTGATTATGCTGATGCCTTAGTTGGTGTTGCAGGTGAAGGTTTAAATGTTGAACAAAGAAAAAGATTAACTATTGGAGTTGAATTAGTTTCAAAACCAAAATTATTATTATTCTTGGATGAACCAACTTCGGGTTTAGATTCTCAAACTGCTTGGTCTATTTGTAAATTGATGAGAAAATTGGCTGATCATGGTCAAGCTATTTTATGTACTATTCATCAACCTTCAGCTTTATTATTAAAGGAATTTGATAGATTATTATTTTTACAAAAGGGTGGGAAAACAGTTTATTTTGGACCTTTAGGTAATGAATGTAAATCTTTAATTAATTATTTTGAAAAATATGGTGCTGATCCTTGTCCTCCTGCTGCTAATCCTGCTGAATGGATGTTGGAAGTTGTTGGTGCTGCTCCTGGTTCTCATGCAAAACAAGATTATTTTGAAGTTTGGAGAAATTCTGATGAATATAGAGAAGTTCAAGGAGAATTAAATAATATGGAACAAGAATTAGTACTTTTAGAAAGAGATACATCTCCTGAAGCTCATTTAAAATATGCTGCTCCTATTTGGAAACAATACCTTATTGTTACTTGGAGAGTTCTTCAACAAAATTGGAGATCTCCTGGTTATATCTATTCTAAATTATTCTTGGTTGTATCGGCTGCTTTATTTAATGGATTTTCATTCTTTAAGGCCAATAATTCTATGCAAGGTTTACAAAATCAAATGTTTGCTATCTTTATGTATTTCATTGTATTCAATACTTTAGTTCAACAAATGTTACCATACTTTGTTAAACAAAGAGATCTTTATGAAGTTAGAGAAGCTCCTTCTAGAACATATAGTTGGATGGCATTTATTCTTGGACAAATTACTGCAGAAATTCCATTCCAAATTGCTGTCGGTACTATTTCTTTCTTTTGTTGGTATTATCCAGTTGGTTTATATAGAAATGCTGTACCAACCGATGCTGTTAATCAACGTGGGGTTTTAATGTGGTTATTATTAACCGCTTTCTTTGTTTATACTTCTACTATGGGTCAATTATGTATGTCATTCAATGAATTGGCTGATAATGCTGCTAATTTGGCTACTTTATTATTCACTATGTGTTTGAATTTCTGTGGTGTTTTAGCAGGTCCTGACGTTTTACCAAGATTCTGGATTTTCATGTACAGATGTAATCCATTCACTTATTTAATTCAAGCAATTTTATCTACTGGTTTAGCTAATACTAATGTTATTTGTGCGCCTGAAGAATATTTAGTATTTGATGCTCCAAGTGGTCAAACTTGTGGTACATTTATGCAAAGCTATATGTCAATGGCAGGAGGTTATTTGACTGATGCAAATGCTACTTCTGGATGTAGATATTGTCAAATGGCTTCTACTAATGCTTTCTTAAGCAGTGTTAATGCTATTTATTCTGAAAGATGGAGAAATTATGGTATTTTCATTGCTTTTATTTTCTTCAACATTATCTTGACAGTTATATTCTTCTATTTAGCCAGAGTTCCAAAGGGTAATAGAGAAAAGAAGAAGGCTGCTAAGAATTAGATATCCCAAACACTTTTATTTAATATTATTTATACTAGACTAATACACACTATGCGTTATTAATTTTATTATTGTAGTTAATGATTAAGAATTCTAGTTTAGTTTATTCGCATAAGTAACCAACTGATAACAAGCAAGTAATTAAACGATTTAAGTATTGCAACCATTCGTATTACATCGTACATCGTTTAGAACCCAACTAAAAGATTTAAACCCCAAACCATCACCAAATCTAGTAAAATCATCCCACCCATGGATGGTGCCTCAAATAGGTAATGAGCCGTATAGCTCTGTGCAGTCCCACGCATATAAAAAAAAAAGTGGTACGGTGAAAAGTTTGGCTCTCAAAATCGGATCACAAACGACGACTGATTCAGAATAAAACTTAACTGCAATTGGGGTATATAAAGTAGTAAATTTCGAGGTTATAATTCTTATTTGAAGTTTTAAATTTATATATTAAGAAACAACTATAAATTATAACAACAATGGTTACTGCCGAACAAATTCATGATAAATCATTTCCGATAAGAGAACGGATAGAAGCTCTTATCAGATTAAAGCAAGCTGAAATTACTAAAGGATTGGCTGCTTTAGATACTGTACAATTTCTCACTGATAAATGGGAAAGAGGTAATGATGGAGGTGGTGGTGAATCTATGGTAATACAAAATGGTACTACTTTTGAAAAAGGTGGTGTTAATATCTCCATTGTTCATGGAAAATTACCACCTCAAGCTGTTCAAAGAATGAGAGCAGATCATGCTAATTTAAAGGGTTCATCTGATGGTAGTGTAAATTTCTTTGCTTGTGGATTATCTATGGTTATTCATCCTATAAATCCTCATGCACCAACTACACATGCTAATTACAGATATTTCGAAACTACAGATCCTGAAACAAATGAAGTTCAAGCTTGGTGGTTTGGTGGTGGAGCAGATTTAACTCCATCTTACCTTTACGAAGAAGATGCCATTTTATTTCATCAACAACACAAGGATGCCTTAGATAAGCACGATAAAGAATTATATCCAAAATATAAGAAATGGTGTGATGAATATTTCTATATTAAACATAGAAATGAATCAAGAGGTATTGGTGGTATTTTCTTTGATGATTTTGATTCTAAACCGGCTGATGATATCTTGTATATAATTGAAGACTGCTTTGATGCCTTTTTACCATCATATGTACCAACTATTTTGAAAAGAAAAGATACGCCATATACGAAAGAGCAAAAGGAATGGCAACAATTAAGAAGAGGAAGGTACGTAGAATTTAATTTGGTATTAGATAGAGGTACTCAATTTGGCTTACAAACTCCTGGTTCAAGAGTAGAGAGTATTTTAATGTCTTTGCCAAAGACAGCTTCTTGGTATTACGATCATCACCCTGTCCTGGGATCTGAAGAAGACCGCTTGCTCCAAGTATTACAAAATCCAAGAGAATGGGCCGTTTAGTATAGCCTATAAATAGTTATAAACAAAAGTTGTATATAAAGTATGAATACATTGTCTTAAGTTGATTCACAAGGTAAAGCTTTAGCAGTTTTAGATTAAGCTATGAATAAATACTAGTAATGTTCGATTTAGAGCTTAATAGTTCAAATTCTTTTTGTACGATAACTTTCACGATCTACAACTATTTATTCACTAAACACAGTAAAACATATACAATCAAACCAAGAGAGGGCCCAACAGATCTACTCTTCAAACTCATCTTCAAACTCATCTTCAAACTCATCTGCAGAATCATCTGCAGACTCATATTCAGACTCAACGTCATCACTCCACAACATTAGAGCATTCTTCCGTCTGCTTTCCCTTAAAAATGTACTAATGTCTGAACGGAAACATTGTACGACAGTTCGATTATCAATTCGCTGTCTGTACTCAATTGTAGCATCACGAGGTAGATGTCTTCTACTATTGATTCTCCCTGTTTCTTTAAAAGTCTCCTTCCTTTGCTTAGACATAAACAGAAAACCAAAGTCTGTAATAAATACTGATCTCGAATTCACGTTGACTAGTATATTATGAGGTGTTAGGTCTAAATGGGCCAATCCCTGTTGATGCATATAATCAACAGCATCTAATGTTTTAGACTTGAATCTTAACCTTTGTCGATGTGTTAATGTAGACAATGGAACAGCATCAATGTATTTATAAATGAAAAATAATCCACTGACTGAGTTGTCATATACTGCAAGCTCATGGTTGTAAGTTGCAGTATTGCTTCTGATGAAGCCTATTGTATTGATTTTTGGAAAAGCATCATTATCCAAAATACTTAGGCAAGCCACTTCTAGACAGAAGGATCTGAAAAGATCAAGAAAACTTTTTATGCCGTCTCCATTAGTAGCACTAAGTTGTGCGGACCTAATGGGATCGTACACTTTGACAGTCTGGAATTCCCCATCCATAGTTTCACATCTATAGAGAATTCCATTTGTCGAGCCGAATGTGGAACCCGATATGATTTCAACGAAGTCCATTCTTCCTCTTAGTTCTTCCATTGTTACTTCTTGGAAATCAAAAAGCTTCATTAATTTACGCATAATAGCGACATCACTAGATTTGATATTCAATTCGTGATTTGATAATGCTACTGAGTCTTGCTCAAAGTTTGTATACAGCAGAAGCATTGGCAGACTTGTCACATCATCATATACAGGTGGACGCAAATCATATTGATGGTTATCAGCTCTTAATCTATTGATGAACCTTACCATATATTCTTGGCAACTTGTATTTAAGCTTCTTACAATCAATTCCCTTTTAGATCCTTCAATGTTTAAATCGGGGAAGTTATCAAATGGAGTTTTGAAAGTATTGTATAATATCATGCAAAACTTACAAACTCTATTGAAGTTCGTGTCCGAGTTTATGATCAATGGGTTGCTACTGATCTGTCTTAATATTTTACAACGATTCAATCCAGCATATTCTTCGGAAACTCCAGCATTCTGTAAGTCAAAAACTATGAAGTCTTTATAATTGCTTAAGATAGATATTGGAGAACGACATGTCCTAGAATAACGAATACATTGAGAGTAGTATTCCACAAATATTTTACTGTCTTCACTTTCAGGTCTGGTGATATCAAAATTTGACATCGCTAATGATATATCGAATCTTTTGACCTCAATAGGGATTCTTATATTGTATGCACCGCAAGATAAAATGATATCTGGATAAGCTGTTGCACCTTCATTCCTAGGTCCTTCGTTGATTGGCTGTTGAGGTACCATCTGAATGTCGACATTTAATAAGATACTTAATACTTCAATACAATTCTCAATCAAATTACGTTCTAACAACTTTTGAACTGGCATCTCGTGTGTGTTTGGGATAATGAGATTATAATTGTATCTGAATGAAGGGATGCGAGGAATTAATTCTGATCTCACAGTCCAAGAAATAAAGTCATCTAATTGATAATCGATTGGAGGCATGGAAGGGTAAAAGTTTCCGATCAATTTCTTTATCGTATGGTTACGTGGTTCATATCTTGGACGCATCAAAACACCATCATCTGGAATATTTGGTAAATCTAAGCGAAGAAAGCAGGATAATCGAAAGTACCCAGAGAAGTGGTCAGATAAAGGCTTCAAAAGTTTCGAGTTTGAACAGAATGTAAAAAGTAACAGTCCAACTTTTAACAGCACCAATGAAAGGAGATTCAGATTTGGATACCTGATTGGACACAAGACATGGAAGTTGAATAAATCCAACATTAAATGAAGTAAGTCTCCTTGATTCTCCGAAGTAATCTCAACTCCCCATGGCAACAACTCAGATAAAAACTCTTTAATTTCATTTTGATTAGGGTTCTTCAAATATTCATCTAATTTTTCTACTAAAGTGTTGTAGGATTTTAAACCTCTTGAATGAATCTTAAAGATATCGAACTCAACGGATTTGAGAGCTGCAACCAATCTATTGGTACTATTTGTAAAGTTTATTATATCTTGTAAGGACATGACTGTATTGATCTTAGTAGAAGTAATCAATTGGATTAGTATATAGTTCTATACAAGGGAAATATATTATGCACATTAGATTACTCGAATAAGCGTTAGAAAATAATGTGATGTGTAACCTAAAGCTTTTGGCAGCCCATTACATAAGCCAAGGGGAGGCACACACAATATAGCGCGTGCCTGCATATAACAATATAATGTCGGCCTCGGTAAAAGCTTGCCCCGCCATTTAAATCATAAATTTACAAGCTGGAGAATATATCGCCAAGTCTACTACTAGCTATTCAATGTCAGATCTTGCAAGAAGACTAGGGCCGCAAGGTCGACAACTCTTGTATAGCCAGCAAGGGTTTACCGGGGTGGGTCCACAAGAGCTCGATTTTGTTGTTCATGAACTAAGAAATCCCCGTCCAGATACGAATGTTAGAAAGGTGTTGGGATATATGTACAACTACTTGCCATATGTTAAACACGAACATAACTTGAGGGTATTAGTTGCTAGTTTTCTTAATAATCCTGTATGTTTTGGATCGAATACAGTCCCGTTTGAATCAAATTATCTTATAATTGAAGTGTTTAAATTAATTACTGATAAAAAGTTGAAGATTAGTATTCCTACTTTATCATTGAAGAGTTTTTATTCAGTAATTTTAACGGAATTGACCAATTTTGCTGCGTTTAATCCCGTAGTAAATAGTTGGAAAGTGTTACCAATAATAACTGGTTTATTATTATCGAATACTTTAAGAGATGAATTATACGTATTTCCTAATGTAATTGAGTATAGATGGTTCTTCCTGGATTGGGATACGAAAATTTTGGAACTTTTCTACAATAGTCTTAACTATAGTGTTTCTGCAGCTCAACCAGATGATGTGGTGAATTTAAGTCTTGTGAGTTATGCTTTAATATTCAAAAAGGATCAAGATATCAAAACCAAAGTGTCATCAAGTTTCATAATTCAAAAGCTTGCTTATTTATTATTTTCTCATCCTGATAGTTCAACCCTAAGTTATCGAAGGTTGTTCGAGTTGGATCCAAACTCCCAAGATAGCGAGCAAATAATTCAGGAGCATATATTACAAAAGCCTACTATTAAACACCTCAACAAAATTTCATTCCTTTTACAAGCTTATTTCAAAGTCCTTCCATTGGGTACACAGTCCTATAATGTAATAAACAACGTAGTTGATACTATTGTTTATTTCAATCGTCAATTGAATCATACTAGTTCCTCTTCAGAATTTAATAATGCCAAAAGCTCAATCAGTACCAATCATTTACATCAACAATACTGGTTCATAATGAAGAACATATTATTTTCTCAAACTATTATTATCCAAGGAATTTTAACTAGATGCTTAATAAATACTTCACAATCTGGCTATACTTTCAGTCTATTTGGAAGAAGAAACCAAGTTAATAAGATAGAACATGAATATCATCAAATTTCATTAAAGATATTATCAATTCTCTATTACGCCAATTTCATATTACTTTCTATCGGTCAGGGAGGGTTTGACAATTATAATTTTGTTTACTATTTAACACTAGAATTATCAATATCATCAAATGGTACTGATTTTGAAAATTTGACTAAATATTTGATATCGAATTATCAGGAAATCAATTTTTTTCCTCAAGAATTGAATAATAACTATATAATGAGATCAAAAGTTTTATTTGTCCTTGGGTTATGGGAAAATTACTTACAAAAAGCAAGTACAAATTTAGAAAAGAATGAAAGATTTATTGACAATTCCATTTTTCAACTTAGTTTTGATCTTGTAGATGATACAAAATACATCGAGGATGACTTAATAGAAGCATCTCATTCGGTGCTATTGTTTTGTTTCTCATCCCTTAATTCAAACTCAGATTTATCCAGATTCATAAACTATGGAAAATTATTATTCAACCAGTTTCCTAGACGGATTTCATCTCAACAATTGAATATTGCTGTTGAAACTATTGGTAAGAAGGTATTATCTAATCCATTTGGAGATGGACTTGCAGTAGAAAACTTTTTAAATTTTGTTTCTGATGAGTGTGCAATCATAAGACCAGGTATAAAGATCCCATCAGTTGGAACTAATGGGAATGCTAATAATTTTGGATTTGCATCTGCACAACCCATACAAGAAATTGCCGCCGAATCAGTGTTGGCCAATTTAGATGAGAAGGATGGTGATGTGATTGCAGGAAATAGAGTCAAACCTCCTAAGGACGTATCATTATTCCCTGATATTACGAAGAATCCACTAATGAAAGATTATGAATTTGAGAATCGTCTAGTTCCTGAAACATCTCGAGAAGCTGCCATAGTATCGTTCATTACATTACTACCTTATTTACCCTTATCAATATTTCTAAAATGGACTGATAGAATTTGGTCTCTTATTACTTCAAGTAATCCCAAGGAAAGAATATTTTTGATAAATATGTTATGGAAACTGTTGAGTGAAAATTTGGATCTTAACAGAGTAGAGCTTGCTATCAGATGGTGGTATAATATTAAGAGATTACCAGAAATTGCTATAGTGAACCATCAGTCTAGATTGTGATTATTATATATTATATATTATATTACTTATATTACTTAGGACACCCGCTAACCAAGTATGGTATATGCAGTCACCAAAATATAGAAAAAGTTTTGCAACCTCTCACATAGAAATGTATTCAGTAGAGAATCACACAACTATAAAAATATACCCCTTATCTCATTTGTAGGAAGCTATTATGGTAGTCTGTATAGAAATATCTTTATATACCCTCTTGTCAATTTGCTTATTGATTTCAGTATAGTATGGCCTAAAGAGTATAGTTAATAACCAAAAGAATAATAGTTAATACCCAAAAGTAGTATATGAAGGATGTAATCAACGGAATCCAAAGAATCTTTTCTCTATCAATTAAACGACTCTAGAATACTAACTTACCTAGTTGTAATCCCTAGCTATGAATATCAATTACACTATGAATAGTATAAGCTACATAATGTATATTTAGGGTCCCAGACGCTATCAGATTGATTATATGCAGACAGGCGCACAAAACCTGATAGGCCCATCTCAAAAATTTTAAAGATCTAGAGAGTAAGACGAAGATTAAGAATAAAGAATAAAGTATAAAGATTCAACACAATGGCTAGAAAGAAGTCGGCCGCCAAGAAGGCAAGAGAGGAAGCTGCCAAACTTGCAGTTTCATCAGAAACCAAAGTCGAAAATGCAACTGAACCCACTCAGACAATCGATGAATCAGACGAACACGAAGAATCGGAAGAAGAATCAGAAGAAAGTGAAGATGAGTTCGGAGATTTATTGACTGAAGATGTTGAAAAAGGGATTAACGAAGTTTTAGAAATTATTAAGAAAGATCCAAAGAAGTTGTTAGATCCAAATACCAAGTTTTTTGAAGATCCTGATAAAGTTGTATATGATACTAATAATGATAATAAAGAAAAACCAATGTATTTGCAAGAATTTCAAAGAAAGAATTTATTAGCTGGAAGTTATAAAGATGAAGACAATGAATATGGAACTGTAGATGGTGAAAAACCATTTATTGTTCAAGAAAGAGAAGAAAGAGATCAAATTCTTGAAGATATTAAGAATGCATTTGATGAAGATGTTGATGAAGAAGAAGATGATGAAGATGATGGATTCCTTAAGAAGAAAGAACCCAACACTCAAAGAAGGATAGAAGTAGATACAAACGTCTTACCAGATCCAGAAAAGAATGAAGAAGAGTTTTTGAAAGCGTTTTTAGATAATAAGGCATGGATTCCTAAAAAGGAAGATAAAACTTTAAATTTAGATAAAATTGAAAGAGAAGCCGAGGGAGAATTTGAGGAGGCAGTTGAACAGTTTGAGCATGTATATAATTTCAGATATGAAGATCCAACAGCTGCAGAAATTGTCTCCTATGCCCGTAATCAAGCAACTCTAAGAAGATCAGCTACCAATGCTCGTCAAAGACAAAGAGAGAGAAAGAAAGAAGAGAAATTGAAAGAACAAAAGGAAAAGGAAGATCTTTTGAAGAAAAAGAAAACTTCTAAAGTTAATAAAGTCATGGATAGATTGGAAAAGATCAAGCAAGCTGTAGGAGAAGAAGTTAGTGATGATGTCATACAAAAGGTATTTGGTAACTCCTTACTTCAAGATGACTTTGATGATGCCGATTGGGATAATAAGATGGCGGAAATATTTAACCAGCAATATGGCGATGAAGGTGATGATAGTTTAAAGAAACCAGAATGGGATGAAGATGATGATATAATGGGTGACTTCTACGCTGAAAAGAAGAACGGAAAACATGAGGATGAAGATGTCGAAGTGAACGAAGATGAAGATGAAGATGAAGATGAAGAAGACGAAGAAGAGGAGGATGATGAAGAGGATAAAAAGGTCTCTAAGAAAGACAAACTCAAGAAAAAGAAGTCTGCTAAGAAAGAAAAGCAGTCATTAAGAGAAAAGGCTCAACAGATTGTTGACTCAAAGACATATCTTCTTCTTGACGAAATTGACGAAGAGAGGGGCAACAATAATGATAAAGAAGATGTACAATTCAAGTATAGAGAAGTTTCACCTGAAAGTTTTGGTTTAACTACTCGTGACATATTAATAGCCGACGACAAACAATTGAATACATTCATTGGAATGAAGAAATTGGCTCCATATATACCCAAAGAAGATGCCATCAAAGATAAAAGAAAGTATGGTAAGAAAAAGAGATTACAACAATGGAGAAGAGAAGTGTTTAATGACAAAAATGGGCCAACAACTCCTCAAGATGATAGATATGATATTTGGATACCAGCAGAGGAACCAAAACATAAGAAGAGAAAAATCAAAAGTTAATCATGTATAATGTGTAAATTAGAATGTATAGAAATAAATTAATATCTAATTATCTACAATTGTTCTATAAACAAGTTCATTATCTTCACCTTCAAGCTTTTCTTTTTCGAAAAAGTCACTTCCAAATTCAATTAAACCAGTTTCAGCTGCATATACTGCCCAATGATCAACAAGGGAAGATAATACTTTAGGTTCAATTTTAGCTAAATCTCTAGTTTCTCCAGGATCCTTTTTTATATTGAACAATTGCCATTTTTCAGGTCCAAAAGGAGCAGGAATGTAAATTGCTTTATACTCTCCTTGTCTAATAGCTTGTTGACCAAATAATTCCCAACCAGTAACAGTAGTTTCCGAGTGAATTTCATCAGATTCACCACCCAAATATAATTTCCAAGATTTACCTCTTGGGATGGCAACTTTTCGACCTTTCCATTCAGATCCTGGATGTTCTAATCCTGCTAAATCTAAGATTGTTGGTAAAATATCCATTACAGTTGCAAAACCATCTAAAATTTTACCTTGTCTGGACTCATTAATAACAGGAGGGTAATGAACAATTAATGGACATACAATTGCTCCTTCAGTAGACCACATCTTATACATTGAATGAGGAGAAGTAGCAGCTTGAGCCCATTGATCTCCATAAAATACAAATGAATCTCCTTTACCAATATTCTCTAAAGAATTATTATAGTACTTTTCAATAAAAGTATTAAATCTTAAGTTAGTTAAAGGAAGAGCTTCCATTAACATTCCTTCAGCACCATTATCCGACATAAATACAATAAATGTATTTTCTAATTCTCCAGATTCTTCAAGAGCATCAAGAACTCTGCCGATGTTGTAATCTAATATTTCAACCATAGCAGCATATGTCTCCATAATTCTAGATTCAATTTCCTTTTCATGATCAGTTAATTCATCCCATGTTTTTCTGACGGTCTTGATAGGATGAGGTGTTATGCCTTCAGGAATAATCCCTTGCCTTACAGCAGCAGCTAATCTTTGCTTCCTTAATTCTTGTGGACCACCATTATATTTTCCCTTATATTTAGCAATAATTTCTGGTGGAGCTTGGTATGGCCAATGGGGAGCAGTGTACGTTAAAAGGCCCAAAAATGGTCTATCATCTCTTTGTGGATGATTAATGAATTCTAATGCTTTATCAGTAAAATAGTTGGTTGAATAAAAGTCTTGAGGTAATTCCTTTTCTGCATCAACTGATTGACCATCTTTTTCATAAATATTTGGTAAGAACTTAATTTCTTCACCATTTTCATCTTTGATGATTCTTTTATAGTGATTCCCAGCACCAGGTAAAAGAGTGAATGATTTTTCAAAACCTCTTTTAATTGGCCAATAATCAGGCAAAAGACCAAGATGCCATTTCCCAGAAATAAAAGTATAATAATCACCTTTTTCTTTAACTATTTCTGCCAAACTTACAACATTATCATTAAGATATCCTTCATATCCCTTTTTCCCACCAAATTTTTCAGGATGTCTAGCAGCAAATTCTGCCATTTGACCTAAACCAGCAATATGGTTATCAGTACCAGATAAGAGCATAGATCTAGTAGGTGAACATGCTGAAGCTGTATGAAAATCAGTTAATCTAACACCTCTTTTAGCTAATTTATCCAAATTTGGGGTATGAATCTCTCCCCCAAAAGGACTAGTATCAGTAAATCCTAAATCATCAGCAACAATGATAAGAAAATTAGGCTTTTTACCAGTCATATTTGCTTTAATGATTCCTGTTAACTAGTTTTGATTTCTTTAGTATAATTCTTCATTATATTTATAGAGATAGCAAATTTCTTGGAGGTTATATCATTTTGCAATAAAATTATCAATTACAAAACGCCACACTTGAAGCATTGTGTAACTTATTTTGTTGCTGTGCGGCTCACATTGACACTAACTTTTAGCTTATGTAATGTGCTGCCAAATTTTTATGTGTAGTCCAGTATATTATTATGCTTATTCGAGTCATCTTATGTACATAATATATTAAAATTCTAATTGTAGTTAGCAATATTTAATAGAGCATTATACTGACCCCAATGACTACATCCAGAACTGTCATGTCCTTACAAGATATAATAAACTTTACAAATAGTACCAATAGATTGGTTGCAGCTCTCAAATCCGTTGAGTTCGATATCTTTAAGATTCATTCAAGAGGTTTAAAATCCTACAACACTTTAGTAGAAAAATTAGATGAATATTTGAAGAACCCTAATCAAAATGAAATTAAAGAGTTTTTATCTAGGTTGTTGCCATGGGAAGTTGAGATTACTTTGGAGAATCAAGGAGACTTACTTCATTTAATGTTGGATTTATTCAACTTCCATGTATTGTGTCCGATCAGGCATCCAAATCTGAATCTTCTTTCATCCGTACAATCAAGGATGGAAAGAAAACTAGATGCCTTTTGTACAAATTCAAAACTTTTGGACCCATTATTGGAACACTTCATTGGCTACTTTCGATTATCCTGCTTTCTTAGGTTAGATTTACCAAATATTCCAGATGATAGTGTTTTGATGCGTCCAAAATATGAACCACGTAACCATACGATGAAGAAATTGATCGGAAACTTTTATCCTTCAATGCCTCCAATCGATTATCAATTAGATGACTTTATTTCTTGGACTGTGAGATCAGAATTAATTCCTCACATCCCTTCATTAAGCTACGATTATCATCTCATTATCCCAAACACACACGATATGCCAGTGCAAAATTTGTTAGAACGTAATTTGATTGAAAACTGTACTAAAGTATTAAGTATCTTATTAAATGTCGACATTCACATGGAGCCTCAACAGCCACTCATCCAAAGGTCAAAGTATAGAGATACAACAGCTTATCCAGGTATCATTTTAACCTCCTCAGGTGCAAACAGTATAAGAATCCCTATTGAGGTCAAAAGATTCGATATATCATTAGCGATGTCAAAATTTGATAGAACCAGACCTGAAAGTGAAGACAGTAAAATATTTGTGGAATACTACTCTCAATGTATTCGTTATTCTAGGACATGTGGTTCTCCAATATCTATCTTAAGCAATTATAAAGACTTCATAGTTTTTGACTTACAGAATGCTGCAGTTTCCCAAGAATATGCTGGATTGAATCGTTGTAAAATATTAAGACAGATCAGTACTAACCCATTGATCATAAACTCGGACACGAACTTCAATAGAGTTTGTAAGTTTTGCATGATATTATACAATACTTTCAAAACTCCATTTGATAACTTCCCCGATTTAAACATTGAAGGATCTAAAAGGGAATTGATTGTAAGAAGCTTAAATACAAGTTGCCAAGAATATATGGTAAGTTTCATCAATAGATTAAGAGCTGATAACGATCAATATGATTTGCGTCCACCTGTATATGATGATGTGACAAGTCTGCCAATTCTTCAGCAGAATAGAATCTTTGAGCAAGACTCAGTAGCATTATCAAATCACGAATTGAATATCAAATCTAGTGATGTCGCTATTATGCGTAAATTAATGAAGCTTTTTTATTTCCAAGAAGTAACAATGGAAGAACTAAGAGGAAGAATGGACTTCGTTGAAATCATATCGGGTTCCACATTCGGCTCGACAAATGGAATTCTCTATAGATGTGAAACTATGGATGGGGAATTCCAGACTGTCAAAGTGTACGATCCCATTAGGTCCGCACAACTTAGTGCTACTAATGGAGACGGCATAAAAAGTTTTCTTGATCTTTTCAGATCCTTCTGTCTAGAAGTGGCTTGCCTAAGTATTTTGGATAATGATTCATTCCCCAAAATAACAGAAATTGGCTTCCTCAGAAGCAATACTGCAACTTACAACCATGAGCTTGCAGTATATGACAACTCAGTCAGTGGATTATTTTTCATTTATAAATACATTGATGCTATTCCATTGTCTACATTAACACATCGAGAAAGGTTAAGATTCAAGTCTAAAACATTAGATGCTGTTGATTATATGCATCAACAGGGATTGGCCCATTTAGACCTAACACCTCATAATATACTAGTCAACGTGAATTCGAGATCAGTATTTATTACAGACTTTGGATTTCTGTTTATGTCTAAGCAAAGGAAGGAGACTTTTAAAGAAACAGGAAGAATCAATAGAAAAAGACATCTACGTCGTGATGCTACAATTGAGCACCTACAGCGAATTGATAATCGAACCGTAGAAAAATGTTTCCGTTCAGACATTAGTCCATTTTTAAGGGAAAGCAGACGGAAGAATACCATAATGTCATGGATGCATGGAATTGAGCTGAAAGACGAGTCTATGTCAGAGCTGCAAGATGAATCTCCGTCAGAGCTGGAAGATGAGTCTCTGTCAGACCCATGCTCGGATTGATTGCATGTGCTTTACTCTATTTTCTGTTCGGGGAAAAAATAGTTGCAAATCGTAAATATTTTAGCACAAAAGGAACAGTTAAGGGTTCAAATCAAACATTATAAATAGTTCAACTTTGAGCAGAATGAATTTTGCTTATTCAATTAGATTTGAACCAGTGCCTAAACGTGCTAATATAATTCGGTTAATAATATTCTTTGTATACACAATTTAAATATCAGCTATGTTTTTTAGAGGCTATACTAAACGGACCATTTCCAGGGAATTGTAAAAACTTGTTTCTTCAGATCCCAGGATAGGGAGGTGAAAGAAATACTAAGAAGCTATCTCTATCTTTGGCAAATATATTAACATATTCTCCACCCTTTAATCAAGAGTTTGCAACTCAAACTGAGTACCTCTAAATTTCCGGGGTTATTTTTGGTGATCACAATTCAGAAGTTAATTATGTTAGATCAATCAAATACCATTGAAGCCGGGTCATACCGCGTAATTTCCTGCCCCACATTCGGAATATTGGGCCGTTGAAGATGGTTATAACCACTTTAGCCACATAAATGCCTCTTTGACGTGAATTATATCGTAAGAAGGATACCGAAGTGGTGGAGAATTGTGGGGTAGTTTCGATAGATCCGAGCCCTATTATGAGTAAGCATCATCTATATAAAATTTATTTTATAGATTGATCTAATTTAGATTGTATTTTTAATATTTTTTGTGCTTGTATTACATATTATTATGTAATTGTGTTGATATCGGACTGTTTTACAGTAACTTGAAATTATTTTGAATATAAATGTCGAAAAACGACATTGTTTTGAAAAGTTATGCTGGAACCTCCCCCACTCTCACTGGAAATAAGTTTTTCCTGATCTCCATAATTAACTCGTTAATTTTAAAAGGAGGCTTTTCTGTTTGTAAATTTTTTCAACAATGTCTTACATGCACTGAATTTGCAGTACATTATTGATTGAGGATCAAATGTGGGGCAGGCAAATTGTATTAGAGCGACCCCAACATTGTATTTGTCAAAAACATTTTCTGACACTTCAAAATCTCATTTAATCTTTGGGGATTGCTTTTATTATTAACCGGCCATACAATATACTGATAAAAATACTAGTTCTATAAAACTACTCTTGATTAGCTCGCTAGAAATGCAGGTGTAGATATTGCAGTATGTGAACATTTTTGCAATAATCAACTGCAAAATAACACTTATAAATAGAATACCAAGTGTTCAAAAAGTATTTGTGCTTAATAAAAATTGAATATAGGTCAAGTATTAATCATACTATTTCGCCTTATATATTATAATCAGACTTTAGTAATATGTCGTTTGTCACCGATATCGAAAAAGCATCTCATGAGCACAGAGAGCTTCCAGAGGGGTCGAGTGCTTCCTTAGATGAAACTGTGAAATTAGAACCTCAACATTATGATTATCTCATAAAGAGACATGGAACAATCGTGTTAGATCCTCTTCCTTCAGATGACCCCTTGCAGCCAATCAATTGGCCAGATAAGAAAAAGAATTTTGAGATTCTTTTAATAGCATTCCAAACTTTCAGTTCAACATTTATGGCAGGTGGTCTTACCCCAGCCTTTGAACCAATGGCTATAGCTTATGGAATTTCGACACCTACCGCTGCATATTTAACATCTGCTCAAATTGCTGTCTTGGGTGGTATGCCTTTATTCTGGCTTCCTTTAATGAATGCTTATGGTAGAAATGGTTTCTTATGTCTTGCCTCTTTATTATGTGGAGCTTTAAATGTTGGTGGTGCTTATTGTAAAACTTACGGTCAACAAATGGCTACTAGAGTTTTAGTAGCCTTTTTCATTTCTACTGGATATTCTGCAGGTAGTCCTATAGTTGCAGATCTAGCATTTGCACACGAAAGAGGTAAAAAGAATGGATGGTGGTCAGTAGGTATGGTACTTGGAACAACAGCAGGTCCTTTCTTCTGTGGGTTTATCCAACAGCATGCTGGTACAAAATGGATATACTTAGTATTTGCAATAATGAATTTCGTTCAATTTTTTCTTTGGATAATAGTTGATGAGACTGTCTATATAAAAGGTCAGTCAACATCCACCAAGAATATTTTCAAAAGAATCTTTAGATTCAAGAGAAATCCAAATCAAGAATTGTCATTCAGAGTATTGGTTAGTCCTTTCTTAATATCTAAAAACTTTAATATAATGATGGCTGTTATTTCTATGTCAATTATTTTTGCCTATGCAAATATTGTTTTGATTGTTGAACTCCCTCAAGCAATGGGTATCTTATTCCAATTAGATGCTCAACAAATTTCTTATCAATTTATAGCACTTATTATTGGTTCGACTATTGGTGAATTCTTAGCGGGACCTCTTTCAGATTGGTGGATGAAAAAGAGTATTGCAAGAAGGGGTGGTAAAAGAGTTATTGTCGATAGAATTTGGGTTTCATATAATGGATTCATTTGTGTTATAGTAGGGTTGATTGTCTGGGGTGTGTATCTTAGTAGGGCTACACCTGGACATTGGATTATAGCTCCTATCATTGGAGCTGCTATTGCTGCTGCTGGTAATAATATCTGTATGACGGTTTTGGTAACATTTGCTCTTGATAATGATCCAGTTCATGCTACTGAAATTGGATTATTTTTGACATTTGTAAGACAAATGTTTGCCTTTATTGGACCATTCTACTTCCCCTATATGTTTGATAATTTAAATTTTGGAGGTTCAGCTGGATTAATGTGTGCGTTGGTAGCAGCATTTGGTGCGGGCCCTATGGTGCTTACGCACATATTGGGCTTAAGAAACTTAAACCAAACATAAATAAGCTCATTTTTTCGCAGCCAATAATTTCGATTTTGTTTAGCTTAGCTTAGACAGTAATGCTATATTTGAGTTTAAATAATACAAATATAAATATGTAAATAATTAAAGAGAAAAAAAGGCAAGAATTCTAATCTATTCGTATCTATTGGGGAAACTGATAATTGACTTTGCTCCAGCATTTCTTCTCAAGCCAAAACTCTTGATAGACCTGACTGTACCTTGAACTGGTACTCTTCTTTCATCTACCAAAACTCTATTAACCCAGGCTCTACCTAAAAAGTAACAACAACTGGCTACAATAACCATGAAACCAACTATACCGAAAAACCAACCAAGTTTTCCAGTTTGCTCGCCAGGAACAGTTACATTCATCCCAAATAAACCTGTTATAATATTCAAAGGGATCAAAACAGTACCAATTAATGAAACTCTTGATAACATATCAGTAATCCGATTATTTGATTTAACGGATTCAACTTGTAATTGAGCTAAATAGTTTGCATGACTTCTAGAGAAAATCTTTTCATATGCTGCTAAATTTTGGAACATGGTAACCACATGATCTTGAATATCACCTAAATATAATGCGATATCAGCCCTTGGTTGTGTTCTATTACCTTGGGTTTGGAATTGCCATTGATTAACTGGTTCCAACACAGCAGCAGATGCTCCAGGTGCGGGTCCAAAACTAACACCACCTGATGTAGGAGATGGTGACTCGTTAGTCATCCCTTGATCTTTTCTAATTCCTGTTAATTCTCCAATATCCATGCTTTCGCTATGATTAACAAAAGATGATGCTTCGTCTTGACATCTCTTAGCGAACATCTTAATGACATCTGCTTTACCAGATAATAATCTCATAAGTGTCATGACTTTTCTTCTAGATTCTCCAATTCTGGATAACATTATTTCGAAGTCTGCTTCTCTGGCAAGAAAAACCGAGTCCTCTATAGCGTCAGCTTCATACTCAATACCCGTGATGACTGGTGCGAAGGAATCGGTAATGTCATCGATTAAGGCATAACATAACCAATCAGCTGTGACTTCAACATAGTCTCTCAATTGACGAACTCTTCTTCTAACATTGGCTGGATGTGTGATTGGAGAGAAATGAAATGTTAAGATCCCTTCTCTAAATACAACCATATAAACATTGATTGGTTCTAAGTAATCTTCAGATTCCTTGTCTGCTTCAAAAGTATGGAAACAAACAAAATAATAGTTTCTGAATAGTTCGACCTTTTCACGAGCTTCTTGCATTCTAATATCTTCAGCTGTCAAAGGATGGATTCCAAACGCCTTAGCCAACACTTTCATTTCAACATCTGTTGGACAAGTACAATCTAACCACCAAGTTGGTTCTCCATTTCTAAACAACTCTCTAACTGTTTGACCCCGTTTCACTAAAGAAGGAATATCTGCAACATGGACTGTTTCGTCAGAATCGGATGTGAAGAATGAAAATCTGTCAATATTAACATGCGCATCAACTGCTCCTTCGATTTTGACACCATCAGAAACTTCAGCAAACTCGTGTTCGATTCTTCCTTTATGGTGATCATCCACCTTATAATGGAACTTTTCTAATTCAATAGGAGAATCATTTCCAGAATGAAGAGATTGTAAAGAACTGATTTCCTCATTATCAACACCAGTTAATCTTGACTTTAACTTAGTCAAAGCTGTATTTGTATTCTTCAAAATATTCTTGGGTGTGTATTTCAACGCAGAAGAACTTGGTTTGTTTATGCTTGTGCCAGTAGATCTAGCATCAGAACTCGAACCTTGATCGTTTAAATACTGTTGATCTCTCAATAAATTCTGTTGATCTCTTTCTTCTTTAATGAATTCTTCAATTTCATCAAAATCAATACCATTAATTCTGATATGTTCTCTTGACATTGGGAAACAAACATCTTCTTCAGTTTCCTGAGAAGATCTAGATGCATGAGAATCTGCTTCACTATCGATAGATACTCTAGACATTGTTCTATCCTTTTTAAAAGCATCTGAACCTACACTATCATTGGTACTAATATTTGAAATAGAATTGCTCCTCGGCTTTCTTTTAGGAATAGCATTAATTGGTACAGAAGAATCTAAGCCAATGGTAGATCCAGACCCGGATCTTGATCTTGAATTCGAACTAGCTTTTCTTGAAGATTTACCAATGGTAACTGGATTATTTTCAACGGTAACATCATCAACATCGTGAGAAGTAGGAGCTGCAGGTTTTACAAGTTCATGATTAGGATTCAACTGACCTCTATGATCGTACAAATTTTTAGGTTGACTTTCTTCATCCTGATTAGCTCCATTAATGAGACCAGTTTGATAGTAACTTTCTGAATCTGACATATTATTATAATCTAAATATTATTTAATAGGGTCTTCATTTGCAATTGCTGATGCTTTGGCTTAATTATAATTCAATAATTACCAATCACTCATCAGGGAATATAATATTATATTCAATAGATCTCTTTTTGTTGATATAATTCTGAGCTATTTAATAATTTAAATGAATCATATCATTAGTTCAAATGTATGTCAGTAGTGGAAGCTATTTGAACTTTTATATTTTCAAATTAAATAGAGCTAGTGAAAAGTTATTCTTACTACAAGAGATGAGGTCTCTATAAATAACCTTCCAAGTTACAATTAAGAAATTTCCTTTTTGTTTGTGTTCTAAACCATTTTATTAAAAGGCGTTTATCGACTCATATGTGGGCCAAGATTCTCACTAGGTAAGGAATTCGATATTCACCGGAAATAATGCGCCTACGCCAAGAAAACGGCGTTCAAAGTCTCATAACCAGCCGCTCTTAAGAATGGACTAGAGGTTAGTGATACTACCTATTATTAACAGTTATTCTGCTTTTACATAGAGATATATTTAGTATATTATTGTAGTAGCAGTAAAATGTAACTTGAAATAAAATGCCTCATTATAGAGCATATGGATTATACGGCCAAGAATAAGGATAATTTTAGACCAATTCAAACTTTTGCTTAGTTGCTTACAGAGAGGCTTTGCAATCCCGAGCCCCCGCAAAATAAATTATTACCGCATAGTTAAGAAAAATTGGTGTATATTAAACTAAACAAAAAAAATAAAAATAATAATAATTTTTAGGGTGCAAATTCACTTACTTTTGAGATCTGTATCTTTAACTTTATCGATCAAAATCTTACCTAAGTAGTAACATGCTACAGTAGCAACAATCATGATTGCAAAAATAGTGAAGAACCAGATTAAATCACCAGTATGTTCACCGGGGACAGTAACATTCATGGCAAACAACCCGGTAACAATATTTGTAGTGACCATAACTGTACCAATCAATGAAACTCTTGATATCATATCTGTAATTCGATTGTTGGATTTTATTGATTGTAATTGTAATTGAGCTAAATAATTAGCATGACTTCTTGAGAAAATCTTTTCATATCCTTTTAAATTTTGGAACATAGTAACCACATGATCTTGAATATCACTTAAATATAATGCAATATCGGCTCCTGGATGAACTATATTGTCATTTTCATTTTCAATAGGAATTTCTTTAGATGCAGTAGAAGACTGACATCTATTCCCAAACATTTTAATTACATCTGCCTTGGCTGATAATAATCTCATAAGCTTCATTACCTTTCTTCTTGACATACCGACCTTCAAGAGCATATTTCCATAATCTAAAGGACTCACAAAGACAGAGTGCTCAATATTGTCAGCTTCTTTCTCGACAGATGATATGGCTGGAGCAAACGAATCGGTAATGTCATCGATTAACGCATAACATAACCAATCAGCTGTGACTTCAACATAGTCTCTCAATTGACGAACTCTTCTTCTAACATTGGCTGGATGTGTGATTGGAGAGAAATGAAATGTTAAGATCCCTTCTCTAAACACAACCATATAAACATTGATTGGTTCTAAGTAATCTTCAGATTCTTTGTCTGCTTCAAAAGTATGGAAACAAACAAAATAGTAGTTTCTGAATAGTTCGACCTTTTCACGAGCTTCTTGCATTCTAATATCTTCAGCTGTCAAAGGATGGATTCCAAACGCCTTAGCCAACACTTTCATTTCAACATCTGTTGGGCAACTACAATCTAACCACCAAGTTGGGTTTTTAAATAGTTTTGAAATACTTTGTTCAGAATCAACCAAACCAGAAAGGGATGGGGAATGGATTATTTCGTTAGAATCGGTGGTGAAAAATGAAAATCTCTGAGACACATTTTGCAGCGATTTGGTGAGCTTTTTCATTAATAAAGTACTTTCAGGAATATACTTTGAGTTGAAGTCTGTTCTTCTTCCTTCCTTATTTGATGAACTGTTGATTTTATCTTGTTTCTCCTTTTCTACGAACTCTTCAAGGAACCCTAAGTTAACTTCATCAACTGGATTAATTGAACTCTGACAATAAGGATTTTGTTCAACAAAGGAATATCTCCTACTGGTATTAATTTCTTTTGATCTAATTTTAACCATTGGAGAAATCAAATCACTTTCAAGATTATAGGAAATCATTATTGAAAATTTGCTTTTAACTTTGTTATTTATGAATGTGTTTTAATCATCAGAAACACCAAATCGTCTAAATGTCTCTTAATATATTTACCATGAGTTTCAGATACTTATTTAATATTGAATATAAATTTTATCTCAAAGTAAACGAAGATTTTAATAAAGTCTTCTTAGCCATAATCTAGGATTGATTGGTTGCAAAATCATTCGGGTCTAAAATTCAATTATTTATTGATATTTATACAACCAACTAAACTAAGTTTTATAAAACTTTTCGCCAAGAGATGAGAAAATAATATATAACAATTGTGAGGTATGATATTAAGCTCATTGTTAATAGGAGTAAAATAATGGCTCACTTCTTGGAATCCTAATTATAGAATAGGTAGAGTTTTGCGAAAGAAAAATAGTCCCATACATATACGGGAACTTTTCGCCAAGGTTAACTAAGTAAAGCACATTATCAGGAAGCGCTTTCAAAAATACCAATTAAGGAAATTATGTCAAAGAAATAATTTCAAATAGAACTACAAATCGAATGCATTCGCCAAGGAGGATCTTGATCGAACATTCATAGCAGAGAGAACCAAAGTTAGCCGAAGTTACTTCCAAAATGAGATTTGAAATTTTCTAGTTTATGATCAATCTTAACTTATTACCGAATTAAAATGTATTAAAAATGACTAATCTAACAATAATCTACAATAGAAACTAAAAATAAATGAAATAAATAAACTTAAATAAACAATTAAGACAAACCTCAGAGAATGCCGTCTTCTATTATTCATATTTATTTGGGAAACTAATTATTGATTTTGCTCCATTATTTCTTCTTAATCCCAAACTTTTAATGGATCTTCTTGAGCTATTTGCTGTTGGTCTAGTCTCTTCAACCAAGATTCTATCTAACCAAATCTTACCTAAATAGAAACAAACAATCACAACGGCAAACATAACCCCAACAATACCGAAAAACCAACCAAGCTTTCCAGTTTGCTCACCAGGAACAGTTACATTCATCCCAAATAAACCTGTTATAACATTTAAAGGAACCAACATAGTACCAATCAAGGTCACTTTAGACAACATATCAGTAACCCTGTTGTTAGAATTAACAGACTCAACTTGTAATTGAGCTAAATAGTTTGCATGACTTCTTGAGAAAATCTTTTCATATGCTGCTAAATTTTGGAACATGGTAACCACATGATCTTGAATATCACCTAAATATAATGCGATATCAGCCCTTGGTTGTGTTCTGTTACCTTGTGTTTGGAATTGCCATTGATTTATAGGCTCTAAATTGGCAGCCGAGGCACCAGGAGCAGGTCCAAAACTTACACCAGGTGTGTTAGAATTAGGAGGAGTGGGACTATTTAATCCATGTAAATTATTATGAGATTGGCGTATTCCAGTAATTCCACCTTCGTTAATTTGATGATGATTAACAAATGCAGCTTCATCTTGACATCTCTTAGCGAACATCTTAATGACATCTGCTTTGCCAGATAATAATCTCATAAGTGTCATGACTTTTCTTCTAGATTCTCCAATCCTTAATAACATACCACCAAAGTCCATTTCTCTGGCCACGAATACTGAGTCTTCTATAGCGTCAGCTTCATACTCAATGCCTGTGATGACTGGTGCGAAGGAATCGGTAATGTCATCGATTAACGCATAACATAACCAATCAGCTGTGACTTCAACATAGTCTCTCAATTGACGAACTCTTCTTCTAACATTGGCTGGATGTGTGATTGGAGAGAAATGAAATGTTAAGATCCCTTCTCTAAACACAACCATATAAACATTGATTGGTTCTAAGTAATCTTCAGATTCTTTGTCTGCTTCAAAAGTATGGAAACAAACAAAATAGTAGTTTCTGAATAGTTCGACCTTTTCACGAGCTTCTTGCATTCTAATATCTTCAGCTGTCAAAGGATGGATTCCAAACGCCTTAGCCAACACTTTCATTTCAACATCTGTTGGGCAACTACAATCTAACCACCAAGTTGGTTCTCCATTTCTAAACAATTTACGGACAGTCTGATCTGGTCCTACTAATGATGGAATATCGGGGGCATGAATAGTTTCATCTGATTCAGAAGAGAAATAAGCAAATCTGTCAATATTAACGGCTGATCCATCAGTGATTCTTGTACCTCCAAACTTTACTTGTTCTGATGCGCTATCAGTATCAGTATTCTGAGCATAACGAGATTGGGAATCTTCAGGATTAGAACTGGAAGCATTATTTTTATAGTTATCATCACTTGAAGAATCAGAAGGAAATTTTTCCTTTTCCAAGTTGAGGGGAGATCCACCAGAATGGAGTGACTGTAATGAGTCCATTTCATCAATTTCATCATTATTTCCAGCTATTCTTGTTCTGAATTTAGTTAATACAGTATTTGTTTTCTTTAAAATATTTTTAGGAGTATATTTCAATGCAGCTGAACTTGGTTTGGTAATACTTGTACCAGTTGATCTGGCATTTGATAATCTTGTGGCAGTTCTTTGAGCATGTAATAATTGTTGATTTCTAATTATATTTTGTTGATCTCTTTCTTCTTTAATAAATTCTTCAATTTCATCAAAATCAATACCATTAATTCTGATATGTTCTCTTGACATTGGGAAACAAACATCTTCTTCAGTTTCCTGAGAAGATCTAGATGCATGAGAATCTGCTTCACTATCAATAGATGATCTTGACATTCTTCTATCAAAAGTGCTGTCATTTGTTTTGATCTTTATCATAGGAGATACTAAGTCACTTTCAAGGTTATCAGCCATAGTAGAATTCTTTCTTCCCTTTGCTTTCTTTTTAGAACTTGAATTAATATTGGAACTAGTGTTTCCCTTCAATAAAATACCTTGTTGTAAAGGAGCAGAAGATGATGATGGAGAAGGCAATTCATCTTTATTAATATTGACAAAATGTTTAATTTGATCAGTGAATGATCTAGATCTGGATCTTGACCTAGAGTTTGAACTTGATGTTGAAGAACTTCTGGAATGACCTCTTCCACCACTAATTGCTGTTGGTACTTGAAGTTTGAAACCACTATCATCATTTTCATCATCTGATTTTAAATAATAATCCTTTCTTAATCCACCCATTACACCACTGGTAGCAGATTTTGATGCACCACGAGGAGAACTTGAAGCTTTTGAGTATTTTCTTGAACCTTCAGTATATTCGGTTTGAATAATAGGATGAGTAGTATCTTCAGAATCAGACACTGCAGATTCTTCAGTAGTAATATATCTATTACCAGATTGAAAAGTAGTCAATTGATTTCTATGATCATGCAAGTTTTGATCATGATTTTCATCATCTTGATTAGTTCTGGTAGTAGCTGCACTACTAGCAGCACCAGTTTGATAATAACTTTCAGTATCAGACATAGTGAGATTGAAAGTTTTGATACGCCAACTTTTTTAATTATTATACTATTAATATAATATTACTTAATTTATGGAAATTAAATTCAATCTAAATAGGAAGAGCTCTAAATGATCGATTAACTGCTTTCTAAACTTTATATCCAGAAAGCACTCATCAGGAATAATCAAAGGTTTGTATTGTGAATACTAACTTTTTAATATAGTTGAAAACTTTTCTATTTCAACTCACGTCTTGTTACGCTAATTCGTGTTGTAGTAGTACTTTCCTCAAGACAAATTTTGTAAATGTGCGATGAGAAATTTTGAACTTTTAATTTTTTTTTGACCAGGTGCGTAGATAGAGGTCTAGAGATAATTCTATACCAAAGGGGATAATTAATGAACAGAATTATCGGATGAATATGAATCTAATGATAGAAATTAATACGTAAGTAGTCCTCTCTCATATTCTATATATAAGAAAGAGCAAAATTTGATTCTCATATATATATATATATATATATATGATGATCCCACATGGAGAAAAATTTCTTTTTTTACTATGGTTCGGTGTATTACTTAATTTGGCAATAGGCATGGGGCTCACCATTATTGGCCATAAATGATTGCTGTGTGATGGATAAAGATCTTACAGCACAGCTCGGTTATTCTATCAGCTCATACTTGACACAGGTCATTAGATCAGTATCTGTGGATTGTCTAGTACATTATTTTCTATATCCTCCGTATTCTCAATGGAATTATCCATAGTTAAATATATAAGAGTTTAATAGCTGTTTATCAACTAATGCTATAAACTGATCATATCTAAAACCGCCTTAAATTTCATGGCGAATTACAGCATACAAATGAGATGGTTATTCACAACCAATTTGTAATAACAAACCTAACAATAAAAATGGAATTAAAGTCAGTTTGACATATTAATTGGGTTAAATGCTTGGCATTATTACTAGCGAGAGGCATGTGACTAGATACACATGATGCGGCACGAGACTACTTTCGTCACGACATTATTCTGTTTCCATTAAATGTCACCAGCCAAATGTCGTATCGAATCATACCATACACTTCCAACATCTGGAAAATCTTTAGACTGCTAAAAGATCTCCATAAAAATTATAATTAGTACATCTTATATAGAGTCTTAAAGTGTGTCTTGTTTTTAATTAATATTAGTATAGCAATACCTTTTTACGGCCCACAACTCGAACCATAATTCGCCCACTTGTATATAATTTTGCATTACTTTGTAAATAATATTTATACCCAAACGATATACATATGAATTCGAATTCACAATCACTGCAACTTAAAAAGTAAGAAATAGTATTTCACATATAAATAGCGAACCAATAACATTACAAACATCAACTATTCACTATGATACGACGATTTCCGTTTGTTAAGACATGTCAAAATGTCTACTTAAATCTTAAGAACTATAAACCATCGACTCAGAGACCTCTGTTTCATGCCACTAATCATGCATTTGTATCCAATATTCAATTGTTGGACCAGAATTACTTTAATTGGTTAAGATCTACATCAAAGGAATTACCTAGTCATATAATGCTGCTGTTACGGAAACTGCCAGGATCGAGAAATCTGATTGAACAACTTGATTTCAAGTATCTTAAAAAGGCTGCTCCTTCAAGTGTTGTATTCAAAGTTTCTTCCGCTACTAATCCTATTATTTCATCTAATGTTACATCCATTTCAACTACTATACAAGAAGATGAAGATGAAGAAGTTAATCATCAAGATTATTTACTTTCACTCTGTCAATCCACACTTGGGTTAGAAAATCTTGTTCAACAATTACCTTTACTTCAAATAGGTACAGACATGATAAATCAACTCATAGATAAAATACTTCTAAGTTTACCTACTCGTTCTATCTTTGTAAGTGACTGTTTAATTGAAGAAGCTAAATATTTTGGTGAAACTAATTTAGAATGCTTAGCTGCTGAATATTATCGTCAATTATATGAGAAATTACCTTATATACAACAAATATGTCAAATTCATAAAGCATCAATAAATTATGATAGTCTAAATCATCAATTTCAAGAACATTTAATATGGTTAGGATACCATTACAATGATTTAAAAACTTTAGAACTACTTATTCATCCATATATAACACTGAATCAACCAATGAATAGTAAGATTCTTTCATATTTCTTTGCTTCATTTATTAAAAATTATGAAATAGAATATGCCAGAGATATGTTAGATAAAGTTGTTCGAAGTTCCCATAAACTTGAAACCATTCTCATTGAAACAATAGTTCAAAAATTGATTAGCATTGATATCCTATTTGATAAACTAATTTTTATATTCTCAATATGGTTGAATAATAATGGTAATATTTCAGCCAAATTAATATCAATTCTTCTTGATCAATATTACGAATATGGAGAAGTACAAGAAATTACAAACTTTTTAAAAGTAGTTAATCTGTTCAAAATATCTAATTACATGATTGATTTCATCAACTTGAAATACAAGATTATTAATCGTGAACCTACTAAATTTAAAAAGCTCATTGTTGAAACAGATTTAAAAGCTATTGAAACCATAAAGCAGTCCATAACTACTGAAGAAGAATTATATGATTTTTATTATCAGATTTTGAAATTCCTTGTAAATTATTCTAATATGAATTATGTGAATCTTATTCTTATGAGTTTAAAGAATGATAACTTGATAGTATATCCTGAATTCTTTACCATAATTGCCAATTATTATCTGAAAAATCAACAATTCCTTCAATTATTCAGATTCTTAGAAAGTATCCATCCCAAGACTAAATTTAATAGTAAATTTATTGATAGTATATTTAAAGGGTTTATAAATACTTATCCTCATATGGCTATTGAATTCTATACTCAATTTCTAACTTGGTTAGCTTCATGTTCCTTACCAGAATCATTAAAACAAACTTTAAGAAATTCATTAAAAATAGTTAAATTAGAATCTCAATTAACACCTTACAATAATAAGAAAATTATTAATAATAAATTGAAATCTATTGGTTGGAAACCAATTTATTGGAGAAGACCAGGTAAAGTCGAACAAATTCAATTTCGTTTATCATCAGGTGGATTTCAACAACTTGTTGAGAGTGATAATATTCGTCCTGATTTTGATTTAATTAAATCTACATTCAGAGGTACATCCTCTTCCAATCATGCCAATATTATATATATTATGAAGAAAAGTAGATTATTAACTAATCTGAATAAGATACAAATGGAATTATATTCATTTCAAATGTATAATAGTGATAAACAAGAATTACTTTCTTTCTATAATGATGATGAATGGCGAGAAGAATTGAATAATCATCAAAAGATTTTCTTTGCCAGAATTTTAATGAATAAAAAATTAAATTATCAATCGCTTGAATTATTGGATTCAATTAAAGATATTAATACTGAATTAAATCCTCAATCCAAACAATTATGGATCAATTGGAAATTAAGAAACCTTATAAAATTAAATAGATTTGAAGATATTATTGAAGAAATTGACAAGTTCCCTATAAATGAGACTATATTTAGTCAATATTTAATAGATCAATGTGGATTCTTAGAGAAACAAATGCTTAAGAAAATAGATTACTTTAACAGAAAAAATGATACTTTAAGAATACAACAATGTACTAATACTTTAGAGAAGCTTCAAGGTTTAATAGGTGATATCTCCATAAGAATAGAACAAGATGAGCAAGATTTAAGAGTTATTCTTAATAAGACATTTATATTACTTAACGATTGGATAGATCGTGATTATAATTTACCATAATGACCTGTACATACTTACATACATATTAATATACACATCACAATTAGTATTCTTGTCACAGTGTAGAAATATGTTCATGTTAGAATCCCAAACCGTTTCAGAATCCCACTAGGAAAGGTATATATAAGAAACTACAATCCCCAACTAATTTTGTGTAGAACTTTTATTATCAAGAATAAAGTATATCAGTTCTTAAACTGTGCAGCAGATAATATTCGTTAGTTTTTGTGCGCAAAAAGTTGCAAATAAATCTCTTTTGCTGCAAAAATGATTTTATGTTTCAGACCTTAAAATTAACAAACCTCTATCTAACTCTGAATTTTCTAAAAATCTACCAATTCTTTACATTTAAAACATTATTATCGTTACATCAATTAGAAACTTGGAAAACAGTTCTCAAGAAATGGAAAACGACCCAGTAGAGCCACCTGAACAAGTCCTACAAGGAAGATGGAAACGCATCATTATTGGTCTCTTTACGAATGATGCTACTAATATATTGCTTGAAACAGTCCACTTTTTAGATAGAAGCAAAGGAATTATTAGATCTAACAACCCAAAACTGATAAACCGTTTGAAACGTTTGCTAAAAAGACGAACTGAGTCATTGTTAGACCAAAATATTCTCATATCTCTAACATTATATATACTAAATACTGCATTTGTCCACCACCATTTATGCAAGTAGAAAGAGTATTCAGTAATATCATTAACCACATATTTGCTAATACTCTCTAATTTATTTTGCTATGAGCTAGTCTACCTGTACTTTTATGCGGCAATATGCAGCCATACGTAGGAATTCAAAATTTCTAGTCATATTACTTTTCATCGCTGTTCCACCATTTACATCCACAGAACGACTTCATCATGATGATTCCTTGGCCCGAAGAACTTGAGATCAATCAAAATTTCATTAAAAAGTAGGTTGAATCCTTGATTATATATTACAACGACCCTACGTTTTTACTTTTAGACGAAAGACGAGACTATGAGGAAATTAAAAATTGGAAGGAAGAACTTGAAGAGCTAAAGAGAGAATTATATGCTTGCACATATGATGAGGTGTATAAAAAAAGAATGAAATTAGTATTCTTACTTTCTTGTTTCCCTTTCATAAGTTTGAAGAATAGGGAATTAACTTTAGATCGTTTGTATACTTCGTCGCCTCAATTTGCTGAAGATCTAAGAACTCTCAAGCTTAAAATTTTAGATCACTTATATCTTTATCGTCAACCAGAATCTTCTTCATTTATTATAAATATATTATTATTGTCAAGTTTTTTCAAATTTCCATTTCCCTCTCAACAGGTTGTTCCTTACTCAAAATACTTAGAATTCCCTGAACATTTTGGTATTACTGAAAGAGATAAAATCCATAATGAAGCATATTGTCCATCTACAGAATTCACAACTAGTTTTGATGAATTTTATCCTAAACTTCATATTCAAGCAGAAAAACTTGAAGTTTCTGATCTAAAACTGATGATTAAGGACCTTAAACTTGATGTGCGTGCAATAGTACGAACTGAAATATTGCTGGACATTGGAGTTGATGGGAGAGACATTACTTGGAATTACTATGTACCATTTAAATATTTAATTTTCGAGCCCATCGAAAAGCTCTTAGTCAATTACTATCCAACTTTTGAATATAAGGAAACTCACGGAATAGAATTATTTCCTACAGTTCGACCACCTACCTTCATTTTCACAGCCAATAACCATATTGTGCCTGTAATTGTGAGATACACAGGATTACATAAAAATTTCAATAAAGCTAAAAAGCATGAAGATGCATTTTCAGTGTCTGAAGATGTTAGACGACTTGTCAATGAACTTTTATATCTGATGATATACAGCCGGTCATTAATGGGATTTGCGCTCGATGTGGATTCCGTATTAGTGATAAGAATATTATCATCCAAAGTAGTTGATACCGTGGTGAACCCTAATGATGGAACTATTAGCAAGGAATTAGATTTCGAAATCTTTTTATTAGATCACAGCCTCCATTATCCAATGGTTGGTCTTATATTAAGTTCGTTCCTCGATAATTATTTCAAGACTGCTGCTCCCAACTCGGTTGAAATCACAAGACAGATTAGAAGAAATTTAAAAACTGAGTCTGAAGAACTTGAAGCTTCTAGACAAAGCAAAATAGAATTTGTTAAAAGGCAGTATCTACAACGGTTTGATGACTATGATACTGCAATTGGAGGAGGATATATCAATATAGAGTTCCCAGGCTTGTTTATTGAAGAAGAGTGCTATGACAAGGTATGGGCTCTTCGATTGATAAAGACTTTTACTTCTTCAGAATTTCAAATAATGGAACGTCTGTACTTGTCCAATAGAGAGGATATTGTACATGAATTCAAAGGAAAATTAGATGGTAGAAGTGGTACTTTATTTGTTTACAAAATATCGTATACCAATGGTGAAAATGAAGACTTTTACAAGTTGGTTTCAATATCTCTTAATCGCTTTTTAGGGCATATGGTGGAATGTATTTCCAAATTTGGGAAGTATAAGACAGATGCATATAACACTTTGAACTTGGATACTGTCAATGATAATTTCCAATGTGCTTATTATGAGAGAGAGGATATCAGTGGCTTTTCATTGCTATTATTTGACGATGCGCAGGAACTTGATGAAGCAGATAAAGTTGAGGAATATGAAGGTGACCCTCCAGTTTTATATGACTTCTATGGCAATCGGATCAAAAATGAAAAAAAAACGTCGAAGGCTCAAGTGAAGGTTTTGTAAGGGTTAATATTTAGTTTTGCTATGTATGTGCTGTCTTACTCCCTTAGGGAGTATAATAAGTAATACTTAGTAGTCATGTAATAGTTTTCATTCGTCCCCTCTATTACTAGGATTATACTTGCACAATGTAATCTATAACTCTAATGTATGGTTATTATTATCGTATGGAAATGCTCTGCCTTTTTGTATATTCAAATTTACCAGTATATGGAAAATAAGAAACTGTCATATAACAATGGTACGATACGATGTTAAGTTTATTGTTTAAAGGGAGTGAACTAACGATTCATTATTAGGAATCCTTAGTATAGACTAGCCAGAGTTTAAATAATCCGCCCATACTATTTCAATTTGCTAAAATTCAGACACACATAATAATCGCTCCCACCGAAAGGTTTTGGAAGGCATTAATAATAGCTACGTTATTGAAACTTGATACTACCACTTTAGAATTTTCAAGATAACGATATCTCTCTTGAATAACGTATCAAGTTTATATCCTGATAGGTCATGTGACATTCATTTTGGGAGTGCACATAGATACAAGATGGGGCCCGGAAACAATGCCTAATCGAATTGGAAGTCAGTCGTAAATAGAACAAACACCGTTATAAGTTCTTTAGTCATTGATATATTAAAAAAGCGTGTGTATATCTAACATAATGGAGGAGGAGCATCGGATATGGCATGATATTGTAAGTATAATTCAAAGTGGTGATGGAGAGGTATACCTAAATATTGAGAATGTTCGAAGACTAACGCATATGATTTATAGGATCATGAATTAACTTCTAATCTTCTATCGAAGATAAGTTTAAGTACAGAATGTTCAATATGTTCTGATACTATGAATATTCCATATACTTTGGAATGTGGGCATACATTTTGTTATGAATGTTTAAAGAATTGGTTTAAGAATAAATTGAATTGTCCTAGTTGTAGATTTGATATTATGCATAAACCAGTTTTAAATATATCATTAAAAGAAATTATAAAAAACATTCAAGATTTAAAATTAGACGTTCTAGTAAGTATTGATAATCCTAAAGTAATTGAAGAAAGAGCTCGAATATTACATCATCGAGAAGATCAATTAAAGAATTATGAATTAGATAAAGAACTGCAATCATTATTTGATAGCTTGTTTACCAATTCTTCAGTTACATTAATAGATAATTCAGATGGAGTACCGAGATGTGGTAATTGTCATTGGGAAGCTCATGGACCAATTTGTAATCATTGTGGATTTCGAATTAGAGGTAATAGAAATAATAGAGAATTATATTATGATTCAATGGAAGGGGAAGATTTTGATTTCGATGGTGATGATGATGGTGATAGAGATCTTGAAGATGATGATAGTATAGTACTTGATCATAATAATGAAGATTATGATAGTGATGATAGTTTTGTAGATACTAGACCTATAAGTGAAGTGATGCAAGATCAAAGATCTGATGATGGATTACTTTCAACGGATGATAGTAGTGATAATGATGAAGATACTGTACATACTGCCATGCTTCAAGATCATTCTCATCATCATCAAAATTCAGAAGATGATGATTGGCAAGGATTTGAGAGTCCTACAACCTCAGATGCAGATGTCGATCATGAACATCGGCATGTTGATCATGAGCATGAAGATGTTCATGAACATTCTATGCATAATACCCATGATGAACCAATTGAACTTAGTGACGATAATGATGATGTGCAACTGCGAGAATATTACGATAGTGAAGATTTACGAGATGCTCTTGATCAATTTCACGAGAGTGACTTACATACCATCAGTAGTGATGATGATGAGCCACGAATCGTTATACGAAGAACAAGAGCTAATCCTCGCGGGGTTCAACGGCCTCGTAGACGTGAAATAACATCTGATGATGATTAACAGTACATAGAATAATAGTATAGTACAGTATAGTACAGTATAGTATTATAGTACAGTATAATAGTATAGTACAGTAAAGTATAATAGTATAGTACTACATATATAGAGTAACCCATAGTTAAGCAATAAGTTACACAAACTCCCCCACCAATGAACACCGCCAAAAAAAAAATGAACTGATTATACACACACACTACAGAAAAAAAATCTCTTCACATATATACAGCTCTATACGCTTCAACTGTTTTAACATACAACTTAGCCAATTGAAGCTATAACTTATATACTACACAACACAACATAATGGATCCTCAAAGAATTATTGAATTACAAAGAAGATATCAAGCTTCTAATCAACCATTATGGTTAAGAGGTAAACAATCTAAACTTTTAGTATACCCATTCTATGCTTTATTCACTGTTGCTACAGTTGTCCCATTATTCTATGCTGGTAGAGCCGTTGCAGGTATTAAGGAGAGAGAATAGATAAGTTATTAAGTTAGTATAGTTACTATACTATACTATACTATACTATACTATACTATACTATACTATCATATCATATCATATCATATCATGCCATGCCATTTATTCATTCACCAACTCCTTTTTATTTCTCATCTGAGTTAATCCATCCTCAATTCCAATGCATATCAATTGACACTCAATAATGTGTAATGTGATTTTTTAATGATATTCAGCTTTCAAATAGTTCAACTACAATATACGTATTCAGTTTTTTTATTAATATACTTGTTCATGTAATCATTATAAACTATTACCTATACTATACTAGACCTATTTTTTTATTACTATGTTAATCTATCTAATTCTTCCGTGAGATAATCTATCTTGTGGATGATTCCCTCATTGGTTATACTCATTTTGAACTGTTTTAATCCAGATTGCAATTCGGAAATGCTTATTCCTAATTGCTTATGATAATGTTTCAACTGTAGATAACTTATGAACATACAATTGTATCCCATTAAATGAATGTATAACTCTTTCTTATTGTTATTACTGTTTGATACAGTTTTATTTAAATTAGTAAAATACTTAATATTATCGATAATATTTGAAGTTATCTCCACCGGGATTGAAGTTTCTATAAGATTTATTAAATATCCCCATATAAATAATACTAGATTTAAACAGGTATCAGTATCTTTCTCAAATAATTTGGGTATAGAACTTATTAGCAATGTTATATATTGTGATTGATATATATTTTGCAATTCAATTTCATGCTCATCATATGAATAATTAGTAGTTAAAATCACTAATACTTTAATAGTTTGTACATCAATTTCATTAATAACTTGACTATTATAAATATTCCGTATACTTTTAGTAAAGAGTTTAGATAGACTTGATAAATCAGTTATTTCACCACCATTGTCAAAATATGCTTCATAATAATTAAGCACATTCTTACTTTCTAATTCATACTTACAAATTAAATTAAATATTTCAACAGTTTGAAATTCAACACAATTGGTTAATAATCCTATAAGTTCTTCACCCATATCTTGACCATTCATATTTATTTGTAGAATTCTTTTACGATTGAATCCATTTAAATTATCGGTATTTATAGGTATTGAATTCAATAAATTATTAAGTAATATTGGTAATATATTATTAAAATAAGGGATAATTAATTCAGTCCCTCCTAAAATAATATACTGAATCAATATTTTACTAATTAAATTTATTATAATTTGTTTACCATTAGATAATGGTAAGGATTTTAATTGCTTAACTATGGTGGATAACTTTGGTATAACCAAATTAAAGTTATCCACTACAAATTCTTCACATCTTTTAGTTAATTGATCATATACTTGACTATATAAATCAAGTAAAGTAGATATAAGGAATGAATTAGCCGATTCCAATTTTATCTGAGATCCAGTCTTCAGTTGTAAGTATAATCCTTCAAGTAAATAATCCACACTATCTTTTACTTCATTAACTTTTCCTAATCTTCGTAAATCATTAATATTAATTGCACCTTTATTTTTATTATTATTATTATTATTATTATTATTATTAGTCTGATCTTCATCATCTCCATTATCATCAAGATAATCGTCTTGATAATCATGTTTATCACTTATCAATTTCGTGTATTCCTTGCTGGTAGATTCAAGATCTTTTTCAACATATAAATAAGTTCGTTCGTTACTATAGGTTTTCACACGTGTATAACTCTTAGGTTTAGAGACAGGTCGGTGATCTTCATTGAGTTGTTTGTCATTCTCATTCACATTCCCATTATCAAAGGAATTATAGATCTGTTGTAAATCAATAAGGCTCGACTCTAATTCGACCAGATTATGGATAAGATCAGAATCTGATTCCGACTCTGATTCAGACTCAGACTCAGACTCTGCCTCTGCCTCTGATTTGGGACTATCACTCAGTCTATGATTATGGGGTTGTCTAATTGACAGTGGTACTTGTATACTACTGCTGTTGTTGTCTATATTTTCAAATAAATCATCCCATGCATCTCTTTCCTTTGGAGTTACTTGAGGTGATACAGTTACCCCTTTAGGCTTGGATCGAGATATGGGTGTAGTAGTAATCAGTTTCAGTATCGGTTCCAGTTTAAGCTCAAGTAATTGAGATATCAACCTCTTTTGTGGTTTTGATACAACTGGACTTACAGATGTAGAATCAGCTCTTCTAGTAGGTGAGCTTTGAATTACATTAATTACTTTAGTATATTTAGTAGGAGATTTAGTTAATTCATCGACTATATCACTAGTGTCAGTATATGGAGTAGATCTCCTTTTATTAACTAATCTAACCGACGGTAATAATTCATCATTCATCAATTGAGTTCGAGAAGTATCATTAGTAGTTTTAGTTATGGCTATCATTAATTTTTCACTACTCGTAGTGATAGGATTTGTATCAGAATCAGGAAATTGTTCCTCATCACTAGAGAATATCAGTACCAGCGACAGTCTGAACCGTTTCCTTCGGTTCACTGGTCTACCACTCCCATATACTGCCATATAACTATGATATTCTTAGTATTACCCACTATATGATAAGAATTACCGTATAATTTTATTTACTGTAGCCTACAATTATTATGCTAGACTACCGCACTTACTCACTAAACAATCACAAACCCACCCGCGTTGGCCTGGCCAAAACAAAAGCTTGGGGGAAAAACAAAAATATAGCCTGGCAAAATTACCGTAGATAATTAGTGAGACTACCACCACGACTACCACCACGACTACCACAACTACCAAACTTTACTATGTCGAAGTTGTCTATGTCACTGGCCCTCGAGAAGAGAATCCGAGCATTTCTTCAAGGACCTCGGAAAGGTGAAACTTATGAATTAAGAAGTGGATTAGTATCTCAATATAAGCATGAAAGAAAAGATGCTATTCAACGAGTAATTCAAGCCATGACAATTGGTAAGGATGTTTCATCATTATTTCCTGATGTTTTAAAGAATATTGCTACTTATGATTTAGAACAAAAGAAATTGGTTTATTTATATCTTATGAATTATGCTAAAACTCATCCTGAATTATGTATTTTAGCCGTTAATACATTTGTTCAAGATACTGAAGATCCAAATCCTTTAATTAGAGCTTTAGCAATTAGAACTATGGGATGTATTAGAGTGGCAAGAATGGTAGATTATATTGAAATTCCATTACTGAGAACTTTAAAAGATGATAATCCTTATGTTCGTAAAACTGCTGCTATTTGTGTAGCTAAATTATTTGATCTTAATCCTGAAATTTGTATTGAATTAGGATTTTTAGATGAATTAAAATCTCTTATAAAAGATTCAAATCCAATGGTGGTTGCAAATGCTCTTAATGCTTTATATGAAATTAAAGATATGAATGATGATAATAATTTACAAATTTTTATTATAAATGAAGAAATTATTAAAAATTTATTATTATGTTTAAATGAATGTACTGAATGGGGTAGAATTACAATTTTAACTACATTAAATGATTATTCAACAAATGATATTGAAGAAGCTAATCATATTATTGAAAGAGTTATTCCTCAATTACAACATGCAAATCCATCAGTTGTATTAAGTTCAATTAAAGTTATTTTACATCATTTATCAATTATTCAAAATAATGATATTAAACAATCTATATTAAGAAAATTATCTGCACCATTAGTTTCATTAGTTAGTTCATCAATTCCTGAAGCTCAATATGTTGGATTAAAAAATATTAGAATTTTACTTGAAAAGTATCCTCAAATTTTATCAAAAGAATTAAGAGTTTTCTTTATAAAATATAGTGATCCATTATATTTAAAATTAGAAAAATTAGAAATTATGATTCGATTAGCTAATGATAATAATAGTGCATTATTATTAGGAGAATTAAAAGAATATGCTATGGAAATTGAACCTGTATTAGTTTCAAAAGCAATTAATTGTATTGGATCTGTAGCAATAACTTTAGCTGGTAGTGTTATAAAATCAATTAATTTATTAATTAATTTAATTGATGAAAGAGGTGGAGATTTAATAATAAATGAATCTATTATTGTATTAACTAATATATTAAGAAGATATCCTGGTAAAAATGATTTAATAACTTTAGTTATTCCTGTTATTGCTAATCATATTAATGAATTAAATTCAAATGATTCATTATCAGCTTATGTTTATTTATTAGGTGAATATCCAAAATATTTTTCTCATTTATCGGATAAATTAAAAATTCTTATTGATGGATTTTTAGAATTTGATTCTTCTTTACAATTATTAATTTTAACTACGATTGTTAAAATTAATTTAGTACTTTCAGATTCTCAATCTCAATATTCAAATTATTTACAAACTGTATTAGAATTAGCTACAAAAGATTGTGAAAATGCTGATGTTAGAGATAAAGCTTATATATATTGGAGATTATTATCTTCATCATCTTCATCAGATACTAAACATCAAATAATATTAAGTAAATTACCTCCTATTAAAACAACAATTTCTTCATTTAATCCTGTTGTTTTAGAAGCTTTGGTTAGTGAACTTTCAACATTATCTTCAGTATATCATAAACCATCATTTACATTTATTGATCCTCATGCTTATACTTCATTACAATCTGAATCATCAGATGGTGGTAAAAAACGGGTAAAAGCTAATAAATCTAATATTGAAGATTTAACTAAATTAGCTAAAGCAGAAATTATAAATAATTCTAAAAATGAGAATTTACTTGATTTTGATGATGATGATAATGGAATTTCTGATAATGGTAATGGAACTGGTTCTGCAAGTTTATTAGATGAATTAAATGATTTATTTAGTGCTCCACCTACTTCAACAAGTTCAATTCCATCATCAGCTGATTCAAATACTATTACTACTAATACAAATGGTGGTGAAGGTAGTATTAATGATATTTTAAATTTATTTAATACTTCTCAACCATCAGTAACTCAAGATTTTAATAATTTAAATCTTTCAAATTCTACTTCTTCATCGACTACAAAATCAACTAAACCATCACAAGATTTATTAGATCTATTTTGAATAAGAATCATACATTACACTTTTCTAAAACCTAGTAATTTTACATACATATATAATACATTATTATTAATATTATTAATATTATTATTATTATTATTAAACCTCAGCTAGTAGTTTCCTTATTATATCGTCTTTTAATTGAGTTTTCTTATCGGTATCTCCCTTTGTTATATTATGTTTGAATTGATCAAATTCAATGGCTTGTCGATCTTTTAATTCATCAAGTTGAACTAAATTTAATATTTTTGATTTAATTTCATTTGTTACTGTAGTTAATTGATTAATTTCCTTTTGTTTAACATCAATTTGTTTCTTTAATAACATAATTAAACTCTCTCGTGATTGATGAGGACGATAAGTATTTAATAAATGATTAATATTAATTAATATAAGTGAAATATCTTTAATTTTATTTTGATATTGTTGAGGATCTATACTGGCAATTCCAATTAATTCATAAAAATTTAATAATAAAGAATCCATTAATTTATGTAATTCTTTAATTTTTAATTCGGATGTTATGGTTTCATCATCATGACTATATAATTGTTCCCAATTTGCTTCTTTTAAACTAGGTAATTTATCTTCAAATGACCATAAATTTCCATACCCTCTATAATGAGTACCAGAAGGTGGTTTGGGAGGTATAAGAAATCTTAATTCACCAGGTGGTACTTGTTCATCTTCATCTTCATTTCCAGCTTTATTATCAACTTCCTTTTCATTTTCATTATCATTATCTTCATCATTCACATTCTCCTTCTCATGACTATGCTTCGTCGTCTTCCATTCCTCAAGTTGATTCAAATTCTCATCACTGAAAAATTTGACATAAGGAGGAGGTGGTGGATAAAGTGACGATATTAATTCCTCTTTAGACATCGTTACAAATTCAATCTTTCCATAGTTAGTGGTGTTTAACTATTCACAGTCACCCTCAGACTGTGTCTCTCTCTAGTAAAATTGTTACTAGCGATATTTGAGTTGGTTATCGCACGCGCTTTTCTTTGAGTTTGTTTGTTCTTTCCAGCGGTATGGATGTGGGCATTCGCAAGTCGGGTTAAATATCTTTTCGTTCTTTCCATATTGGGATCCATAACCATTTAGACTGAGTTGATTCACGTTAAAAGTTAATAAACTGTCTAATATCACAATGGCAGAAGAAACCGACCGTATGGACGTGGATAGTGGTATGTACCATAGTATGGATAAGAGTAGTACTATAAAGAATTAAAGATTAGAGTGCCAGTAAAACTTTGAAGCATTTATAGTACGAATGCGAAAAATACCATATACCCAATTGATTACTAACTAATTAATTAATATTTAGAAGCTGATGTTGTGGTAGCACCACCTGTAACATCCAATACTGATGATACAGTAAGGAGTAAGAGTTCCAAACCGAGATTTGAAGTTAAGAAATGGACCGCCGTTGGGTTCTGGTCTTGGGGTATGTATATTGATTAAATAAATACTATTGATAAAATTGATTTATATTTTAATTCAAAAAGAAATAATTATACTAACATTATAAATCTTATAGATATTCAAATTGAAAATTGTGCTATTTGCAGAAATCATTTGATGGAGCCATGTATTGAATGTCAACCAAATGCACCTGGTTCTGGTCAAGATGAATGTATCGCTGCTTGGGGTACTTGTAATCATGCTTTTCATATGCATTGTATTAAAAGATGGCTACAGACGAGAAATGCTTGTCCGTTAGATAATACTCCTTGGGAATATCAAAAATTTGGTAAATGAGTATTATTTATAATTGTTGCTATTCTTACTTTTCAATTCTTATGTTCGTGATGATATAATTATTTATATTGATTATCGATTATATCAAATATATCAAATATATATTTGTTTGATAATCATTCTTTTCTCATTGCATGATTTTCTTTTTACGATTAGGGTTTTTATTATATATATATAATATAATATATAAATGCATGTCTCTTATTTACAGTTTAAGTTTATGAGAAATATCTCCAACTTCTCTCAAATGTACCTAATACTACTAATGTTTGACAACTTTTACTAAGTTCTTCAAGTGATTGTTTTAAATTGGTATTAGTATTCAAATCTCCTGTTATTTCTAGAAAGAATACATAATGCCATTGTTTTAAATGTGAAGGTCTCGAATTAATCGATGATAAATTGATCTTATTATCTTTAAATTTTACTAATACATCACAAAGTGCACCAGGATCATCATGATTTAATGTAAATATAATTGATGTTATAAATTGATTAGGTTTTGTTGAAGGTTGTTCTGGTAATGGTGGAGGATTTTTATAACCTAATACTAAGAATCTAGTAGTATTCTTTGAATTATCTTCAATATTTGGATATACTATAGGTAATCTATATAATTCAGAACTCATATTGGATGCTATACATGCAGTAGTATTGGTTTTATCTTCATATACAAGTTCTGCAGCTTTTGAAGTAGATGTAGCATCTATTTTAGCTATTGATGAAAAATCTAATTTATTTGATTTAAAGAATTCTGTTACTTGAGTCCATACTTGTGGATGAGAATATATAGTCTTTATTTGTTTTAAATCTTTGGTTTTAGTCATAAAATTATGATGAATTGCAACGAATTGTTCAGCCACAATCTTAAACTTTGGTGCTGATGTATTTTGATTCGGTACAAGGTACCAATCTCTTAATAAATCATATGTAAAGACAACTTGTCCATTAGTAGAATTCTCAACTGGAACTACAGCATAATCTACTTCTTCTGCATCAATAGCATTAAAGCAATCACCTATAAGTTTCTTAGGATATATTTCAATTTCATTAGGATTATTTCCAAATTGTTGTAAAACAGCCTTGAAATTTACATCTGTTAGTATGAAAATTAAAAGTAAACTAAACTTAACATAAACTATTACATACCTGATGTGTATAGGTACCTTCTGGACCTAAGAATGCTACTTTAACTACCATTATTACTACTGTTTGTATGCCAAGTAGTTAATTACTCTGTAGTGTCTCAGCTGAAAAATCGTGTCTGAAAATATCTCCAACCTCAAAATGCGGACTACCTGTGCGTTACCGGGGCACCAAACCCAAATCTTAGTTAATATTAGTTAGTAATTGAATTGATTTCTTTAGTTAAAACCATTCAATTAAAGATATCAAACTCAATTACAACTTAAAATTTTAAATAGCTTAATAACAATGCAATAGTTCAAAAAGGTTCAACAATTTCTATAGCAAATACAAAATCTACTATTGAAATTATTGACAAATTAGAGTAAAATATTCTACGAATGGATCGTTGGTGGCTCTGCATTGTAATGAGCTCTATAACAAATCCAAAAATTCCAAAGTAATCAAAGTGGGTGTAACCAAAAGTGACTGTGAATCACAGCACAAAAAGATTCAACTATATAGAAGTAAAGAAAACAATTAAGAATAAAAAAACCCAAATTATGAAAACTCAAGACATAAATGAAATATAAAGAGTAAAATGTATTAATATTAAAAAGTCAATACATAAAAAAACTTTTTGATATGGTAGGTTGGTTGATGATATGAAACAAAATGATGCAAAAAGTGAATAATCTAATTAATTTAAAGATCTTCAACAATTAAACCTCTTTCGGAAACATAGATACCATCTAAGAACTTACGGATATCCTTGTTTCTGACACGACAGATTTGTTGGATATCAGCAGCATTTTGAGAAACAGCTTCTAAAGAGTTACCAGATAAGACTAATTCATCCTTTTGGTTGGTAGATTGTTCAACGGTAACACCATCGAAAATCTTAACTTCTCTGACTCTCTTTTCACCTAAGAAATTTCTAATTTCAACATATTTTTGACCATCCTTTTCAATCATGTTAACATTGATTGGGAAATGCGCATAAACATATCTCATCTTGTATTTGTAACCCTTGGTAACACCGGTGATCAAGTTAGCAATCAAAGACTTGACGGTTCTTAAAGCAGCAACATGCTTTCTGTCACCATTGTGAACAGTAATCTTGATAGCCCTTTCGTTAACCTTGGTGAAGGTAACATCAATATGTTTCAAGTCCTTGTTTAAAACACCTCTTGGACCAGTGACCTTGACACTTCTGGCTTTGATTTCAACGGTAACACCTTCTGGGATATCTAAAATTTGATCAGTTTGAATGTACTTCATTTTGAATTATGCTGTTGATGATGAAAAAGAAAAGAAAAAGAAGAAGAAGAATATGAAAATTAAAAGTGAAGAGTGAAAAATTTTATAATTTAATTTAAGTGTACTGAAAAATTTTTGAAAATGCGAAAGGTCGTGTGTTCTGATCAAGTTTTACTAAAATTTTTTATATGAGGGTGTGACTGTGACCGAAATTTCAGACCTAGTCTCATATTTACAATGCGTTGCGGTCGGGTAACTCCCATTGCCATCCTTAATTTGGAATTAGGTATGTACATGTCCCAATTAGGCAATAGATTAGTAGATTTTTCAGATAAAGTGATTTATTATTTATTTTTACATACACTAAACTAATAGTCTATTCTTCTTGTTCATCAACAGTTTTAAAAATAAATGGTTTAGAACCTCTTGGATAACTAATACCTAATTCCAATAAAGTACTATAAGCCTTTGAAAAATCTTTAAAGAATAAATCTTGATCTTTAGCATATTCTTTAACATATTTAATAAAATAAGATTCTTCCTTTAAGGCCATATCAGTTGGTAACATCATAAATGAATTTGTTTCATCATCTTCATATTGTTTCTTACCATCCCATTTTTTAACATGCCATCCACCTAATAATCTAACATAAAAATCATTAGTAAACATATTAAATGATGGACCCCATGGACCATCATAACCAGAATTATAAGTATGACATTTACCTAAACAATGAGCACCAATTAATGCGACAGTTTCTCTATCATTAAATCCCATTCTTTTAAATAAATCACGAACATATTTACCATCTTTTGAAGCATCAGGTAATTTACCAGGTTCTGGAACAGTTGCTCTATCATAAATATCTTTACGACCAGGTCTCCAAGGAATTTTTGGACCACCAGATTCTTGAACGGCAACAACACCACCTAAAGTCCATAAATCACCTCTTGAAATCCAAGGATATTTATCTTTAAATTCAATTAAAAAATCTCTACCAACAGCTAAACCAGCATTTTCACCATCAAATGATTCAGGTGAATAAATCATAGTACCACCATAAGAACCTCCAGTATTGTCTGATTTAGTGTAAGTACCAGATGTATGCCAAGATAATCTAACTAATTGACCGTAGTAACCTGCACCACCATCGAAATCAAGATTATCTTCAATTTTAGCTGCAATATCATTATAAACATTTTGATAATCTTCAAAACCTTTACCTTCTGGTACTTGAGCAATCTTAATAACTGCAGCAGCTCCTAATAAAGGCTTTACAAGATTATTTTTGTTATTGTTATTAGAATTATTATTATTATAATTGTTCTTATAATATAAATATGAAGCCAAAGCTCCTGAACCAACTAAGCCTGAAAATAAGTAAGCTGAAGATCTGGAACCAGAAGATTTTGCCCCACTTGATTTGGCGATTCTTAAAAAGGAAGATTTTAAAGCAATTGAAGACATATTAAAATATAATAAATATATAAATATATAGCAATATACTGCAATTGAACAGAGTAATAAAGAAATTAAAAGAAATTAAAAAAAAGATAGATTAAAACAATTGAAAATTACAAAAGTGGAGATATACCAAATTATATATCAATTGAGTTTTAATTGAATTGATATCCATCCATCCATCCCATAAGCGGGAGGGAGACACATTTTCATATTTCAGAATATTTCAGAAGTACAGTATAATAATGTACAAAACTAACTATAAATGCATGCATAACCACAAAAATATCCAGCGAAGCATAATTAGAAATCTCCCCTAAAGGTCTAGGAGATGAGATTGTGCCTAGCTAAAATTTGTTTTTTTCCCTTTCTACCAGCCTTCTCCCCAGCCAATGGAAGCTGGGGAAAATATAATACTGTAAGACACGACACGACACGACACGACACAGCACACCACACACAACAATACAATAGAATACCGTACAATACAATACAAAACTAAACTAAACAGTGCAACACACTTCCCCACTTACCCTTTAGTATATTAAGACATTGCCTTTGGCTTTTGATTTTGCTTTTGTTTAAGCTTCTGTAGAATGGCGTGATAGACTAACGTTAATAATCAATTGATGATTCATTGATTTGATTTGATTTGATTTAATTTAATTTGATTTGCTTGATTGTTAAGCAATGGGTGTGTCTAGCCAGTGCAATTAGTTGTACAGATATGTAAATAGTCTAAGTTTAATCGATTACAAATTACACTGAAGGTCGCGACTCTTTTCGGTAAGCGCATACTTTATCACAGATTAATTACGTAGTGCATGCGATAGCTGCTAAACCTCACCATTTCCATTTCCATTTCCATTTCCATCCATGGAAGTGGTCAGATTGGAGAATGTTCTCTGGGCTTAACTTGTATCTCCCCTCCTTGTCCTTTTGTGCCCAACCCCCCAGTTCCTATGCGATATATCCATATCCATATCCATATTCGGATTTAAGACATATTACTATTACTGTACAATAAATTACATATTACATATTACATATTATATATTATATATATAGGCTTTACTTTACTTTACTCGTTATAACTTTGTATCAAGTAATTTCTCAATGGTAACTGCATCACTATAAACAAAAGAATCTTCTTCATTGTAAGTTTTACCATTAAGACACATATGTCTTAATTCAGCAATGAATGATTCAAAATCTTCAAATTTCTCTTGTTGAACTTGTTTCTTAATTTGATTAATTGAAACAGGACGTTTAATAATTTTATAATAATCAGGAAAGATTTTTCTTGATGGTAATTTAAGAAAGATTTCTGCAACTGAATGTCCATCTTCAGCTACTAATTGTTCTATTTCTGCTAATACTGAATTACATTTTTGAGTTAATTCATCATCTCCATTAACCATATCTTCATCTTCTTCTACTTCATCATCTTCTAATTCTGGTTGTGGAGTACGTGAACGACTTTTACGTTGTCTTTTTCTACTGGCAGCTCTTCCTCCATAATCTTCATCTTCTTCTTCTTCACCAACTTCATCATCTTCTTCACCAACTTCATCATCACCAATTTCATCAATTAATAATCCTTCTCTAATAGCTTTATTTCTCTTTCTTTTAGCTATCCGAGATTCTTTACGTTTTATGGCATCTTCAATAGTATCATTATCATCATCCATAGCCATTAACCATTGTTCTTCAGTTAATCCATCATCATATTTAACCTTCTTTTTATCTCTCATTCTACCTAATTCTTTAACTTCACGTTCAAAATGTTTAGAAACATCTTCAGTAAACACTGGTGGTAATTCAGCTTGTTCAATTAATCTAGTTTTAAATAATTTTTTATCATGAATCTTTCTTTCATCATCAATTTGATTAAATAATTCAACTTCTGCATCACTTCTAGCTAAAATTTCATTTAATTCTTCATCATCTAATGAATCATTTTCTTCATTATCACCTTCACGTCCATCAGCTTCTAATAATCTCTTTAAAAATTCTTCTTGTTCTTCAGCGGTTGATTTATTATCAAATTTACCAGCTTGAATAACTTTACCATCAATATCTAATTTTTGTAAAGCTCTTTCTAAAATAACTTCTTCAACTGAATCATTAGTAATTAATCTTAAAATACGTACTTCATTCTTTTGACCAATTCTATGAGCTCTATCTTGAGCTTGTAAATCTTGATGAGGATTCCAATCAGTATCAAAAATAATAACTGTATCAGCAGTTTGTAAATTTAATCCTAAACCACCAGCTCTTGTTGATAAAAGGAAACAAAAATATTCAGAATTTGGTGCATTAAAAGCTTTTAACATATCTTGTCTATCTTCAGCTTTAGTTGAACCATCTAATCTTAAATATTTCATATCACACCATCTAAGAAAATCTTCCATAATATCCATAACTTGAGTCATTTGGAAAAACATTAATACACGATGTCCACTTGCTTTAAATTTAGGTAATATTCTATCAAGTAATTCGAATTTTCCTGATGTTCTCCAAATTAAATCATTTGTTAATCTTGAACTATTTAAAATTGATTCAACTTCTTCAAATACAAATGGATGATTACAAATTTTTCTTAATTGCATAATTTTATTATTTAAACCTTTAATACCGGATTTTGCTCCCGCAACATCAGCTCCAACAAATAATGCATTATGTTTTAACATTTGTTGATATAATACATATTGTAAACCTGATAAATTACATTTTAAAACTTTTTCAACTTTATCAGGTAAATCCTTTTCAACATCTTTCTTTAATCTTCTTAATAAGAAAGGTCTTAAAACTTTATGTAATCTTCGAATAATTAATAAAGATTCTTCTTCAGTTAATTCAATTTTTTCTTGAGTACCAGTATTTGAAAATGGTGTATTAAACCATTCATCAAATGATTTAACTGAATTAAAAATTCTTGGTAAAACAAAATTTAATAAAGCCCATAATTCTGGTAAATTATTTTGTAATGGAGTACCAGTTAAAATTAATCTATTTTTAGTTTTATAATATTGTTTTAAAGTAATTGATAATTTAGAACTAGCATTTTTCATTCTATGACCTTCATCAATAATCATATGAGAATAATGAAATTTACATAATAAAGGTCTTTCACGAATAATATATTCATAAGTTGTAAGCATAACTTGGAAATTTCCTAATCTTACTTCATGTTGTAAAGATCTTCTTTGTTGTGGAGATCCTTTATAAACAATAACTCGAACACTTGGTGCCCATTTTTCAAATTCCATTGTCCAATTTGTTATAGTTGATAATGGTACAATAACTAAAAATTTATCTTCATGTTTCCTTTCAATAAGATAAGTAATTAATGAAATAGATTGAATAGTTTTACCTAAACCCATTTCATCAGCTAAAATCCCATTTAATTTATTATTATATAATGAAACCATCCATTGTAAACCTTTCATTTGATATTCTTTTAATGTACCACCAACTAAAATTTTTGGTTGTTCAGTAACTTCTTCTTTAATACGATGAGCAACTTGATAATAATCAATTTTTTCACGTAAATCTTCAACAGTATCTTCCTTTTCAACAACTTCAGGAATTATTTCATCTTTAGTTTCAAATATAAAATCTTGTTCTGCTTGTTGAGCTTTAACTTGATTTGCTAAAGTATCTAAAAATTGATTAGTTTGTCTTAAAAGATGAGTAATTCTATGATCTTTTGTTTCATCTAATAATTTCATATAAGCTTCTTCATCATTAGCTTTTAAAGCTTGTAATCTTTGTTTTGCAGTCTTTTCTAATTTTTTAGATTCTTCCTTTTCAGTTGATTGATGAAATCCAATAATTTGTTTAACTAAAGTATTAGTTCTATAATTAATTTTATGAGATTTTTCATTAGCAAATTCAACAGAACTTTCTAAAACTTGATTAATTTTACTTATATGTAATTGACGTTTTAATTCTCGAGCTTCTTGCTTTTTAAGTTCTTCTAATTGAATAGCTAAATATTGAGGATTTGGTTGTTCAATTTTTGGTCTTAAATTAAATGATCTCTTTTCTTGTAAACATAATGGATGATTCATTAATGTTGGCAAATTATATTTAGCTTGATTTGCTTCATGAACAATAATACTACGTTTTAATTGTTTTTGTTTAGATAATAATCTTAAAGATTTTAATTCAATTAATGATTTGATTTTTAATTCATCAATTGAATTATCATGTTTAAGTTTAAAATCAAAAGTTCCTAAATTACCGGGTAAATTTTCAAGTTCTTTTAATCTATTGGCAATTTTATTAGAAATAATCTTTTCAGTATAAAATGATCCAACTGGTGAAGATACTGGATCTAGAGCTCCTAAAGTTGGAGGGATTTTAATTCCTAATAATTTAGCTCTTTCAATAAAATTAGCTGATTCAAATGATGATAATTTATTAATAATTTCTTCTGCTGTTATATTTGGTACTGTTGATGATGAATCTTTATTTACTTCTTGATTTTCTTCTTCATTATCTATATGTTTAATTAATGTAGTTTGAATCTTTTCTGGTAAATCATAATCTTTAGATAATAATTGTAAACCAGTAATTTGTTTACTAAAAAGATCAAAATCAAATGATTCTTCATCTTTAATCAGTACTTCTTCTTTTAATAATTCATTATAAAACTCTTCTTCTTGTTTTATAAATTCATCTTGAATTGAAGATACTTTATATAATATATGTTCAATTCTTAATCTTTCCTTTTCATTTGGATCTATGAATTGAGGATAATCAATAGAAGAATTTGGAGTTGAAATTGATTCCGCATTAGAATTAGAATTAGAATTAGAATGATGTTTAATTGGTGATGAGGAAGATAATTCATCACTACCAGAATCTCCAGCACTAAATGAATCTCCATTACCATTTACATGATCATGATGATTAATTCCATTAGATGATGGAGGAGGAGGAGTTGAATGAATACCTTCACCAATCTCATGAGATTCCCTTAAGGAATCTATTTTTGATTCATAATCCTTTTTATATTGTTGAGATGATTTTAATAATTTATAATATCTACCTAATAATTCATTTAATTCATCTTTATTCTTTGGAAATTCAATGGCTGGTGCCGAAATTGTTGATACTGGTGGATAATTTAATATACCATTAGTAACAACAATCCCGCCATTTCCATTGGCTAAAGTTGTTGTTCCTCCGTTCATAACTTCTTAGTTAGTATAGTACACGTGATTGTTTTCGAATGGTTAATATATAAATCAATATGATTGATTGATTAATTATTTATTTATTTGTTTGATTGTTTGCTTGATTGGCTGCCTTTTTGGGTCAGGGGTTATTTATGAAATGTGTGTGTAGAATAGTATACCTGAGTCTGGAAAAGTAGTTACAGTATTATAAACTTTGTATACACTTCACAAGACGTTGTTTATGTCTTATCGAAAGTATTGCGGTACAGTTGTTTACGATAATGAAATTGAAAGTTTTGATGCTTTATAGTGTTGTAGTATTTGGTACCGAAATTCTCTGTCAGTTTTTTTCTGTTGGTGGATGGAAGTAATGTGTAAAAATTTGTCGCGTTGTAACCTGTAAATGGAGTCTGTGCGCTTATTTTGCAGTAGTATACTTTGCAGTAGTATAGACATTTATTGGTTATGTATAAGACTTATGTACATGACTTATGTATATCATTTATATTATGAGTCAGTGTCATTACTTGTTTCTTGTCATTGCCTGTTTTATAGGACTTTGTAATTGTACATGTTATGTACTTGTTTGTCATCATTGGCTCTGTTGTAATGTGTAAGTAATTACTGTATAGTGTGAGTTTTACTTATCAGAGTTAAGTTACTATATATAGAACAACTACTACGAATTTACCAGCTACCTAATCCAACTGGTTAGTCTACTGGTTAGTCGCTTACATGTTCACTCCAATACTATTTCCCATATGACCAATACATCACCTGCACGCGCGTTGATATTTATTTATATAATCACCGCTTTGGGTATTTTGCAACACTTGTCACTGTGATAACCTACAAACACTATATGGGGATTGAAAATCAAATCTCAACCTCACTCTAATATCATCATCTCTCCTGAACGTATTATCTATATATTAACGAAATAGGTGTGTGTAGTAAATCAAGTAACAGTAAATCAGTATAACCTTACCTACCCTTAAGGTAGTATAGTAATGAACTGTTATGAAAGTAAAATTATAGGAGTTATAAGAGCACATGGTTATCTCCCGATTACATACGATGGTTAGTCTGTCTGATTATTTACTATGACAAGTCAATAATTACAACACCACCTGACTATCCTTCCTAATGTGAGAGACCAGCCAACCGGTTATATACAGTCACATACAAAACTTTTTAATATGGTAAAATTTTTCGTTGGAGAGCAATTCCATAATCATAAGATTTACACTTGTTCAACGGGTAGTCTTCAAATAAATCTATAATACTAATACCGTAATTTCATTAATAACTTCGACTTTTATATTTGTCATTTATATAATCTAATTTAATCATGTTAACCAATAATATAGGTATATTCTCTCGAGTCATAACCAAGAGATCATCTAATTACTTAAGAAGTAATATAATTCATAGATTTAATTCATCTAGTGCTAGTAAACCTCAGTTAAGTTGGCAAGAATATTTTAAATTAAAGAAACAAAGAAATACTATCAATCTTGGAGCATCAGTATTAACTGGACTTGGAGGTGCTGCTATTACTTTAGTATCAATTTCTAATATTGAATTCGATGAAAAACCAATATTTGGTTTTGATCCTGTTATTGTTTTAAGTTCATTTGTTATCTTAGGTGGTGGTGTTGGTTATTTAGTAGGTCCAGCCATTGGATCATCATTATTTAAACTTAGTAATAAAAAGGCTTTACAACAATTCACATTCAGAGATCAACAATTCTTATCAAAAATTAAAGTTAAAAGAGTAGATCCATCTTCTCAATCTTTTTCTAATCCTGTTCCTGATTACTATGGTGAAAAAATTTACTCCTTAAAGGATTATAAACAATGGTTAAGAGACTGTAATGCCTTCAGAAGAAAATCAAAGGAATTCCTTTGATTTCAATTATAATAAAGTTTAATTTGAATCATTAATCAAATTATGTATAATGCGAATTATGCAAAATACATTAAAATCTACCGGTAAGTCTCGTTAATTTGCTATCAGATAAATAGATAAATGTTCTGTTATCATAATTTACTGGTTCATTCTGTATATATTTATTCATTCACCTGCACTGCTTGGTTGTGCTTTAATATAAGTCATCGGATTGTATTTGATATCGATTTAAAATTAATTTGTAAACGGTAAAACTATAGTAAATATATATATATATATATATATGTTTAATTTGCTGCGCTACCATATATATAATAATCAGCGGCACGTGACTGACTTTCCTATAATCTCCGAGTTTATTAGATTACAGTCAATTTTTAAAGAGTTAGTCATTTATTTAACTTACTTGATCATTGTTTTAATCACTATTATATTCCAGACATTTATACTATACCTTAATAGAAATAAAAGTTAGTAAGTTAATATGTGGAGGCACTGGAGTTCCTTCAGCCAATAGAAGCACTGGAAATATCGTACATGACATTTTTCGGCCGGCCCCCGGGGCTAATCTGTTTCGCGCGTACAAAGAAACGATGGGACTGAAAAATTCATGGGGTAAAGTTTGTAGAGCAGAGTATGTTTCGAACCAGAGAGGATCCTTAATCGATATTTTAACCAATCAAAATAGATGTACTCGGACCTAACAGTAAGATCTGGTATGTTTTTGATTAAGTATTATCTGAAGAGTTAAGTTATAGGATTAACAAAGAACACGTAAACGGAAATGCTTTCGTCGGACTTTTAAATAGACTTTGCCGTATCCTGTACATTAGCCCCCGATGAGGTCTCACTAATTTTCCTCCTTCCCATGCCGGGCAGGCATAATTTTTCAGCCTAGAAATGGCCGCAAGGCGTTCCGACAGACAAATCAGACACACAGACATAATGATGTAGTCAGACTTAAAAACACGTTGTAAAGAATGTATCTCGACTTGTCAACCTTGTCGCTAACCATTGCAACAAAATTTGTTCCATTGATCTTTTTTAAGTTTAGAATCCAAATACTGTTACTTTCTAATTGCCGCAATATCCTGTTGGTCGTGCAACATACCGACTTACTGACTCCACTACACTATAGTGGTTGTAGTTGTAGTTATGTTTCCTCTATTTATTCTATATCATTCAGTATTAAATATTCAGTACGTACGAATAGTAGTCATACATTCTAGAAGTAACTGTCTGCTTTATCTAAATCAATGTAAACCGTAACTTCCATATATTTGTACTACCCTCCCCCCGGAACTCCCTACCATTGAGTCTATTTTTTTTTTGTCTGTCGGACAAACCGACTCTAAAAATTCGCTGTCCGGCGAGCGTCGCTTCTCCTCCAACCAGAGCCAACATCAAAATTTGTGAAAATACTGAAAAGCAATGTTTGATTTAATTCTCTTTTTTTTAGTTCTAAAGCTATCATTGACTTAGGATTACATGGTAATCTCTATTGCTAGTGACTAATTCAAACCTCCCCCAATTCCCCCCTCTCCAAAATTTATACAATTCATTCATCATCAACGATACCCATTTCCATTATTAAATTGTATAACCATTTTAAATCATCATGCTTAGAGCTTTAAGAAGTGCAACCCCTCGCACTCAATTATTAAGAAAAGTTCAATTAAATGTACAACCAAATCTTTTAAGACAATGTCGTCGTAGTTTAGCAACTGGATCAGACACTTTTTTACAAGGTAATAATTCAAATTATGTTGATGAAATGTATGAAGCTTGGAGACAAGATCCTTCAAGTGTTCATGTTTCATGGAATGCATATTTTAAAAATATTGAATCTAATAATATTCCACCATCTCAAGCTTTTCAAGCTCCTCCAACCATTGTACCAACAGTTACTGGAGGTACTGCTGGATTTTTCAGTCCTGGTCAAAGTTCTAATATTTCTGAAGATGTTGTAACTCATTTAAAAGTTCAATTATTAGTTAGAGCTTATCAAGTTAGAGGTCATCAAAAGGCAAAAATTGATCCTTTAGGAATTTCATTTGGTGAAAATATTGATATTCCAAAAGAATTAACTTTAGATCATTATGGATTTACTGAAGCTGATTTAAATAAACAAATTACTTTAGGTCCAGGAATTTTACCAAGATTTGCTGATAGTGGTAAAAAGACTTTATCATTAAAAGAAATTGTTGAAAATTGTGAAAAATTATATTGTCAATCTTATGGTATAGAATATGTTCATATTCCTTCAAAAGAACAATGTGATTGGTTAAGAGAAAGAATTGAAATTCCTCAACCATTTAAATATTCAACTGATCAAAAGAGACAAATTTTAGATAGATTAATTTGGTCATGTTCTTTTGAATCATTTTTAGCTACTAAATTTCCAAATGATAAAAGATTTGGTTTAGAAGGTGCTGAAGCTGTTGTTCCAGGTATGAAAGCTTTAATTGATACATCAGTTGAATATGGTGTTGAAGATATTGTTATTGGTATGCCACATAGAGGTAGATTAAATATGTTATCAAATGTGGTTAGAAAACCCAATGAATCAATTTTTTCTGAATTTACTGGTTCAAAAGAATTTGATGAAGGTTCAGGAGATGTTAAATATCATTTAGGTATGAATTATGCTAGACCAACTACTTCTGGTAAACATGTTAATTTATCTATTGTTGCTAATCCATCCCATTTAGAAGCTGAAGATGGAGTTGTTTTAGGTAAAACAAGAGCTATTCAACAATATAAACAAGATGTTGGAGAATATAAAAAGGCTATGCCAATTTTATTACATGGTGATGCAGCATTTGCTGGTCAAGGTGTAGTTTATGAAACTATGGGATTTGCTAATTTACCAGCTTATTCAACTGGTGGTACTATTCATATTATTGTTAATAATCAAATTGGTTTTACAACTGATCCAAGATTTGCTAGATCAACTTTATATCCATCTGATATAGCTAAAGCATCAAATTCTCCAATTTTCCATGTTAATGCTGATGATGTTGAAGCATGTATTTTTGTATTTAATTTAGCTGCCGAATGGAGATCAACTTTCCATTCTGATGTTATTATTGATGTTGTTGGTTATAGAAAGCATGGTCATAATGAAACTGATCAACCAGCTTTTACTCAACCTTTAATGTATAAAAAAATTGCTGAAAAGAAATCAGTATTAGAATATTATACTCATCAATTAGAACAAGAAGGTACTTTTACAAAGGAAGATATTGATGAACATAAAAAATGGGTGTGGAATACTTTAGAAGAATCATTTTCTAAATCAAAAGATTATCAATCAACTTCAAGAGAATGGTTAACAACTCCTTGGGAAGATTTTAAATCTCCAAAAGAATTAGCTACTGAAGTTTTACCTCATTTACCAACTGCTGTTGATGAAGAAATTTTAAAGAAGATTGGTTCTGCAATTTCTGAAGCTCCAAAAGGATTTGAAATTCATAGAAATTTAAAGAGAATTTTAAATACTAGAAAGAAAACTGTTGAAACTGGTGAAGGAATTGATTGGGCTACTGGTGAAGCTTTAGCCTTTGGATCTTTAGCATTAGAAGGTTATCATGTTAGAATTTCTGGTCAAGATGTTGAAAGAGGTACATTTTCTCAACGTCATGCTGTTTTACATGATCAAACTTCTGAACAAACTTATACTCCATTAAAACATTTATCAGAAAATCAAGGAATTTTTGATATTTCTAATTCTTCATTATCTGAATATGGTGTTTTAGGTTTTGAATATGGTTATTCTTTAACATCTCCTGATGCTTTAGTTCAATGGGAAGCTCAATTTGGTGATTTTGCTAATACTGGTCAAGTTGTTATTGATCAATTTATTGCTGGTGCTGAATCTAAATGGAAACAAAGATCTGGTTTAGTATTATCTTTACCTCATGGTTATGATGGTCAAGGTCCAGAACATTCATCGGGTAGAATTGAAAGATATTTACAAATGTGTAATGAAGATCAAAGATATTTCCCAGCTCCTGAAAAATTAGAAAGACAACATCAAGATGCCAATATGCAAATTGCTTATCCAACAACTCCATCTAATATTTTCCATTTATTGAGAAGACAAATGCATAGACAATTTAGAAAACCTTTAGTATTATTCTTTTCTAAATCTTTATTAAGACATCCATTAGCTAGATCAAGTTTAAGTGAATTTACTGGAGAATCACATTTCCAATGGATTATTGATGATGTTGAATTAGGTAAATCAATTCATGGTAAAGAAGGAATTAAAAGATTAGTATTTTCAACTGGTCAAGTTTATGCTGCTTTACATAAAAAGAGAGCTACAATTGAAGATAAAGATACTGCATTAATTAGAGTTGAACAATTACATCCATTCCCATTTGCTCAATTAAGAGATTTAATTGATTCTTATCCAAATGTTGAAGATTTAGTTTGGTGTCAAGAAGAACCATTAAATATGGGTGCTTATTCTTTTGTTGCTCCAAGATTTGCTACTACTTTGAAAGAAACTACTACTCAAACTAATTCTTCTATTAGATATGCTGGTAGAGATCCTTCTGCTTCTGTTGCTGCTGGTTCTAAGGCTATGCATATTGCTGAAGAAGACTCTTTCTTGAATGAAGTCTATCAAATTTAATTGATTTAATTACTTATACATACTATCTACTTTTCATCCATCCATCCAACCAACCAAAACAAAAGTGCATGACTTGCTCATTCTTGCTTGATTTCTATTTAAATCGTTTGTTTCTTTTTTGTCTATTATAAAATTTAGAGCTTCTATATGTCAATATCGTTTTTCAATTATTCTATTGATATTTCCATTTCTCTAACCCCCATTGTTATATTAATATTATGAGTAAATCTATTCTATATTCGTATTAGCATCGATAATATATTGTTATTATTTATTAGTATTATTTATTAGTATTATTATTATTGTTATTATTGTTATTATTATTATTTATAATTGTTACTCATTAAGGAGGTGGGTGTGGAGTTTGACTTATTCCGAAGTGGAACTCGGAACGGAAGGCCGAATTTTGTCAGAGACAAAAATAAAGCCCAGTTCAACGGATTTGGTCGTCTACTTCCATCAGTAACCTCGTGTAAATGGCCATTGGAGGAATCCGTTGATGACTAATTGGTCTTGATACATCATAGGCATAGAAGCTTAATCCTCACTATCCTTTCAATTGCATGACTACTATACTTATTAGAGCTATTCTATCGGTAACTTATATAGTATTAAAGTTCATCTATTAAGTTCCCCACATGACAAAATTATTTTTTTTTTCTTTTTTTCCTCCTTCTCACTTTTTGCAACCTCAAGCTGGGTCCGGTAATACATTTATGCGCCAGAATGTTTATCCGATACTCGAGCTTTAAACTTGTTCGGACCTGGGTAAATGAACTAATTCTGAGCTTATTACTAAGTGATAAGGCATTATTGGTTTTACATCATGACAGGAGTCGCTACTGATTTAAAGTAGTCTGTTCGGAAAAGGTTATATCAGTTAGTGTATATATATATTTACATACATCCATTTGAATCTTCATTAAAATATAATACTTTTTATCTTAAGTTTATATTCTACAATCATGTCTCCCTCAAAGACCAATACCAATACTACAATTTATTCCGAAACTGATACATCATACTCTATCATTGAGAAAGCTCCAATATCACTAGATGTTATAATAGTAGGAGCAGGTTTAGGTGGATTGACCGCAGCCATTGGATTAACTATGGCTGGTCATAATGTTACCGTTTTAGAACAAGCTCCTCAATTAGGTGAAGTAGGAGCTGGAATTCAAATCCCTCCTCCATCTCTGAAAATCTTAAATTCAGTTGGATGTCTTGATAAAGTATTATCCAAATCCATTTTACCTCATGACTTTAAGATTTTTGGTTGGAAAGATGGTAAATGTCTTTCTCAACAGAATTTAATTCCTTTTGTAATGGATGAATATCATGGTCAATATATTCATATTCATAGAGCTGATTATCATCGTTCATTAGTTGAACGTGCTCAAGAATTAAATATTGATATTATATTAAGTGCTAAAGTTAATCATATTGATTTTAAAACTAATACTGTTGGTACAACCAATGGTAATACATATAAGGGAGATCTTGTTGTTGGATATGATGGAATTAAATCTCAACTTCGATCCTTTATTCTTGGATATGAAGATTTACCTTATAATACTGGAGATTTAGCATATAGAGCATTAATTGATGTTGAAGAAATGAAAAAATATCCAGAATTATTATCTTTTCTTTATGAAACTCCTAATATAAACTTTTGGTGGGGTCCAAAATGTCATATTGCTGTATACTTCTTACAAGGAGGGAAAACATGTAATGTTGTTGTATTAAGTCCTGATACTATGCAAGAAGGTGTCTTTGTAGAAGAAGCTACCAAGGATGAATTAATTGAATTATTTGAAGGATGGGATCCAAGACTCCTTAAATTATTTGAATTAATTCATCATACTTCTAAATGGAAATTACAAAACCTGAGAGAATTGGCAACTTGGACTCATCCTGAAAGTAATTGTATTATATTAGGTGATGCTCTGCATGCTACATTACCATATTTAGCTAGTGGGGCATCTTCAGCTTTAGAAGATGCGGCAGTATTATCAGGATTATTTAGTCATATTGAATCTAAACTGCAAATTCATGATTTATTAGAATTAACTGAATCATTAAGGAAATGGAGATCAACTCAAATTGTTCAAGGGTCAACACAATGTCAAAGAATATATCATTTACAAGATGGTGAAGATCAATTAAAGAGAGATTCTAAATTAGCAGATTTACCACCAAAGATTGGATACCCCAATAGATGGGCAGATCCAGTATTTCAAAAATTTCTTTGGGGTTATGAAGCATTTAATGAAGCAGAAAGAGGTTGGAAGGAATATAAATCTAGGGGTAATAAAGCTGTTAAGTATTTTGTTGATAATTTATATGATGATGCTCATTTATAAATTATTCATTTCATTTAATTTATTTATATAATTTTATCCATATATTTAGTTAAATAATATATAATATAATATGATGAACTAAACATAAAAAGCCGATATCCTGTAGCACAATAGTAAAAGTAATAGTAGAAATAATAATAGTAATAATAAGAAGAAGAAGAACATTAACAACAATTAATAAATAAAATAGTTGCAAAATATTTTGCATTTTTTTTAGCCATTTTTTGGAATTTTAGGAATTAAACAGTTTTAGAGATTTTTCAATTTTTATATTCATTCAATAATTCATTATTGGGTTGGACTTGATCAATATTCTTGACAAATTGTGGTAAACCAGATTGGATTGATTTCATAACTGCTTCAATACAAAGTAAAGCTTGTAATGCATCTTCACCGGTACATTTAACATAGGATTCTTTACCTGTGATAATGTTTACAAAATGATCAAGTTGTAAGTCAAATGGTTTGGGTTTTTCCTTTGTTTTGGTGGTGGTTGATGATGATTCAGTAGGACGAGTCGAATTATGTATTGGACTATACTCTTTATAATTTGGTGATGGAGATGGAGTTGGTAATAATGTATTTTCCATATCAATATCAAGTTCATTATCTTCATCTTCTTCTTCATGATCCATTTTTAATTGTTCAGTAACAATGGGCTTCAACCAAGATCTGGCATCATCAAAATTATTACTCATTGAATTATTAATCAATTCATAATCATCTTCAAATTCATTATCCTTTTGATGATATAATTTCATATCAGGTACTGATATTGTACCATGAGATCCAAATATTCTATAAAATCCATGAACTTCTTCATTAAATGGTACAGTTGGATTTTCACCTGTTCCAACTTCAAAAGAAAATGGTGAAGTTACATTATCTGAACAAATAAAAGTTCCACAACATCCATTAGCAAATTTTAAAGTTAATGCTGCACCTTCATCAACAAGATTAGAATTTTCAATTGAATTAGGTGAAATATTATTATTATGATTATCAAATCTATCAATTCTTTGTTTAGATAATAATTCAGCATATACTTTTTCAATGGGACCTAATAAATATTGTAATAAATCTAAATCATGAATAAGATTAATTAATAATGTACCACCACCTAATTCAAGTGAAGATCTCCAAGGTTTTTCAAGAAAATATGAAGGAGGTTTACATAATGTCCAAGTACCTTGAATAGCAACCAAATGACCTAATTTCTTTAAATTCTTTTTAGTAGTAATAATATAAGGATTAAATCTTCTATGATGACCAATTAAAAGATGAATATTTTTGGAATGACAATAATCAACAAGAGTTTTACAATCTTCAGCAGTTGGTGCTAAAGGTTTTTCAACTAATAAATGAATACCTTTTGAAGCCAATTGTAATCCTAAATCAACATGAGTATGATTTGGAGTTGCAATAATGGCTGCATCAGGATAAGTTACACCTTCATTATTAAATTCACAAAATTCAAATAATTCAGTTAAATTTTTAAATAGACGAGTATTAAATTGTTTAGATACTAATGGACCCTTTGCTGAATGATCTACAATAGCTAGTAATTGACAATCAGGTCTTGATACTATATGATCCGCATGTCTTGGACCAATTAAACCAGCTCCAATTACAATAAATTGAAGTTTCTTATTACCACCATTATTATTTGAATTGTTAGAATTGTATGTCACATCATTAAAAGAAGGGATTGAGCCCATAGTACGATATTATTTAGATAGTTAAATGAATGAATAATACTAATAAGATCAAAAAAAAAAAATGGAAAACATATATAGAAGTATAAACAAGAGGATACACAAATCTATTTATAATTACAAAAGAAAATACTACTAATGTAGCCGATAAAATTTCAACGCATGTTACCAACCCTACTGAATTCCAACAAGTGATCAGTTACTTTTAGTTAACAGTGAATTTGCCCCTAACTAGTTAAAATTTTGGTGAGATTTATTTATGAATGTGGCTTTGTGTAACTAGCTTATCTATGGTTATTTATTTTCAAAAACCTTATGGACCGGCAATTCAGTACAGGACCATTGTATGAGCAGATGTCTCGTGTGGTGATCATTACTAATTTCTGGGTACCACGCTAGTGACGAAGTTAGTTACGGGGGGGTAAGGAAAGGAGTGGGTGTGTTATGCCAATTGATCCCTAATTAGACTTATTCGTATACTAACTTACAGATTCTAGATTATATAGTAAACCGACTGTTATTTCTTAATTATTCTATACGAGCAGAGATTGGAGCCATAAGGAATCACCTATCAATGTTACCCTAATTGATTATGGAACGTATATGTACATAACGTCTGCTCCCTCCATTGTTTTCTCCAATTGTACCTCTTACTCCTTCCTTAACATTCTCTTTGCTTTAGCTGTGTCAACCATGTTACACAAACTACATTGTATACTTAAGGTTGAAATCCGCACTTTTTGTGAGCCCCTTTTGTTCATCTTATCTATATCTCCAGCTAATTCCTTATCGCCATCGCCGTTTTTGTTGTTCTCGGCCGGAAGTACGAATGCGAACAATTACGTCATGGTTTTCTCGTACTGTAAACTATTATCCTTTACGAACTAACTACGATTGATGCCGTAGATGTTTACGGATCGTCAAATTGCAAAACATACAGGTTTATTACTGGCGGCTTATGACTTTTGCATCCAATTCTTAATAATCATACATTTATTTTGAATATATATTACAGTAATCATTTCTATGTAATTTACATCTTAGCTTTAACAACTTCATTATCTTGTGGTTTATCATGAAGCTTTCCATGACCATTCTGCAGTAACCGATCACTCATAAATAAATTCTCACAAACGTGATCAATAACTCCCCACCCATATCCATTAGCAAATCTTCTTCTAACAATTATGTTATTGTGTGCATCTGGTGGCAAGTGAACTAAAATCTTTCTCCAATTTAATTCTCCCGTATGATATTTTCTGGCAATCCTAACTTGTTTCTTTAGTTTCCAATCATGTTTTAAAGTCCAAGTAAACAAAAATTTATGCTCTTCATCTTTTTCATTCTCAGGTTTGGGTAAGTTCTCAAATTTATAATATTTATCATGAAATATAACTGCATTTCGACTTTCTGGATTCATGATAAAATTAGTTGAAGGTACTGGACATATTATAGCATTAAGAGCTGATTCAACAACATTTGCTCTTGGAGGAATATTAAGTGCTGGTTCAGTATTAGTGGTAGTAGATGCAGTACCATCAGATACAATTGTAGTATTTCCTATATCATCCTCTTCGTAATCATCATCATTTTCATATTGTCTAATACTATCAGAATCGATCCCTTTCGCTGATATTCTTAAGAATTTTCTTTCTCTACTTGTTAACTTACGTGAAGCTGTTGATGAATGACTTGGTTTCCAACCCAAATTTAAATTTAATATATCACCAATAGCTCTAATCTTATTAACCAGTTGATTCTTTAGCTTTTTACCTTCACCTTCACCATTAGTATCATCATCTTCTGGAACTTCAGTTATTGTATTTGTAGATGTATTTGTTTGAATTGATGCATTCAGCGAAGAAGAATGCGTATTAACTGGATGATGTTTCTTAATTTCATTTACATCACCCAAGGCCTCATAATCAAGATATAATAATGCTGCAGTTCTCAATGGAACAATTCCATCATTCACAGCATTAGCATAAATCGTTAATTTTTTAAATTTACCTAGAAATTCTTGTAATGGTGAATCAGGAAGGATTTCTAAAATTGGTTTCAAAGACATATCATCACTTGTCTCTCGTTTACTCTTTAATGATAAAAATCTTTTTGAAAGTGTTAAATCACGACCGGTCTTACCTAATGTTCCAAGATCTAAAAACCATGATAAAAAGAAACTTATTTCATTCAATATACCAAGTAATGGACTTGCTAAAAATATAAGATTTTGAGGTTGAATCTTATGATCATTAAACCATGTTATACCTTTAGTTAATAAGATATATCGTATTGCATATAATTGAACTAATCCACCTAAAGAATGTCCCAAAAATGAAATTTTCTCAATCTTATAAGGACATTCATGTTCAATATATTCAATTAAATATTTACCCATATTCTTTCCTAATTTTTTAACACCTCTTTCTGTTTTACCTGCGTTACCGGCATAACCTCTAATTAATACATTCTCAGAACTATTATTCATTAAAGTATCTCGAACATAAAGTAAATCAGCCGTCAAATTTGAAAATATCCCATGAGTCACTATAATTAAATGGATTGGATGAGTTGGATCTCGTGGTGGTTCATTCCATATTTCATCGGTAGATTTCTTCTCAACGACAAGTTGTGGATTTATTGAATGATTTAATTCTCTCTCTTTAAGTTTATCAATTTCAATAGCACTTGCTCCACCAGTTGATAAACTTGTTAAGGTATATTGAAGACTATTCATATGACTTAATTTTTTTAATTTTTGCATATCATCACCAATCATAAAATCATAATTAATTTCACCTTTTCTATTAATGACTATTTGACTTATTATATCAATTTCCCATTCAAAACTTTCTGGTTCTGATTCTGTTTCTGTTTCTGTTTCTGACTCTGTTCCATTTTGTTCATCTGTCACTCTTGAATTCTCATTGAGATTCAATATCACTTTGAAGGACTCACCTGGCTTGATATCATTATTGAATCTAACTTCCTTATTGAATTCGAGATTATCTGGGTGAAACTTTTTCCTCGCATTATAATTTCTCGGAATAACATGACAATATAATATAAATGGACCATTTATTAAATGTATAGCACGAATTGGAGGTCTTTCAATATTTTTCAATCGGAAGTATATTTGATTTATACTTGAGTCTAACCTTGTATATCTCACACGATATCGATTTACTTGGCCTATCTTTAGTACATCCTTGTCACGATACCAAAGATATGGTGCGGCCGTTGGCATTCTATTTAATTACAGTTATTATATATACGTCTATATGAATTATATGTGAAATAGTAGAGATTTTTAACTATTTAGTATACTGTACTAGCCATCATCACTATGGGAAGACGCGGGGCAGAGATTGAAAAATCACGTGCTAGTTTAGCCTAGCCTAGCCTAGCCTTTGAGTTTATATTGTTTATGTTATTACAATATATACCGTATACCTCACCAGTAACTATTCCATAGTTAATTGATCAATAAGTAGGTGATTGATATTGAGTATTCGAAGTAATGTAATGCTTCATAGATATTAACTATTTGGTTTTACTGGGTGTGTTGTGGCTCAGTTAGTTTAGATGAGCCTGCATTATCAGGATCAATGTTTACTAGCGCTAATAGTTTCATATATATTAATAATATAGTAACCTTATAATTAGCTTTCGGTAATATATAATTTATAAACCTCTTTAAATACATAATTATTAAAACTACGAAACATCTAATCGCACTTAACTTCGATATCGGATAAATACTATTCCTGGGATAGGCAAAATAAACCTCCATATACCTAATTTGGAATTAGTGAGTGAGTGGCCGCTAAATCTTTTTTCATCTCACTATGGGGTAGCAAAAAATTCTAACGAACCGGTAAGATTTACTGTTATGAACTAAATTAACTAAACAATTACAACTAATTATGAAGTTTTGATGAATTTATTTCTAAGGTTTGTAACTTGTACTTTTTTCCGTTGATCTAGCTTAAGTCATTTGTATTATTTTTCATTATCTTGTATCTTTTATGAGATATTCACAATCATTAGATCAAATGGATAAGCAAACCCCAGTTATAATCACATCTACTCAACCTTCTATTAGTACTAGTAGTTTACATCGAAGAGTTTCTTCTGGTTTCAATGATTTGATTCCATCAAATCCTATTGTAGGATCAATGACAGAGAATTCCATCTCATCCACAACTAATACTAATACTAATACTAATAATACATCAACAAAAGTTAATCAAGGTAATCGTTCAAGAGAAGTATCGGTCACTTCATTACTGGATAGTGCATCATATGATTCTGAACCTCATTCTTTTTCAAGTGTCACCTCAATCGTATTGATAGGTTTACGAGGAGTTGGGAAACTGACATTATCATTAATGGCACTGGCTGCTTTAAAATTTAAACATATCGATGTAGAAAATTGTGTTCTGGAATATACAGGTATACCTGAAGCTATATTCATTAATAGAGTAACACTTGAAGAATATCGAGATATTCAATATAAATTAATAAGTCAATCTTTGAAAGAAAATGAACATGATAATTGTATTTTTGTATTACCTTCATCATCAATTGATAATTTTAAAGTCATTGAATATTTGAAAAAAAATTCGAAAATTTATTGTATTGTAAATATTGAATGTGAAGAATTAAGAATTCTTAATTATTTAGATTATTCAAATGATATTGAAAAGGGAATTCAAATCATTCAATCAAAAGTTTTGAAATATAGATCAGTTTCTGATTTCAATTTCTTTAATCTTCATTCTGATTCAGATTTAAATATAATTAAAAGAAATATGATATCTATAGGAGGATCTAATGGTTCTGTTTCTCAATATAAATCTGAATCTGATTATGATCATAATTATTTACTTTTAAAACCATTAGAAAAGGAATTTGTACAATTCTTAACTTTTATTATAAAAGGTTCAAATTCAGCTTCTACTATATCTGGAGATTTACATTTAAAACTTTCATTAAATAAAAAGTTTTCTCTGTGTCTCCAAATTATTTATCCGGAAATATTAAATTTAAAATTATGGGATAATATAGATGAATTTATTTATGGAGTTGATGCTATTGAAATTAAAATTGATATCCTTGAATTAAAAAGAAAATCAGTGAGTCCTTATTCTATTGTTAATTTTGAAGAATTTATAGCTCAATTAAAGAGATATACTAATTGTTCATTACCATTATTATTAAGTATTAATAATCCAATTATTGAAATCAATAGATTTATGAATTCAAGTAATAATTCCGATATAAGAGCCGAAATTTATAATTCATATTTCAATACTCTTTATTCAATTGCAAAAGTTGCTGTGGATTATATACTGGTAGATCTTAGTATTTTCTTGTATGATGATTCTATAAGTAATCAAGATTCTTCATTAATAATTGATCATTTAAATCAAATTAGAGGAAATACTCAAATTATAGGTTCATTTGTTTCTCAAGATCTGGAATTTTGGGATCTTGATAATAATCATTTAAAAGGTATTACTACTGGTCTTGATATAGTTAAATTATGTGAAAAATTAAAAATTAATCATTTAAGATTAACATCAATTGCTACAACAGTTTCTGATAATTTTAAAGTATTTGAATTTACAGAATATTTAAGAATTAAATTTCCAAATTTAAAAGTTTCTGCTTTTAATGATAATGCTTTAGGTAAAGTTTCTAAAGTTTTTAATAATTTCTTAACTCCTGTTGATATTCCTATTAATAATCCATCATTAACTGCATTTCAAATTCATGAAGCCTTATATTCATCATTTTTATTACCTGATTTAAATTTTTATATAATGGGAAGTGATGTATCACAATCATTATCACCTGCCATTCATAATGCTGCTTATAAAGCATTAGGTTTACCTCATACTTATAGTGTATTTGAATGTTCTACATTAATGCCATATCTTGCACAATTAGTTAAATCTCCAAATTTTGGAGGTACAGCAATTATTATGCCATTTAAATTAGAAGCTTTAAAATATGTTGATACAATGTCAAATCATGTTAAAATTATTGGAGCTTTAAATTCAATTGTTGCTGAAAGAAGTCTTGAAAATCCAAATGAAATTATAGGTATAAGAGGTGAAAATACTGATTGGTTAGGAGTAAGATTATCATTAATGGATAATATATCTCCAATTAATGCTGTTAGTAAAAATAAAACTGCTTTAGTTATAGGAGCTGGAGGTATGAGTAGATCTGCTATGTATGCATTAATTCAATTAGGTTATCAAAAGATTTTATTATATAATCGAACATATACAAAAGCTCAAGATTTAGCAAATTATTTTAATTCATTATCACCTATAAGACCTTCATCTTCTTTATCAACTGGAGAATATGATTCTAAAATAGATGATTTAAAATATTTTGAAATAATTTTATTAAATGATGATGAATTTAATGGAGGAATAATTCCTAATAATTTTAATTATCCAACAATTATTATAAGTTGTGTACCAAGTTCAGATAGAATTACTGGGAAACCAACTAATATTCAATTATCAATTAATTGGTTTAAAAGTCCTTCTGGAGGAGTTGTTCTTGAAACTGGTTATGATCCTTTAATGACTCCAATTTTAGAAAGAGCAACTGAATTTAAAGATAAAGGTTGGGTAGCAGTTAATGGTTTAAATTATCTTTATGCTCAAGCATTAGCTCAATTTGAAATGTTTACAAATAAACCAGCACCTCGAGCATTAATGAAATCCATTGTTATTGAACACTATAAAAGAAATTATAATTAGTTTATTTAGTTAGTTAGTTAAATGTACATTTATTTAATTAATCAATCTTTTCCTTTGAATATTTGGCCCTTAAAACTTTGTATACAGCAGTCATCTTAAATTTCTTAAGTAAAATATTTTCAAGAATAAATCTTGGACACCAATATAAAATATAACCTAATAAACTTGCCATTGTTCCACGATAATAGTTTAAAGTACCTTGTACTTTAGATCTTTCAAAATCATTAGCAACTCTTCTAGCATATTCTTCTGCTGACATTGGATTATTTCTAGCAGCCATTTCTTGTCTTTCCTTAAGAGCTCCAACCATTTCAGGAATATTATAAATTGAATTTGGTGGTAAAGATCTTTTATCTGCAATATCAGTTTTAACACCTCCAGTAATAAAATTAAGTACTCTAACATCGAATCCTAACATTTCAATTCTTAAAGTTGCAGCATATTGATGAATAGCAGCTTTAGTTGCTGAATAAGTACAACTAAATGGGAATGGAACAACTCCACTTACAGAACCAGTAAATCCAATAGCTCCTTTGGCATTAATAACTAATGAACCCAATTCTCTAACTATTCTCATTGGTCCATAAACATTGACTTCAAAACATTGTTTAATATATTCATCACTAACATCTAATGCAGCAAATGTACAAGATTGTCCTGCATTATTAAAAAGAATATCTAAATATTTATCACCTGTTTCTTCAATAATAAATTTTTTGGCATTTTTAACACTTTCTAAATCAGTTACATCCAATTTAAAGATTATAATTCCATGATCCTTTAATGATTCCATTGGTTCTAATCTTCTAGCTCCAGCAAAGACTTTATAACCTCTTTTGGCAAACTCAATTGAGATTGCATATCCAATTCCTGATGATGCTCCAGTAATTAAGGCAACTTTTTGACGTTTTTCAGACATATTGTGATCTCTGGTCAATTCTGCTTCTAAGTCAATTACTATTATTTTCAAGTTATCTATTTCAAGTATCTGAACTTCTTTTTTTTTTTGTAGCGAGATCGTGGGGTGTTGATAAACCTAAATACCGAGGAGGAGTAAGAATCGAATGGTAAGCTTTGTTGTATAGTTTTTCTTAAAATCTTCAGAGTTTAATTTAAGTTTCACCCTATTCTGAATGCTACCTATTGGATAGTAGTACTATAATGAGTATCTCAACTAAATTTGTTAGTACTATCAGTATAAAATGTATAACAAATGTCCTCTTGGCTGTGAAAATCCGCATTTCACTCTTCCCCTCTGGATATAGGATAACAATTGGTGCGCAGATGTAGGTGGCGTAATATCGAGAGTTTGAAGAAATATATGACGTCTGAAAATGATCTAAAAATAGCATACTGATATCGGAAACGGTTTAAGGTGAAATAAATCGAGTATGCGGGAAATCAAATTCAAGAGAATATTGCTGCAAATAATGATTTTAGTTGAGTTATCACTAATAAGACTAAATAGTACTCCATAGTATTAATGGATTATAGAGCTATACATCAGCATTAAGTTCTAGTGACATATCAATCACATGAGTTTAACCAGGACAATAGTTTAAATAAATAGAATAAGCTCGTATAACCCGAATCCCGTAGTGAAACAGCCATTTTATTAGAATCTCAGTGATTGTAAGGGAAAAATAAGAGAGTAGTCAAACTCAGGTACTTAGAAAACTTAGCTTATGATAAAATGAAGAAAGTTTTTAGAAAGATTTCCCCTATCACATATTGAAAGAAAAGTGTTGGATTCACCAACAAGTGAATAAATAGGAAATTCAAAAAGTTAGAGATATTTTGAAAGATCAAAACTATTGAGTCTTATGAAAGTATTAGAAATTGAATAGTGAAACTTCCATGTTTGCAGTATCAAAGTCATTTGATCCAAATGCTTGGAGAATTAATGAAAAGTATCCATATATGATGATTTCTTACCACTGACATTTATGTGTTTAATCTGATTGTAAGTAGGAAATGATATATATTTACAAATGAATATAGTCTTAATATTTACAGGGGCTAATAGGTCTATTTGTTAAGTTCGTCTAATAATTTATCCTCATAAAAATAATGCATAAATTTTACTGGCTTCTTTTCATTGGGTCTAGTGATATGCAAAACAGGTACGTCATAACAATAAGCATCAAACCACTTCTGATTCTCTGGTTTCATGATATCAACAATCTCCAAATTGATTTCTTTGTATTTCAATGAATCATTCTCTAAAGTTCTTCTTAAAATCTCATGAGCATTGGTACATAACATACAAGTTTTCTTCGTGAAAAATGTTATTGATGGCTCTATATTTAAAGCAGTTGCAGTACTATTCAATCGTCTTATAACCAACGTATTACTTGGATGTATTTTCAATCGCGATATCATTATGTAGTCTGAATAAGCTTCAAATGTAATAGAAGTAAATTTAGGTATTAATCAGAAATTATGAGAAAAAAAATTTGGTTAATTAAATTCTGGCAAAAAAAAAGAAATGATTCTGCCCAGGATCGAACTGGGGACGTTCTGCGTGTTAAGCAGATGCCATAACCAACTAGACCACAGAACCTTTTCTTGTTTAAATTATTCTCACTTCTCGCTCTTGACATTTTAATTGTGATCACGTGATTTTCATACTTAACATAGTCGGATTTAGCCTCGAATATTTACTTCCGGTTACCGGTTTTCATCTTTCTTAGTTATAAAATTCACAATCTCTATAGTTTCAAATTGGTCCTATCTCCTCAACCCAAGTTATACAGTACTCTTGAGCAAAATTGAAGATTATACTCCAATGGATTAAATAATTTTAATATTTAATGGAATTAGTACAAATACTTTGCAGCTTTTTATGTGATTGAAAGCTTGTCAAGTGAATAAATGATTGCAAAAACTTGAGAGAAAGTTGTAACAAGCAGAAACTCCCATTTCATCAAAATTATTAGATGTAAAATGTAGAGATTAAGTTGGATTGTTTATGTAGATGAAGAATCGAGTGCATTGCCTCTGTAGACTGTACAACTGGTTTATGATGTATAGGTATCGATTAGCAAGAGAAGCTGGGTAAATATTAAGTGGGCAATTGTAGTAGTCCACAATTGAAAGAGGGAAATAAAGAGCTTCTGCCATATAACTCAACTAATTGAGGAATGTAGATAAAGGTGGTCGTGGCAGTCCACATATTCAGCCAGGGTGGTTGGTGCTGGGGGATGGGGCGCAATGGCGGCCATGTCCTAGCTGGTCCCAGTGCAATTCTTCCAAACGGTATGAGTGCTGCAGTTTTGCAGTGGATAGAACATGTAAAGGAGAGTAATCTAGACCGACCAAGTATTAGGATTGACTATTTCTGATTCCTAATGGGCTCGACTCCGACTTTTGAATGAGTGGTTGTCGACTAGAAGCATAAACTGTTGCCAATCTCTCCACCTCCTGAGGGTGGTATATTGATTATAGTAGTGATCTGACTCAGGTTGAGTGATGCTAACTAGAGAGGCACTATGGCTTGGCTGATGTAATTTCAAACCAAGCTTGAAAACGTAGGTGCTCCCTCTGTTGAGACCTCATCATGTTGAAGCTGGACTTTGATATGAAGAAGAGTCCCATTTGGAAATCATGTCAATACTTGATACCAAGGCACCGTTCCCAGAAGGGAGACGGTCCTCGTCTTGTCTGTAATGAATTTTTGGAAACGATCTCGACTGAAAGTGGTATTCATCTATAAGTAAATTGGGAATAGCTTTAGCCCACCGTCTTTTTAGCTGCCTTTCTAGGTCTGTCAAACCATAACCACTATGTTAGCTGGAGAATGAAAAGTTGAATTGTGAATGTATTTGAAGTGTGGCTTCACCAATGCATTACCCTTTCAATATCTCTTGGTTGCATCGGGGTATGATGTTCTCCAAAATTTATCTCACAGAATATATACAGATTCTAACCTTTAGCTTTAAGGTGATGCGGTAATTGAGTTAACATGTCATGACTTAACAGCTGTGTAAGTGTCACAATATATGTAGTTAAGGTTGTGGAGCAGTAGTCCTACGTAGATAATATCTTCTTCCATAGCATGTTTGTCTGGAAAACCAAAGGTTGGAACTCTTGGATCATTGAAATAATATAATTTAGATTATCTGTATTAAATGGGAGATGGAAGCTACTTCTAACTTCCTTATTTCCTCTTGTAAAATGTTGTTATCTTTCTTTTCATTAAGGAGTACACTAAGATCACCGGCAAAAGCTAAGCAGCATTGATGAGCTTTGTCGAGTCCCTCGCTGCAATGAATAGGGAGTAGATCAAGTATCATTTATGAAGATTTGAGTTTTCTTGGTGACTTTTTAAAACTTGGACTTTTCTAACCAATGAACTTTTCAATTATAACTTAAACCATCTTATAGTGGTGAATAGAGAAACTCTATTCATTCTATCAAAACTGAAAGAAGTTATTATTCCGGAGTTATAGTGCCGAAATTTGAAAAAAATATTAATATTTGTTAAAAAATAAACAAAATCCTAGTAGTAAATACATGTGTTTCTTTGAGTTATATTTAAACAAGCAACAAAATAAGGTCCAAATATAATGCACCGTTGCATATAAAGTGTCAAACTTCTATAATAATTTCTGTAGTAAAAAAAGAGGGGGTGGAGAAAAAAGAGACTCCGAAGTCGGAAATCTTTGAAGATATGTGTGCTGCAAACTTAACGGGTACAGCTCTAATGATCGATTTATTTTAGTTAATTTCATACTTTGTCAAGAATATTAAGAACAGAGCTATGATTTGGGTCGTCCAAGTATGTCAAAGTTATCTATACTAAATAGATCTTGGATACTGAAGAACCTCTTATTTGAATAGTCATTTTAAATATGATCATTTTCGGCTTGCCATAATCCGTTGCAGACTCCAAGAGAAATCACTCGTGATAAGTATGTATACTTACTTATTATAGAAGCTAAAGCATAAGGATCTGCACCTTATATTTTATTTTAAATTTTGTGTCTTCATTTTACTGCAACCTTTTTGGATCTGATGGAACAAGCATCAATGTTACATTCCAAAATAACGGCCAACATGGAAACACTAAATATCTGACTTAATCATGCCCAGTTATTATGATGCATGCATAATTATTTGATCTCATTATGTAAAGAAATTTATATAAATGAACGAAAAGCCATCTGTTGACTTAGCTCTTAGATAGGCATACTCAAAGAAAACATGCCTCTAATTTTAGAAAATGCTTCAATTTCTTCGGTGTCTTCCTCTTCAACTAATATCCAGGACCCAATATTAACTAGAATAAAATATTCTGGAGAATCAGGAGAATATGTGATAATTGGAGATAATAAATATCACAGGCATGAATTAATGCTTGCTCTAACACAAGTTCCTCAAATCAAATCTAGAAGTGATTCAAGGAAGATTCATTACAATGCAGTCCCTCTTGGTCTCTTTGCCCTTTCAACAACTATATTTGTTCTCTCTTTATTCAACTCCAATGCAATGGGAATTACTATTCCAAATGTTTTCATATCTTTAGCCTGTTTTTATGGAGGTGTAGTTCAATTCTTTGCTGGAATTTGGTCATTAATAGAAGGAGATACATTTTCTGGCACGGCTATGATCTCATATGGGGCATTTTTTGCAAGCTATGCTGTGATATTTATCGATTCTTTTGGAATTATTCAAGCATATTCAAACAGCAACCAGTTACACAATGCAATTGGTTTTATCTTCGTTGGATGGTCCATTTTTACATTTTTATTATTTATGTCCACCTTGAAATCATCATGGGAATTGACTTCTTTTTTTCTCCTATTGTTAGTCACTTTCATTCTCCTAGCCATCAGTCAATTTTTGGGTGAAGCTGTTGGCTTAACCAAAGCTTCTGGTATAGTGGGAGTCGTGACTTCAATTTCGGGATGGTACAATGCCTTTTTTGGAATGTCTACCAGTCAAATTTCTTATATTCTGCTTAAGAATAATCGAATGCCATCATTTTCTTTTTGGTAAGGTGGTATAGCACTGTGACGCGGCTGCAAAAAATTTCAAGCAACACAACTTCAAGATATATGTAAAAAATAGACAACCTTTATTGGTCGATGCAGGTAAGTTTAGCGAATGTCAGAATCATGTCAAGTTCTTCTGCTTTTGAAAACGTCTGATCCACAAACCAAATCAGCCTTATAGATTTAGAATTCTTCATATCTCGTTTTAATGCACGTTTCGAATACATCTAAGAAGGAAACAACTATCACGACAAGACTAGTAGTCCTCTATATCTCCAAACTTTAGGATATAACTAGTATTTTAAAGAATGGACATTGGTTCTGGTGGAAATAGCAATTCGGAAGATTTCTGCAATACCGGGTTTTTTCTAACATCATAAATTCTTGCCATTATTTAGATAAAACATCTCTGTTATAATTATGTCTCTCTTGGGACTTATTAAACAATTTCTAATCAATTATCCTGAATCAATATTTATCTACCCAATAGCCTGCAGAGACTATACAGTAGGTATTGACTGGTATGGTCATCCGGTGTCTTAACTTATGGGATCTTGAAATACAACTACAACTCTTATCAGCTGTCATACAGTCTCTTTACTAGTGGATAATTTGTCTAAATGGCTGATATTCGTTTGGTCCTAATTCAACAATATCAGGTAAATTGAAGTAACAGTAACAAGGAAATTTCTTGAGGATAGACTGGCTGTAATTATCTTGTGGTCTCAAGAAGTAAAGGTTCTTAACTGAAGTAAGTAACTATTTCAGGAACGAAGATAATAACTGGGCAAATAGTCACTGAATTATTCTATAAGCAACATACAATTTAGAATTGTCTAAATCACGAACAAATATAACTCTTACTCTCTTTTTCAATATGTTATATTTGAAGTATTTCTGTAGCTATTTTGGCCATGCAGCTTAGTAACAAGCAAGATTTCTACTGTCCAGGAATAGTTGGTCATAAGAAAATGATTCCCAATATCATTTCTTCTTCTCCCTTAAACATTTTTTAACATTTCAGATTTCCTATGCTACCTTTTTTGCTTTCATGCATCATAGGAGACTAATTAACAATACCTTTTTTTGTCAATCATCTTTTTCCAAGTGCATTCAGCCACTTACCCTTATTTTCTTAGGAATAAGTAGCTATGAATAGGAGTCTGAAAAAAAGGGTTAGTAAATTGATCAAAGCTCAGCCAGCACAGCATACTTCTGGCTCCAACTAATACTACCTACCTAAATTGTGATAAGTGATACTAACAGAGAAATGGATCTTACTTATAATCATAGCAGGATCAAAAAAGCTTTGTTTTTGAAATATAATCTGATTGGCCAAATTTGGTTCTTAAATTTTGACCAAACTATTGTTCTAAGCTATTTGGTTTTTCTTCAATCCAAGTTGCATATTTTGGAGATGATTTTGCACCCATTGTTCCTTTTTTCATTGACCTTCCTGGTCCAACCTCCAACAACAGTTCAACATTAACACCGTTATCTTATAAACATAAGGGCTAGCTCTCTCAACTAGCAATTGATTTTAGTTAAATAACCAAGGATATCTGTTGGTAAGAAAAAGTATGCCATTGGCTGAATTCATTTTTCCAGCATGATTATCATGTACTAAAATTTGATCAATTTAATGACGATATAGAAATTGTTCCAATAAATCAAAGTCAGCATGAAATCTTTTACCTTTTTGAATCTCTTCATTAATTTTAATTAAATAATTCTAATAAAGCATTAGAACAATACTATGAACAATCCTTAGGTATTTAGATAATAAAATATTTTCTTTATGACTTTTTCGCAAAGTATCGTGCTATACCATATTGGTCCATTCAAAAATCCATCAGTGCCTCTTCCATTGAGTAATCTATATCTTTGTTTTTTTTTGAATGATATTTATTTGGGATCGTGGGCATACTTCCTAATGAAGAAATATAATCTAGGGATATAATATTTCTTATCAGTCTTTTAACCATATTTTGAATATGAAATGGGCCCCGAATTAGATTATTAATTTCTGGTCCCAGTAGATTCAAGTTGAAAAGAAAACAATTCCTTATTTATATCAAGTGATAGAGTTTCCCTTTGATTCAGCTGCATCTATTAAGGAAAGGGTCCAGGCTTAACATTTGTTCACATGTTGAGCTTGACCCGGATTATCATACTTGCCTCACAAGTAACCAAGATATATATAGGGACTTATCACATAAGGTAGACTCCTTTCAATCATAATAAAGTGAAATAATAATTTTGTAATTTACCTTCCAAATCCTAGAAATTTTGAGCTATGGAAAATCAATGTACCAAAAGAAGGAGAGAAAAGTCAATAGAATAATTCTATCAAGCTTTTAGATAATAACTTTTCATCACACCTCCCTATTATTATCAGATAGATACCGTCTCCTTAGAATTATTACTTATAATCACAAATGCTCAGAATAAATCAGTCATCTAGATGTTTTTAATTAGGTAATGAATGTAGCCTAAGAAGGCACGAGTTAAATAATAAAATAGTTACTTTAAAATGACTTATGTCTAATAACTTATGATTTAATGATTTTAGGAACATTTGATGGAATATTTGATACCAATCAATGACCTCCAAGGAGTGTAAATACAACAAATTCAAATATCAACACATTCAAATCTTAATAATCAAATTTCAATGGTTTTCTTCTACTTTAACTTGAAGTAAACAGGCAGCAATTTTAAGTTGATTATATGTAGCAACGATTTTGTCAATCTCATAATTCAATCATATTGAACTATTATAGCCACTATAGGAGCCCCTCCAACTTATTGCCCCTCAAAAGAAACTTATTCCATATCTCATTTAAATTTAATGTCTAATAACTTTTATCCTTAGTGTAAACACAGTAGTTCAACAGTAGTATAACTAAAGATCATTTCAATTCTCTTGGATTTTTATGTCAGATCTTTTATATAGAAGACTAGTACCTTTATGTCCGTACCTGAATATAATGAAGCACTCATATCTTTGAAAACTCATGATTAGTAGCGTTGATTCTAAATTGATTTCCGTGGAAAGGGATTAAGCTATACCGAATTGAAGATTGGCATATGACTCTTATACACAACCTGAATACAATATTTTGTTTTTGATAATAAATCCAACTGAAGTATTGATATACTTGGTCAATGCCTTATTATTAGTTTCCACATCTTAATTATATAAATTATAGTGTTAAACAACTTCCTATTTTTATTTGAGGATTCCTTGCAAGGCTATCGTATCATCAATGTTCTTTTTTAATATTAGAATTATCATGATCATAAGAAAAGGCTTGATCAATACTTCTTGTGATCTTATTCTGAATTATAACCTCTTTCAGCATAATATACTCTTTGGCTAGTGGAGCCAAACTTCCAATCAACCATCTGTGGTAATCTCACACGACTACCTACTCTCCTATGAAATATTAATAATGGCAGCCTATTTGTACATAGGCAATATGAGCATTATTAATGATCATTAAATCCTTTGAGGATTAATACTTATTTTTAGATAGGAACATTCAATGCCTTGAATGCACTATTGTAACGGGTCCTATTTAAGCCAAACATCTTATTTAATTGATCTCATTTTAAATCTTAATCCATGACCTATCATTATACAATTCCCTAATTCATACAAGCTTATTCTCTGTTTGATTGTGACTGATATTTGCTGAACTTTAAATGATTTGGCAAATAATCATTTTGAGTCCAGAACAACAAAGTGAATGTAGCCAAGGAACCTTCACTTGTGAAAGTGACAAAACAACACCCGAATCAATAACAACAAAATAAGAATGAAGATGGTAGAAGTGGTATACCTCCAGATGAGGCCAATACTGAAACATAACGATTCCCGACATCTCCATATTATTCGAGAAGTAATACTCTCAATCTACTGTAACAAACAATCTAATAAAGAAATATCAACTTTGGAGGATGCAGTTGAGGGGATTTATCCTTAAAAGATGAAACTGCAATCAAAGAAGCAGTTTGAAAATATGAACTATGACACATTATATATAAAAATAACCATTCCATTCATGGCATTTAGATTATTTTGTTTAATAAAATGACCAAGTCTTAATACCACGGATTATAAATAAATGTCTCGAAGGAAATTGAAAGGTTATTATTTGTAGTTGATATTATGCCTCTCTCTAATTTTGTCAACTAGAAAGCTAATCTCGTTCAAATTTCAAGTGAAGAATCCACTAGAACTCGTAAACCAAGAAAGACTAGTGCTTGACTCTTCAGAATCTTCCGATAAAATCCCTCGTGGTAATTGTTCTCCAATCCACTAACCGCCATTTTCATTTCATTAGCAGTGATATATATAGCTTAGCCCATTGAATTTTAAACAATGCAAGCATATTGCACTAACTTTCAAGTTCATCTACACATGACAAAATGTATGTGAAATATATGATGATCTTCAATCTTGCGATATCTGGCTCTTGATATGCATTGAATAAATGTAAGACGAAAACGTCAATCAAACAGACTCAAAAAGAATTAACAAACATTTCTAGTAGCTTTATCCAAAAAGCTTATACTTTTCTGATATGGTAAATAAGAGTCATTAATAGCAAATAAACCTTTCATAATACAACACAGTTTGATTTCACCTTTTATAGTTCGACTAAATGATTGAAAATCAAGTATAGGAGACTCTAATAAAACTTCAGCTCACTTAAAAATATATGATTCGAATCTTCCCCAATTTTTCAAAATTTCTTAAGAAATTGAAATCATTAGTAAACCATAAAATTAATGTCTAAATCTTGGAGTTACCAATTTTTGAAGCTACTGTAGCTAAATTTTACTACATTATCTATAATCTAAGCAGCTTCTAACCTTTCAAAAAATACGGTGGATCCACAATAAAACTATATCAATACCGCTTTAAATGTCAATGCGTAATAAATAAACTACCAAGATAATAATTTTTCACCCTCTTACAGGTTCTTGAGCCTTATAACATTCTCTCTCACCAACAAATGAATTGACTTCCAATTTATTTAATTTAAACCACCAAAGTGACTTTTCACTTTCTTGACTTTTCACTTTCTTAACATCTTCCGAAACCAAAATAAATGAATATAACTATTTGAAATATGTACAAAAATCCCATTACCTCAGCAACCATATATAACTTGAATTCCAAAAGATTGTATAATTGTTTCCCACAGCTAAAGATATATCTTTTAAATCTAACTAACCCCACATTATTAAATACAACTTTCTCTAGATTTAGCCAACATCTTATTAGCAACTATTATTATTCTTAAATTCTAATTCCTTCAGGAAAGTTTGATTGAATATATTTTGATTAAAAAAACAATGAACCGCCCCCGCTCTTTCCATCACATTGAAATTAAATTTAAACCACTTTTTTGAGATTGATAACTTGAAGTAAAAACTTTTGAATAAATAAAAGATGAAATCCCTCCCCCCCCTTCCTCAGCTAAATATTTTAATCCTCCTCCTCCCTCTCTCTCTCTCTCCCTCTACTTCTCATTGATAACACTTTTGAAATATTCAACCATCTTGAAATCTAAATGATCCTTTTTCTAATTCTAATATTTTAATCAACTAAATGTAACAAAACAATAATGAAATCTAATTAAACTCCTTCAGAAGTTCACTATAATGTATTCAGTTAATGATTAAATAATGAATTGAAAGGTATATAATTACATTCAGAATAATGATCACAATAGATATTCACTTTCACAAATATTCTTCCAACTTCACAAGTCCAATTGTTATTGCCAGTATCATCTTAATTGAATTGGCAAGCCAGAGAAACCCTTCCCATTTCTAGTACTAAGTCGAGTGGTGTAGCCATCTCCTTAGAGGTTAGATGCTGGTAAACCCCAACAATCTAAACACCACCAGGGTGCCCAATAAACACTCAGAAGTATGAATATATTCTTATTTTATGTCGGACCAACAGACAATGAATAGCCTCCCCGCTAAACATGCCTAAATCAATCAAGGAGGACACTTAGGCTTCCCAGGGCTTCAGCAGTCCTTAATCCAAGAATAATCGGTTAAATCGACGGTCATACAACTTCGTGAATGGCCTCTAAATGACTACCCCTCGCCTTTCCTAGAATCTAGGTTAGATATTCTTCAACACTTACCGCATGAACTTCAGTATGATATTTAGACTAAGCGCCAACATAGGGCTGATCTATTATGGAATATTGTTGGGTAAATTGTCTATGGTATAGAAGAAGAATATGTTATATAATTTGTTTTTGAGGACGCTCATTTAGGCGCTCTTAATTGCTGCGAACTATCAACAAAGGGGTTTTTACACAAAACTCAAAACTGATATGTGACAATAATTGTGACATTCTTGTGATAGCCACTTAGTTTATATATGTATATACATATGTTTATTAATAAAAAGAATTTTTACCATATAAGATCTATTCAGATTAGTGAGCCGAGGATTGGGTATTAGTATAAGCTGGTAAACTTGACATTAAAAAATCACGAGAGCATGTCTCTAATTGGAAAAATACCAGTATACAAAAAACCCACTTAGTAATCGCAAATATTTCCTACTTGGTTAGAGATACGACAATTCAAGAGAAATATTAGTAGTACTACATTAATTATATTATAATAAAATATTGTATGGTGTTAAAAGAACTATAAACTAGCCTAAGAAACAGCAGTTAGAAGAGGACTTTTAAACTATACTAACAAAATGTTAGTAATAAGATACGTCGTAAACTTCAAATTCTGGAATCAATTTTTCAAAGTCATTTGTTTCAAAGGCCAAGACTCTCATCTATTTCCTGTGAATTGATTTGGGGAGAAATCAATCTACTTTCCACGTCAGACAAATCTTGGAACTAGAATTTTTACTTTGGGGGAATTTCAAAATTCTTGTATCTTCCATTTAAAAACAAAATCATCTTCAAAACGTCATACAGATTTTTCCATAAACTCAGTATCGCCAGTACTTTTTTTCTTTCTTTTTCTTTTTCTATTTTAACCTGGCTCTATAACTTAGTACCTCTTCTTCCCTTTGTCCCTTACACATCGTAGCAAAAAAATAAACTATTTCCATAAATAACTTTGCCTTGTAATCACAGGTAAATAATTTTGTGATTATAAATGAGAATGATTCCCTTGACCATAGCAAAATGTAGTATTAAAGGGTATCAAAAGACAAGTGGTAGCAGCTTTAATGAAATTACAAACTAATGTTATGTTATATGTTTGTTTCTTTCAATTACATTATTCACAATTAAAGCAAAGAGTTTTGAAATGGAATATCTCTTGCTTTTAAAAATTTAGATGTGAATAAAACCGCTATCAGTTATTTATGTGAAAATAGTTGCCAGTGAAGCAATGAACTATTGACTTTGAAGCAATGAACTATTGACTTTGAAGAAATCAAATTCATTCTTTTGCAAGATCCAGGGCCCTGGAAGAATCTTACTATTAAATTTAAAGAAATGAAATGTCAACCTTAAAGAATACTTCAACAACATAGCCTATAAAACTGTAGTACTATCAATAGTTACAACTGGACTTAAAATAACACCAAACAATGTTACCATCTAAGAGACTGCACTTAGATGTTTGCTATCTAACAAGGAATTTTGAACCAACTAGAGGATGGAAATACACTATATTGAAAACATTTGATTATTTTCAAATATCTGATTTAATATATCAGATAACAGTGAATGAGAAGATATACCATCGTAGTTGCAGAATGCTTTCAACTTGTTAAATAGCCATTAGAATACTATGAAAAATCTATTTCAGCTTAAAAAAGCCTCTGAATCCAGATTTGAGATTATTCATGATTCTATTACTGGAAGTTTTGGGAATTTCACCCTTGACAATATTAGAAACCTGAGGATTCTTATCAACATTTAATTGATCAAGTGAATCATTACCATTCATGGATGAACACTCCAAGAAATCATCAACATTGAATGAAGGAACTTCTACTTCAGATTCAAATTGATCTGATGGACTCTTTAACATGCCTGGAAGGTCCCCTCTTGAAGTATTTAATAAATCAACAAAATTAAATGGTAAAGTTTCAGAATCCTCGTAATCATCATAATAATTATCACTACCACTGGAACAATCAGAATAAATTGAATTATCAGGAGTAACTGGATCTTCTCCTTTCTTCTTAAATAAATTCAAAAATTTATTATTGTACCTGTTACCAGTGTGCTTTCTAAAGAAAGACTTAACTCTCTCGGTTTTAGATTCAGGAATTTCAACCAAGGATTTTTTGACTGGCTTTACTTTTAGAGGAAGTCTCCTAACTGCTGATGTACGGGCAGTATCAGCCATAATATTTATATGAGCAAAAGTATCATAAAGAGAAGAGAATGACTCCAGTTGTAATTCTTCATAAATATACTTCTCCAGCTCAATAACAGCATTAGCCTTTTTTGAATTTCCTTTAGTATTTTTGGAAGAAGAAAATCTATGGCTCTGCATCCAGATATAAACCAGTAATGGAACAAATTCACCAGCAAAATCTTTTAATTTATTTCTAAATCTATGGTCCCTGATAGCTTTTCTCCTCATAAAGGATTTGAAATTTCCTTTCTTAATAACTTTTTGAAAGCTCTTTCTATGTGACTTAGACGTACGAGCTTTTGAGGAGGACTTGGACTTATGAGAAATAGTTTTATTCTTTGAATTTGGATCCAATTTCTCAGAAGAATCTAAAGCTGCGGTAACAATGTTCTTCTGTGGTGACAGTACTTGACATTTCTTAAACCTCTGATCAGCTTGTGCAAATTCGGCTGCAAATTTCCTAACATTATATCTAAACCCATGACTTTTAATATTAACTCCATCACCAGTCTTTCTATTAAAAAAAGTTTTAAATTTTCCTTTTCTGTTAATAGCTTTGGGGGGTTCTAAGTCTTTAGGAGGGTCTAAGTCTTTAGGCAACTTCGGTTGTTCTACCTTTGGAGTGGCTTTAGAATCAGAGTCATCACCAGTGATGCACGACACATCACAAACAAAACCTTTAGAATGAATATTATTGTTATTATCATAAAAACTAGATAATTTTGATTGTTCTAGTTTTGGAGTGGTTTTAGAATCGGAGTCGACACTGATGGTTTGAGAACATGAAACATCACAAACAAAACCTTTAGAATGAATATTATTGTTATTTTCATAAAAACTAGATAATTTTGATTGTTCTAGTTTTGGAGTGGTTTTAGAATTAGAGTCGACATTTTTTGCTTGAGAATACGAAATCTCACCAACAAAATCTTTAGGTGGAATAAGATTAAGGTTATCGTAAAAACTAGCATCACCTTTACTGGATGACAAAGGTAACAATTGAGATTTCTCCAAAGAACCATTTTCTTTAGATAATGTTGAAAACTTACTTATTTGTTCATCCTTCAAATTATTCTTTCGTCTAAGAGGTATTCTTTTCTTAGATTGACCAATATAATTGGACTTTGTAAAGTCTCTTTCAGGAGAACCAGCAGATAATATTTTAGCTGGAGTTCTTCCAATTGAATCATCGAGAGCATAATTTTCTTGTGACAGTTGTTTCAAATTAATACTAGTGGAATTTATCTTACGAATACTCTTTGCCTTCTGTAACAGATTGATGGCTCTAATTCCTCTAAGTGAATCATCAAGAGAATAATCTTCTCGTGACAGTTGTTTCAAATTAATACTAGTGGAATTTATCTTACGAATACTCTTTGCCTTCTGTAACAGATTGATGGCTCTAATTCCTCTAAGTGAATCATCAAGAGAATAATCTTCTCGTGACAGTTGTTTCAAATTAATACTAGTGGAATTTATCTTACGAATACTCTTTGCCTTCTGTAACAGATTGATGGCTCTAATTCCTCTAAGTGAATCATCAAGAGAATAATCTTCTTGTGACAGTTGTTTCAAATTAATACCAATAGAAGTTATCTTACCTATACTCTTAACCTTTTGTAACAGAGGTGTTTTAACTGTAATTCCTCTAAGTGAATCGTCAAGAGTATACTCTTCTTCTAAAAGTTGTTCATATGATTCTAACTCAATTTCAGGTGAAGACGTATTGTTCACATCCTGTCCCATTTGGCACTGAGTTAATTTTTCAAGTAACTTCAATGATTTGTTGCTACTTGTAATGGCATTCTGCTTCAATAAATTATAAGAAGGTAAAGTAGTAACTTGGGAAATATCCTTCAAATGAGCGTTATTTATGACTTTGTGGTAACGCTTTGCAGACGACAAACTACCAGAACTTTCTTCAGAATAAAAAGAGGAACCAGATACTAAAGATGAGCCAGCTTCTAAATTAGACCCAAACAGGCCAGAACCAACAAATCTTGGTGATTTCATGCTCTCTAACTTAAGTAATCTTTCAGTTGCATCATACTTTGACGCTAAGGATTTGTGAGCGCCAGCGTCTGATCTATCAGGATTGAAGAAAGGGGAAACTGACGAAATTGACTTTGAACGAGTCAAGGCATTAATTTTAGTTGAATTTAACTTATACATCGTGACGTGAGAATTAATATATCAAATAATATCGTGACAACGTATGATTTGGGGTGTAATCTTATAAAAAGTAGGATAACCGCAAAAACATTATTGCAACTTTGGATCCAAATTTTTTTTATAGGATCTTTCGCAGTCAAAATTATGATCCAAAAAAAAAAAAGAAATATAATTTGTTTTTGAGTAACAAAAATTAGATATTATAGTACCTAACTTTATTAGGCGAATCCTTTCATTTTTAAGCCAATACGACAATTGATCCGTGTCATCTCACTATACTCTTACTTTATCAGCATAATAAGTAGTAGTATTCAATTATAGTGATCTTCAAAATTCGAATATACATTTTAACCTTATGTTGTAACAAAGTGGAGAATGATTGATCAACCAATCAATCAATCAATTAATCAATCATATAATTATTCTTCTCCCTTGGATAATAGCGACATCGACTTAAATACTAGTTGAACTTCAGCATAATTTGGAAGTAATATGTTATAGTAGTTTGTTCAAAACATAGCATCAAATAATGGTTGAATAATAAATCTTATTTAGATGAAGTTTAAATTCATTAGCTTTAGTTAGTTTGAAGTACTTAGCGACTTATCTTTAAACTGTTCGATTTACAGCGTTAGCTAGGAATACCATTATATATGAGCCTAACCGATATGATGGAACTTTTACCCCTTAAGCAGGATCAGTTATTATGTATATTCAGAACCATTATTCCACAACCATTTGATAGATTGATTCTGATTTCTTGAGTCTTGATATGTCGACGCTATGCCCTAAAAGAAAAAGATTATAATCAATTTACTAAAAATTTTTCAGTTTTCTTTATATAATTTCCCGCTATCTTAAAATATAAATAAAGCAATTTTTGACAAACCCCATTGTTTACATTATTAATTTTTTACACAAGAACTGATTAGATTTGTATGGTATTTCTTTAATCGGAAGTTTATTAGTATATAGGCTAATAATGTCGGTTTGAAAAATTACTTATTTAAGACTTTCCCTTAATAATTTCTAGGAAGATCTTAGTCAAACGAGTAGAGACTGTATAACACACTTGATAAAGGAGATAACTCTATTGCTTAAAACCGAAATAAATGATTAGTCAAAGTAAGGACGTAAATGTAATATGAGCGGACTTTGTGCGGGTCCGCTTTTAACAGAAAAAAAATCGGAGGCATGGCAAAATATATTTTATTGCTTATAAATCTATACTATTAACTACTTAGTACTTACTATTAGTATTCCATTCAACAGTATAGTGTTTAAATGAAGTGGTCATTAATATCGGGTCTAGTACTATCTGCTCTCATTGTAGTGGTAGATTGTTATAGTACCAGTTCCAATCTTATACAAGTTGATGATAAGACATTCAAATCGATCGTTATTGATTCTGGTAAATATGTATTCGTTGATTTCTATGCTGATTGGTGTAGACATTGTGCAAAATTAATGCCTACTATTGAAGAATTGGCTGATTTGTTTGAGCCATATCCAGAAATTCAAATTGTTAAAATCAATGGAGATAAAGATGGTAAGAAAATGGCTAAGAAACATGTAGATGTAGGATTTCCTACATTAAAATTGTTTCATGGAAGTGATCAACCAATTGAATTTGAAGGTAGTCGTGATTTAGTATCTTTAAGTAATTTTATTCAATTAGCTTCTGGAATAAGAATTGAACAGCATCAGGATATTAAGGATCAAAAACAACAAATTTTAAATAATTTGGAAAATGAAGAATCAGTAGACAATATAGTTAAGTTAAATGATTTTAATTTTGATGAAAAAGTGATCGAATCCAATATTCCTCACCATATTGTTGTTTATTCAGCTACATGGTGTAAATATTGTCAAGAAGTCAAACCAATTATAGAGGCTTTTGCCAATCGAGTTTTTGCCAATGATAAGGATATAGTTCAGTTTGGCATAATTGAGAAAGATATTGAACCAGCTGAAAAATTAGGTGATGATCTTAATATTGACTTGATGCCTACTATAATGCATTTTACTAAAGGTAATAGAACTCCAACATATATTAAAAGTAGAGATTATAATGGTTTATTGAAGACAGTCAATGAGTTGACTGGTATTTATAGAAATGATGATGGAAAATTATTGGAAAATGCTGGAAAGATTGAAGAATTAGATGAATTAATCCAAAAAAGGTTAGAAGGAGTCAAATATAAGACCACAGAAGCAGTTAATCTTTTGAGTGAATTAAAGAATTATCAAGATTTTAGTACGATAGATTACTATAAAAAATTGCTTAATAAAATAATTAATGGAGAAGAAGAATTCTTTAAGTTAGAGCTTTCAAGATTAAACAATATTTTAGAAAAAGACATAAGCAAGTTAAAAGGATCGACAATCGATTCTATGCAAAGAAGATCTAATATTTTAAAACAATTTATTAATAAAATTATTTAGGTATATATGAATTTAAGTATTACCAATCAATAGGATCAAGCTTTTGGAGTAATCTAATATTATTTGGCCAAACTTTCCCATCATTAACAATACATTCGTCTATAATTGGTACAACATTATTTGGTTTACATCTAGCTAACCATATAATTTTTCCCAGGCTTCTTAAATAAATAATAACATTGGCAGCGTATTTATGTCCACCAATATGATTTATGAATGCTACTCTAACTCCATTAGGTGTATTATCTCCAACATCTCTATAAAGGCCCAAATCTCTCAAATGGAGATCCATTTCCTTTTTCATGATAGGAGCAGTCACACCACATCTTTTATCTCTTGTTCTATGAGAGCAAAGGAATACATAAGATTTGGAAGTATCTATTTCAAATCTAACGGATGGAAATGATGTTGAATAAGTAGTTGGAATTTGTAAATCAGTTACTTTTTCATTTCTAAATTTTATTAAATCTGGTATCAAACTAGATAATACGGAACTGGTTTCTTTAATAGTAACACCTTTAACCCATACAAAGAAGGGTAAAATTAAAATATCACCTTTCTGTTCCTTTATATAATCATCATCAGTCAAGAATTCATCAGATGATAAAGATGAAGTCGATACTTTAATATTCCCTATTTGAGAATACTTTTGCGAATGGTCACTACCCCATTTTGCCACTGCATTCGATAAAGTATTAGATTCACCTGTTGCATCATGCGGCCAATCTGATTTTCCAGTAGATACCAAAAGATGTAAGCCAAATGGTTTGGTGGAATCCCATAACTCAGCCTCTTCATCAAATTTCAAAGAAGCAGGAAATTTTGATGTACAGCTGTCACATTCGAAAGAACACTCTGAGATTTCAAACCCTTTTGATTTAATTTCTTCTTCGTGGTTGCCACTAGAGTGGTGAAAAAATTTCCCAAGTAAGCCCATGCTAAACTAATTAATGAAAGGATGAACTGATAGTGAATAAATAAATGAATGAATGAACGAATAAAAAATAATAAACTTCCCGATCTTATAGATTTGACTTTAACAGTGAATGTAATGGTTTAAAACAAGTCTAGTTATGAGTGAAAATATAAGATTATTGAGTACTTATATAAATTAGTAATAATTAGTATTTAGGAATTTAGGAATTTAGGAATTATAGTCTATAAAAATAATTTTCCAACACGGCAAACTGTGGTTAAATTTTCACCTTCAAGCCAATCTAATGCGCCCTTCAGATATAACTTTTATCTAAAAGATCCTGGCGTAGGAAATAAGACGGAATCGGTTACAAGCTTCGCTAGTGCTTAATCTATGGCTGCATTATAAATTTTTTTTATCGGTCCGAAATCGCCATCTTCGCATCGAATATTACGTAAGGATGTAACAAAAAAAGTGGTTTAAAGAGCTGAAAATGGCTTGAGAATAAGGCTCTAACGAACTTTGCAATCTGGTATGATGATCAAATTGCAATAGTGCTGTTTAAATCTATATAAGTCCATTGTCTTCTAAGATATTTGTACGCTAATTGACCCTGATAATAATGTCTATACCACGGAATAATAATTTTCTTTCTATACTGCATTGGTTAAGTTAATGCCCTTTGGAAAGATTCTGATAGTCTCTCGTTTGCCGTAATTGTCACCATAGGCTTTTGAATTAAATTTTCCGAACAATTAGCCCTGCTTTGAGTTTTAAGCGTCTGTGTGTTCGCCTTTGTTGGAAAACTTTTGATCCCCTCAAAACTTCTTTGGTATTAATAAGCAAACGACATCTAACTCATGATTTTTTGCATGCGTGTTTGCGTTATACAGTTATAATTCTAAGCCTTACGCGGCTACCAATAGTACTGGATCTGTGTCCAACTTTCTTTATCTAATTATTAACTTCGAGTCATTGTAGTTCTAGTTGTAGATGAATGAAAAGGAGTTCTAAAGGAATAATGAAGGATAACAAAGAGGGCTCAGCGCCGACCTATTGTAATAAAATGGAGCTCGAAAAAGAGCTGCAAGCATTTGTAGAACCTGAATTTGATTCTGATATTAACGGTGGTTATGCTTGGATAATTCTAGTATGTACCTTCACTCTAGCGGTCTGTTCTTGGGGGAATAATTCAGGTTTTGCTGTATATTTTGCTTATTATAGTGAAAATAATTTGTATAGAGGAGCCACTGCAATTGATTATGCTGCAATTGGAGGTATTACTTTTGGGGTTGGAATAGGTACTGGTCCACTAATAAATTATTCAACCAGAACTCTTGGAACTAGAGGAACTTTAATTCTTGGTAATATTTGTCAATTTGTTTCCTTATTTTTAACAAGTTTCTCTTCTCATAATCAAATATGGCAACTTTATTTAACTCAAGGATTATTACAATCCTTTGGATTGGCATTTTTAGGAATGCCTGCTTTTATAATTTTGCCTCATTGGTTTAAAAATACTGGAGAAAAGGAGAATTATAATATTAGGAACAGAATGTTAACACTTTCTCAAGGGATAACAACCGCAGGAACTGGAGTTGGTGGTATATTATTTAATTTAGGAATGCAGAAATTATTAGAAACTCATGGAATTAGATGGGCATTAAGAGTTGAATCTTTTATTTCTGTATTTCTTGCTTCAATTGCGATTGCTTTTATAAGAGAAAAGAAATCAAGTATTCAAGATAAGAATGAATTCAAAGCCTATGATATATTAATATTATCATTTCCACCATTTTGGTTAATAATTTTATTCATCGTATTCTCTATGTTTGCTTATGTAGTCATCTTATATACACTTGCAGACTGGACTATTTCAATAGGATATTCACCATATCAAGGATCTATTGTTGCTGCAATGGTATCATTAGGAATTACAATAGGTAGACCAATTATGGGCATTCTAGCTGATAAATATGGAGCACTTACAGTCAGTGCTACTCTGCTTAGCATTAGTGGAATTTTATCTTTAGCAATGTGGATACCATCTAGAAACTATGCAAGTGCGCTTACCTTAGCATTGCTTATGGGTATATTTAGTGGAGCTATGTTTGTATGCATAGCTAGTATTAATTTAACAGTTTTGGGATATAGAATTCATAGATTAAGTACATTATTTGGAATGTTATGGGTGTTTTTAGGTACATCATCAATAATATCACCTATTATAGGTACAGCATTACAAATGAGAGGTCCAAAAAATAATCAATACTTGTATTGTTCTATATTTGTTGGATGTTCATTTTTGATACTGGCTATAATTATTATTATATTAAGAGGGTATATGTTATCAGTTCGACAAATTGAATCAGAAGCTGCAAATGCTGATTTAACGGATGAGCAATATTTTGCTATACGTCCTCGTTGGACTTTCGTGGTTAAGAATGCCTTTAATTATACTACAGATTATTGGTTATAGCACCTACATAGACAATAGAATAAACGGACATAGACTTAGATAAATAAAAAGTAGAGAAGAAAAAAAAATGTGCGCTACCATTCACATTCCATTACAGTATCATGCAATTTTTGTATGATTGTACACGACCTCTGACATATTTCCCTTTTGCCTGTTACGTGCGCAGCTAAGCAGCCATATTTTCAATTTCACCATGCAGAGGTAATTGACGACGTTTACTCATTTCGATCAATAACTTGACGAAGTATTCATTGATAAATAATAAGGTGCGAAATTTGGAACAAGGCACCTCATCACGAGATCTAAGATCACATTCACTATCAGTTTGAAACTCTATACATTTACGAGTTACTGTTCCCTTTCACCATCTCAGCCCCCTGTTATCTTACCAGAAAAAAAGAAAGAAAGGGTCAGGAACTAAGCTCATCTATCAGTTCTAATAGAATTGTAATACAGTTGTATTATACTTCAGTTCACTAATATCTATTCACGTGCCTCCCTAATTCGAATTTATTAGGTAAAATATTCACAATCACTTTGTCTTTGTTTCGTATATTACTAGGGCCAGCTATAAAGTTTTGAATTCCCCCATTGGAGTTAATAATTTCACTTTGAATTTTCCATCATCTATCTAATTCATTCACTTAATATAGTTTGTTTGTTATCACTGTTTTCATAGAAGTTGTATTCATTTCTTGTAATTATATTATTGAAGTTTGAATTTTGAATTTGTCCATTTCTGGTACACTTTACATGGAATAGCATAAATTAGTATAATTCCATATTGTAAAGATATCATCAATTATATTTACATTTATCGTGTATATTAAATGATACACATACACTCGTCGATGGTTGACCTATCTCGTGAGCCAGGTGGTGGTACTGACCATCATCAAATGGGATTGGCCCCTCCGATGACATTAAAGAATCATGATACAGCAAATATAAATTCAAGTACTTTATCAAATCATAGTCTAGATGACGATTTTGATGAAACAGGAAGTAACTTAACTACTGATAATGATGAAACTAAAGTTGAAGATTCCAATATTGAAGCAAATAATAATAATAATAATAATAATAATAATAATGACACCAGTGGAAATGTATCATCTCCAAATACTACAAATGGTCATAGAATCTTATCATCTTCATCATCATCGGCAAATGCTAATGTAGTTATTCCTTTATTATCTGAACACAATACAATACCTCCAAATCTTAATAGTTTAACTTCCAACAATAGTCCATCTACTCCAAACTCATTAAAAGGTTCTCGTTCAGAAGTATCAGATTTAACAAATGATACTTCCACTACTTCCATAGATGATGTTGATGATCCAAATAATGAACATGAAACTTTATTATTTCCTCAATCTCAATCCAGTAAAACCATTCAACAACTCACACTAGATTCACGAGATCCACTAGATACTCAGGATCAAGATCTTCAATTGCCGTTGACTTCAACTCCTTTAAACAATGTTAATAATACTGTAAATTCTACTGATTCAACAATTAGTAATTTCCCAATATCAACTCATCCCACAATAACAAATCATATTATTCCAACATTACCACCATCTCAAGAGAGTGATGATTTACCAGGAGAATTAGTAACTACAACTAGAGATTCAATTCTGAGAGCATCTATTAGTGCACGTCCGCCGAATTCAAGAAGTACTACTTTCTTAGGCAGATCACACCTTTTACAAAATGCTCAAGAACAAACTAAATCTGAAATTATAAAGACGAAGAAATTATTAACAGGGAATAGACATCCATATTATGGAACCCAAATAGATAAAAGTCATGTTAATTATGTATTGGCATATTGTATGTCTACAAGTATAAGACATGATACATCAGCCAATTCTGGTATAATGAGAAAGTTGGAAGATAAAGATTTTACAATCAATAAAAAATATACTTTTCAAATTGGTGGTACTGAATTAACTCCAGCAGCCGAATATGATTTTAAGTTTAAGGACTATTGTCCTGATGTATTTAGAAGTTTAAGATCAACGTTTGGTATTGATCCTGGTGAATATTTAAGTACATTTGGTGAATCATTTTTATTTTCTGATTTGGTAACCCCTCATAAAGCAGGTAAATCAGGAGCTATATTCTTTTATTCATCAGATTATAGATATTTAATTAAAACCATTCATCATTCAGAGCATCGTCAACTTCGAAGAATTTTAAAGCATTATTATCAATATGTTAAAGAAAATCCCAATACTTTAATTAGTCAATTTTATGGTTTACATAGAATTAAAATGCCATTTAGTGGTGGATTTGCTAAGCATCATTTTGTTGTTATGAATAATTTATTTCCTCCATTCAGAGATATTCATTTAAAGTATGATATTAAGGGTTCAACATTGGGTAGAATTACCAGAATTGATCCTAGATTAACTGATTTATCAAAATATACTTTAAAAGATTTAAATTTTTTAGAACAACATCAATTAATAAAGTTTGGACCAGAAAAGAGAAATATATTTCTTAAACAATTACAATCTGATGTTCAATTCTTGAAAGATGCAAATGCCATGGATTATTCATTATTAGTTGGTATTCATGATACAAAGAAAGGAAATAGTATTGAAACAAAGCAAAAATTATCAATTTTTGCACCAGAATTCAATCAAGTTCAATATGATAAGCGTAAATCTATTATTTTATCTACTATGCCGAGATATGTTGATCGTGAACATGATCTACCGACAGATGTCTTTAAAGGACGATCAACGTTTGTATTTTATGGTCATGATGGTGGTATACGATCTACAAATGAAGATAATGAACCTACCAGTGAGATTTATTATCTAGGTATAATTGATTGTTTGACTAATTATTCTCTACGAAAGCATTTGGAAACAATATGGAGATCTATGAGTCATTCAAGAAGTACCATTTCAGCGATACCTGCGGAGGAATACGGTAATAGATTTATAAAGTTTATTAAGAAGGGTACTGGGAACTTGAAGAAGAAACAAAGTTAAATGAAGGGATCATTTAACCCGGTTCTTAAGTACAAAATTAGTTTATTATTATTACTATTGCTACTGTTATTATTTTCAATTCTTTGCTATTCATATTTTTAATTTGCTATATATTTACTAGCATACTACAGATCAATTTATACAGTTAGCTTAGCCATCTATGGTATTCATTGTTGAGAGAGATTGTATCCTTATATAACTAATGAATATAGACAGCAGCTACTATCATCTTCTATAATTATTCATCAACATCTTATTATGGTTATTCTATTATATTTCAATAAAAGTTACCCCTTCTTCACTAACTGTAGCCTAATTTATCTTTATAGACTTCTTCCGAACTTAAAACTACAATGAATAGGATTCAAAAAAAGTAGTAGATAGATGCTCCAGGAGGGGTTTGAACCCACGACCGTCGCGTTCCTCACACGACCGTGACTTATGGCATAACCATATCGTCGTAACACGGCTATAAGCACGAAGCGCTAACCTCTGCGCCACTGGAGCCTCACAAAATTAATTGTGCGCTTTATCTATCTCCTCGGGATTCGAACTAACACCATAGCAGAAGAAACTCAACCACTATGCCAGAAACTCGATTCCAAAATTGGAAGTTAGAAACAGGGTTTATCCGGTGATACGACACCATATTAAAATTTTTTTTAAAAAAAATTGGGCCTTTTAACAGCATTTTTACCTTTTTATATACTTTCACTAATTCAGAGATATTTTTGGTATTATGTGAAGTCTCATGTATGTCATTTTTAAGTTAGAAGTAGTATTATTTGATTGTTTCGTTACTTGAATATTAATTTATAGAATTATTTTGCAAAATATGATAAAAATTAATTGAAAACAACTACAAACAACAAACTATTAAGTAGTTGGAAAAATAGCTCAATGACAGTTTCTACTTTCAATTAATATGCTCTAAATGAGCTCTATTAAGGAATTGTATGGTTAGCAAGCCATAGTTTGAAGAAAATAACTATTTGCAACTAAAAAAAAATCTCACCCAATCAAGCTGGAAAAAAAAGAGAGCCTTCACTAATAACAAACCAGCAGTTAAGTGAAGCAAACAGTTAACTATTCACTCGCAATATATAAGGACATATGATGATCCAATTGGGTACACATAGAATAATAGGAATACAAGTATTTTCTAAGCGGTGTATTTCAATATTGCAACCTCCTTCAACTGTTTCTGGATCTAAATTATCTAATACTACTACTGATAATTCAAACATTAAAGATGTCGAACAATTACAGAGTATAAAGACTCTAGAAACCGCCGAGTTTAAGGCTTTAGGTAGTCCTCAGTCGATTTTAAGCATCAATTCTCCACCTTCTGTACCAGTATTTGTAAGAAGAGGTTCATTACTATCAATTTATGGATTTAATAGTTCATCAAGTATTCTGACGGTTACTAGTAATTTAGAAATTATAGATCCAATTAAGAGATTATTTTATGGTGGATATGTTTCAAGTTATCAAAAATTAATATCTACCACCCCATTCTCATTATTGGTTTCATCAATATCGAGAAATTTCACTTTATTTAAAAAATCCGAAAACAAAACATTTGCTAGTTTATTGTTAGATGGTTCAAATGATTGGGCTATTTTAAGTAAGGATGCCTTACAAGTTTACACAGGTAATTCATTAAATATTGGTATGTATGTATTACCATCAATAATATCTAAAAGATTATCGAAAATTTTGAAAACAACCAGGACTTCAACAGGATTATGTAAATTTTCGAGATCAGGTTATACCCTATTAACTGGCAGAGGTCAAGTTGGTTTAGTTGGTAATGGTACAATTTATAATATAAATTTACAAGAGGATGAAGAATTATTAATTAATCAACAAAATTTATTGGGAATAACCGTCAACGGTCCTTATGATTTACAGAATTGCATTATCAAATATTCTTTCCCTACCAATGATATCTCAACAGTTGGAAAGACACAAGTAATTAAAAAAAAAGAATTATCTTTCGTGGGAACATTAAAATCTAATGCAACTGGTGCATCTAAATTAAGATTATTAGGATCATTATTTGGTAACTACTTTAAAACGATATCATCTTATTTTTCATATAGTAAAAAGTCAATTTACAATACCTTAGTTGGAAATCAAAATTTTGTAAAAGTGATTGGACCAAGAAACATCTTGGTTCAATCTAATACTTCAGAGAGTGCTTTTTTATCTCAATCAAAATCATCATTACCCCCACCATCAGTAGATGGAACTACCTTTCACAAAATCAAAAGAACATCTTCTGACTATTTAAGTTATGTAACAATCAAGCCAGATAGAAGTACATCTTTCAAGAGCACACCTGATTTTAAGGAATCAGTGGAACAGTTACAAAAAAAGAAATAGTAAGTATATACGATTTTATAGATATTTATTTTATTTATTAATCCTGGTATAACTATTTGTAAAAAAAATGAATTACCTATGGACTTATGAATTGTAATTAATACATTTCTTGTTGAATGCATTAACAGTGATAATCGAGAGAGTGAAAAGCCTTATTCAACATGCAAGGATATCCTGGGTCTGATTTACCCCACTATTTACTTCTGAATGCAACAAAAGAGGCATATTTTGGAAACGTTATCTATAGAAGAGACCAACCTTATACCATAATATCGAATTGATTATAAACTTGTAGCTAATTTAAGTAAACTGTTAGATGATTCCAAGACACGGGAAGTTAAAATAAATCTAGAATAGCGACATTTGATCTGATTTAAAACCTAAAAATTTTTCAATTAGTTGAATACGACTGGTATAACTTCTTCTTCTTCTTCTTCTTGATTCTTTTATGCCGCTCTGAATGACGAAATCCAGGTCTAAGAAGACTCTATTATCTCTTTTACTTTAAAAGTACCAATCCGTCAAATAAATTTGATTCTGCTTCAAATGAATTTAATAAAAATCTTACTCTTGATTATTATCATGGTTGATTTCATGTATATCATGTTCAATTTTAGCTAGCCTGTCTTCCATCGCGTAAGTGCTTAATATGTAAAGAAAACCACCTGCAAGAAGTGTAAATATAAATATTCCTCTCGTAATATAAAGACTAGTATCTGTTCCGATGAAGTGAGTCTTAGTTGCAACAATTGTTAAAATATAGGCAAAAACACACAAACCAACTATTAATAAATCTGCACTTATAAAATATCTATGAGCATTATTATCTCTATTTATAACTTCAATTAATTGTTTAAAACAGTTTCTATTGGGTCTGAGAGACTCTTGATCTTGAGCTTCTTCCATAATCCAATGACGAGTTGTTTGGTAATGAGTTGAAATGGTAGAATAAGTTGAAATGGTTGAATAAGTGAAATGGTTGACAAAAAAAGTTAAAACGGTTGACAGTATCAAGTTTAAGCGCTGTTGCAAAAATCTTTTCTTTTGAAAAAATTTAACATGAATAGGCTGAAACCTTAAAAATACGAAAGCCATTATATTATTAATTAAATATTCATTATTAGAAAATAGAGAAGCTGTAATACATTACTGATTATATATTGTTCACATTTACATCGCCACAAGTACAGATTGGAACATGAGTGAGTTTAGGAACAGCATCAAAACTGTTTTCAAAGATTTGGGCTTAGTTTTAAACCATTTCCTATTTTGAATGTGTATCAGATGATATGTCTTTATTAATAGTGGTTTCCTATTCTTGAAGTACAAAGTGATTTGGTTGCAAAACAATGAACAGAATCATATTAAAAAAAAAAGAGCAGGAATGGAGATGTCGTGGATAAACCGTAAACTTTGTTTTGCCCACGCGAGTTCAAGCAAAAGAGCCATTCTCTCGGGAAAAAAGACGTGGCCTGGTTCAAAAACTAAAAGAAATCAAAACATATACAACAAATGAAATATAATTTTGCAACTGGAAAACCAAACCAATCATCAAGCTTTTGATACGAGCCAATAATTGTTTAGTTGCAGAGAATACATTCAAACTCATTTTTGCGAGCTACTATCCAGTTAGCTCTTCATCTAATTTATTCTAAAATTTTTAAATTCCGAAAAGCACTAGAATCTCCAATTAATCTACAATCTACATTCTACTTTCTATTAGTTATTCAATGTTCAATCTTTTATTTGTTTCAATCTCAATCTACGTCTATTAGTTACTTAAATCTTCAATCCACATTATTTTAGTTGCTTCAATGTAGACCTAAATTCCATATTCTTTAAGTTACTTTAAGTTTACATCCTATCTTCTTTTTGTTATTCATTCATTCTTTCATTTATTTTTATTATTTAAATTACTTCTAGCTTCGAATTGTTATCGTAAATTAGAGGACACTTATCAATTTACTGTTGATACTACTATATTAACATTTTGTTGAGCCACTTCGTCTTAATAAGTGATATTGGTAGTATTTTTCAATTTGCTATCTTAAATTCAGTAATAATGACTCGAACCCCATTCATTTTTTCTTATAGTCGTGATCCTGCTAAAGCTGTTCCGGACGATGATGATGCTAATAATGATGATGTCAAATTTTTCAAAGTTGCGGAGCCCGACTGGCCGGTATGGTTAGACAACTAAAGAATTTACGCCAACTGGGTAAAGCATGATACCAAACCTGGTAATTCGAAACTGGAATGGACACAACTTTTTCGTTACAGTCTTCTGGTTAAACCAAAAGAAAAGTTGACATTAGAAATAAGACAGCGGCAACTTTTCTCTAAATTTGTTTCTGTAAAGCAAAGATAACAACCAGATTAAGTAAGACAGAAACGGTCATTAAAGATGGAAATATTATTTATTCGATGGACTTGGCGTCATAGTCATGATATTCAAGATCCTGAGAATATTGCACAATCAAGATTAACTTACAGATTAACCAAATATATTAAGGATGTTTTTTTGGGGGGGGGGGGGGAGACTTCCAGAAGTTAATAAAAGAATCAGAGTTGAACACATATGATAGGGTATACTATTATGGCAATAAAGTTTTCAAGATGTTGGCAAGATTAGGTGGTAACGTTTATGAATCATTAAATAATTGGGTTTCAAAAATAGAATCCGAAGGAGGCTGGGTTTCATATGACGAATTAGGCCATGGAGTGTCGTCGTTTTCAATGATGACCGCCTGGCAAATAAGTACTTTGATTCAGAATGCTCATGTACTTCAGGTCGATTCAACGCATAATACTTACCTGGGTAGGACTAAAGGGGAAAATGTATATTTAGTTTCTATTGTATGTAAAAATAAGATAACGGGCAGAGGACTACCTGTTTGTTTCATGCTTACCAATAGTGAAACGTATATATCTTTAAGAACAATGATTAAATTAATGAAAGCATTGTTCCCTGAGATCGTTGACACCATCGGTAAGAAAGTGGTATATAAAGTTAGTTCATTTACGGATAAACGAATATTCTATGAAGGTTTAGTGGACCTCCTTTCAAAGAAAGTTGATGCAATAAAGTCTTGGAGAAAACGTATATTTTTGCCGGTAAGAATTCAAATGAATTTAACCAATAGAGAAATTGAAGAGGTGCACGAATTTATGGCTCAAGGTATTGTCTATAACGAGGTTGAGGTAGATAATACGGAGATAGACTTTAGTTATGACGAGATCGAGCTGGATGTTAATGACAATCATGAGGAGGAATCTACCAAAATTGATGATACAGAGAAGACAACGGGATCGGATAAACAAGTAGATAAATAATGTACCTTTTCGAAAGGAAGATGAATTGAAACGCAGCATGAATGATATTGATGACTCGTCTGTCGTTGGAATCAAAGCAGGTTTTGGAGAACAGGTAGATTTTCTGTACACAGACAATCCAGATAATCCTCAGTTTCAAAAATTCAGAGTTTCCAGCTCAAAAGAAGAACAGCTCACCGAAAACGAACAGCAATTAAACAAGGTATTTTACATGGCAAATGCAAGTCATGAATTGGCAATCCATTGTGTTGATTATCTAGGTAATGAATACTATAAAGCTGATTTCAAAAACGCGTATACCACAGCCCAAATCAATATGATTACCTCAAAAATGGAAGAAGATATACAGCTAAAGAGACCAAGATTGGATGCAACACAACCTAAATATTAACTTCCACAATTATTAATACATCTTCATTTTATTATAAATTTCGTACAAATTAAGTACCAAAATCTATTGCATAGATTCAAATTTTTATGTATTGTGTAAAGTATATCTGTAATTGAAGAATGTACTTTGATTCAAATAAATCGTTTAACAATCTTGATTGATCTTAGTAGACATACTTGTTGAATTATTATATCATAATTCCAATAATTCCAGTAATGTAGTTTTTAATAAGTTCTTAATCTGAATCTAGATCTAGTAATTGATCATAAATAATAACTTTATATTAAGGAACTCTTCATGAATCTTTAGGAGGCTCTTTGAACGATTCTGAATCATTGGATAAAACTGCAGGTTATTCAACTTATCTAACTTAATGTGATATGATGCTGTGTGTTCATGAATATACTTTGATTGTAGTTTAAATAAAGATTCAGAACAACGTCAAGTAATCCTCGGTGGATATCTTTAATCACTAATAACTGATGATGAACGTTGAAAGAATAATGATTGATTTTACATGTAGATATTGCTATTTAATTTGATGAAATTTATTTTCTCTAAGTACAATAAAATGATTTGAATTTGAAAAGAAACACAAGCTATATATTTGATTTATCAAATGAATTAAGAAGATTTTACCAAAATTCTTTACGAATCACATCTTTAAAAGTATGCGGTCCGACAAATATGTCGCATTTTCTACAAAAAAGGTATGAAAGGAACGAATATAGTAATGAACGCCGTAGAAAGGAAATGAGTAAAAAATAATAATTAAGAAAGGCCGTCCAGGCTGAGGGCAAACGAGGCTGGCAAGGCGATAATGATGAATTCTTTAAGAAGAAAGGAGATGATAAAATATGAAGGATATGGAGGTTTTCCCTATATAATAAGTGAGAATAATACACACTAAGCGAGGCTGCACATAAATTACGCCCGTAACCCTCTTAAAACCGATTCTTCTACAATAGGGTCATTCTATGTCTATGCGACATCTTCTTATAATGTATATAACAAGTATTTTTAATTTGCAGATATTAAAGACTTTAGCAACCATGTAGAGCATTCAACTAAGACAATATATATTTTTAATCTGTTAGCGGAGAACCACTTTCTGAAATTTCAAATTGTATATACTACTCGAGTTATTTGGCTCGTAATATGAATAAATTATAATTTTATTATTTCCTTATCGTATTTCCTGCACCAATAGCTGCAAAAAAAAGGTAACAACTAACTCCTTATAAATATTAGCCAAACCGTATATTTCAGTAAAAATTTGATTGCCTCTAAACTATAAAATAATGTCTTGTTCAGTAATACATATATTTCGTAACTTCATATCCACTCCTCCAAACACCCAAACATGTATAGAGTCCTCAGTTCAGCCAACTAAAAAAGCCACAAGTTTGGAATCCTTGCCTGATGAAATTTTAGCTCGAATTATAGATCACTTGAATCAACTTGACTTGTTAGACTTATGCTTAGTAAACTCAAGAATTTACAAACTATGCATGAATAAACTATTTAGGGTAGCTTTTATTAAACCCTTGAATCACCGCACCTTCATTGTTCATCGAAAATTGAATTCACTTAAATATTCTCAATTCACAATTGTAAATCCTGTAAAGTGTCCCCGCAAGAAGAAATTTCAAAGATTAGTGTATTATCCAGGGCCCAATAAGCCCAATAAAAAATATTTTTATCTGATGAAATATGGCTCTCATGCTACAGTTTATGATATTTTGCACCTCAAGAATGTCGAGAAAATGATCAATCAAATATCAAGTCGAAAACTAATTGTACATCTATCAAATAGATCAAATGGATTAATTCAAGATTATTACATTAAAATAAAAATGTTGGCTAGTACTTTTGGTTTATTTAAGAGAATACATTTGTCAGTAAGAGATAATCTGGTTGAAACAATTAAAAAACTCGAAGGGATATTTGTTGGAGTCAATTGCTTGTCGATAACTATGTTCTCCAGACCCAGATATATCGATAATAGTGAATTAACTTTGTCCCTAGTCCGATGTGAAAATATTACAGAATTTGAAATTGAAACCGTTGTCCCTAGCCACGAGGATTCTTTCTTCTACAGAATGATAAAACATATGCCAAACATAAAGATACTTATTATACGAATCCGGATAAAACCTACATCTCTCCATAAAACTATAGAATTATTATCCAACTATCGCATTCAAAAGTTTTGCTTAGATGTCCTACAATCGCTGGCACATAAAAATGTTCGTCAAAACTGTGATATCATCAAGGCTTTGCTTAAAAGTTGTGGTTCCACTCTTGAACTTGTTAGGGTCAACTTATATGAGAATTACACACGTGTAAGATTATCAACAATCGACTTATTTTTCAGTGATGAGCCTGATATATGCGAAGAGCTTAAGGAAGAAGTTAGGAGCTTAGTGAGTTGGGTCAAAGATACTATTACTAATTATCCAAGATTAGAATATTTCATATTCTACAATTACCAATTTGTAATAGACAGGAAAGTAGAACCATGTAGGTGGATTGAAATACATAACAAAGAGTTGTGAACGGATTTTCCAGTTTTATCATTTTTCCACAGGGTCTGTTCTCTTTGGCAAAGGATATAAACAATGAATTCATAGATAAAATCAGAGAACAAAGCTGGTACCTTTTCTAACTTATATATCGTACTTATGCAATGGAAACTGTATTGTATTAAAAATTTGTGGTCAACTCTTGAATGACTTAAATTTCAAAAAATTGTAAATGCGATTTTTCAAAGCCCGATATGGAGAGGTATAAATAGCAAATGAAATTTCAGAATTGACTATCTTCAATTGATAAAAGAAATATTTACAGCTTACATATGAGTTTAGCAACAGTCTGTGTGGCAGCATGCCACTTATCTCCAGTTACTATGAATAAAAACGCTACCATGAAGAAAGTTATTGATAGTATTTATGAAGCGGCAGGCCTGGGTGCAAATTTAATTGTATTCCCGGAAACTTACGTTTCCGCTTTCCCACTTTGGGGAGCTTGTAAGGCACCAATTGATAATCATCATTTATTCAAAAGATTAGTTGAAAGTTCTATTTATGTTGATGGTCCTGAGATTTTGAATATACAAGCATTATGCAAGAAATTAGAAGTTGTAGTTTTATTGGGATTCAATGAAAGATCAAGAGTCAGTGTCGGATGTCTTTGGAATTCTTATGTATTGGTTGACGAGAATGGAAATATTGGTGCCCATCATAGAAAGCTCGTACCTACTTTCTTTGAAAAGCTTTCATGGGCGAATGGTGATGGATCTGGTCTAACTGTTATTGATTCAAAATATGGAAAGATTGGTGCGTTAATTTGTGGAGAGAATACAAATTCATTAGCAAGGTTTACATTATTAAGCCAAGGTGAACAGATTCATATTTCTATTTGGCCACCCGCAGCAGATATGCATCGTCCTTCTACTTCTAAAAAGAGTTTTGATAATTCGATTGCTAATAAAATTAGATGTGGAATTCAATGTATTGAAGGGAAATGTTTTGGAATACTTTGTTCTTCATTTGTTGATGAAGCTATGTTAAAATTCTTAATTGATGATGATCCAAGTAATGAAGAATTCTATCGGAATATGTCACAAGGAAGCACATGTTTTCTTGATCCAAGCGGTAATGAAATTGGTGATAATCTAAGATTTAAGGAAGGAATTGCTTATGCAGAATTCAATTTGAATGATACCATTGAACCAAAACAATTTCATGATTTAGTTGGAGGATATAATAGATTTGATGTTTTTAAATTACATGTTAATCGATCTCCAAATGTTCCAGTTTACTTTGATGAAGAAGAATCATTTACACAATAGGGAGAAAAAGTTTTGACATACTTAAAAGATTATTTATTCATGCAATCATTAATTAAAGAATTATATAATTTAGTAAGTCAATATATCTATAATGATGTTGATTACACTTACTAAAACTTCAACACCTACAAGGACTACCACTATAAATTCCAAATTTTCTTCATGAGAATGACCCAATTGCTCTTTCAACATTTGTAATAAATCAGAAATGACTTCTAATCTTTGATTCAACAATTCGACTCTTTGATTAATTTCCAAATATCCTCTAGTTGCTTGATATATAGGTTCTAGATGAGGTTCTGCCCACATTAATTCTGGGGAATCTAATACAGATCCATGCAAGTTAATATTGATTCTTAAAATAAACAATTCACCAATTGATTTCATTATTTCGTCTCTAGTCATTTCCACTTTACCCGTATGAGCAATTTGTTGTGGAATATCCTGAGTATCTTCAATAGTATTATCGACTAATTCTTCAAATAAAGATATTTTAACAGATTGAGCTAATGCATGAGAAATTGATAATTTTAACATATAATTATTATCATCTCTTAAAGTAATAAAATCATTATAAATTCTAGGTTGATATGACTTCGTTATATAATAATTAAATTGTTCAATTTGAATATCTTCAGCTGATAATTTTTCACTTTCAAATCGAGCTAAATCTTCTAAGAAATGAGCTTCTTCTTTGGCTGTATAACCCCAAAGAATAATTACACCATATTCAAAGATAAAAATATCATTTTTTCTACCAATATCGATTTCTCCACCTTCATCAGCTAATCTAATTAATTTATGACTATCATTATCATCTACATTACCATTATTTCCATTATCTGAATCATTTCTCCAATCTTTATAAACAAATGGAGTATAAAGACATTCATCAAATAATTTAGGACTTGTATTATGAATTCTTTTACGATCTTTTAACCATCTTAATAAATCTTTCATTTTATAAGAACCACAAGTACAATATGCTGTTACTCTTGGTAAGAGATCTCTATGCAGTTTACCCAATATTTCAGCATCTTTTCTAGCTGAAGTATCTGTAATTTTCTTGACTTGAGAGTATACTCTTGTCATTTGAGAATCATCATCATCATCATCAGTTGATGCTATTGGTTTATTATCTAAATCTGGAGGATCTTCAGGTAATAATTTAAGTTTCTGAGATGTTCTACTAGTTCTTTGTAAACCAATTTTAGATGATTGAGATATTTTAGATCCAATCTTATTAGCTTGAGGAATATGTTGAGTTTTATTATTTGAATTAGACGGTAGAACACCATCACTACTCTTACCATTTTCTGTACTTAAAACAATTGGATTCTCTGGAATCCTAGTGCTTAGCAAGGGTGTTCTATCCGAGCTGGCTACGTCCATTTTCAATGAATTATTATTATTTCTACTACTTAACTATATACTATTAAACTTAAATGGATTTGTCCCTTTCCATCAGAAATAATGTTACACCTATTTGTTATGTCGTGGATTAACCGTTACTTTGACTACGGTTCATCTCCGACATTCCAATAATGTCGTATCAACTTACACTACTACTTATTCTTATACCATTTATATTCCCTCATACCAATTATGTGTGTATCGTATCGATACACTACTCCTTGATTTCCGCTAACTATTTGAGTAAGGTGGATTCCTCCTGCTTTATGAAATAGTTAGGTTTTTGTACTCTATCAAATATATACGCTATCAATTATACTATTAATTCACTATCGATTCTAAAGCTCTATACTATTTGGTCAAATCAACTACCTTAACCAACCCCTTCCGTAGAGTAATTGCTAACTTGCTCAATCTCTGTCTTCACTCTTGTTACAAAACCAAAACCACATAAACTTCATTCTCACTATTAATATTAGTCTTCCCATTAGAGACATTAATACACCGAGTGCGACAAGATTCGTTCACAACTCTTTGTTATGTATTTCAATCCACCTACATGGTTCTACTTTCCTGTCTATTACAAATTGGTAATTGTAGAATATGAAATACTCTAATCTTGGATAATTAGTAATAGTATCTTTGACCCAACTCACTAAGCTCCTAACTTCTTCCTTAAGCTCTTCACATATATCAGGCTCATCACTGAAAAATAAGTCGATTGCTGATAATCTTACACGTGTGAAATCCTTAAGTAAGTTGACCCTAACAAGTTCAAGAGTGGAACCACAACTTTTAAGCAAAGTCTTGATGATATCACAGTTTTGACGAACATTTTTATGTGCCAGCGATTGTAGGACATCTAAGCAAAACTTTTGAATGCGATAGTTGGATAATAATTCTATAGTTTTATGGAGAGATGTAGGTTTTATCCGGACTCGTATAATAAGTATCTTTATGTTTGGCATATGTTTTATCATTCTGTAGAAGAAAGAATCCTCGTGGCTAGGAAATTCAGTTTCAATCTCAAATTCTGTGATATTTTCACATCGGACTAGGGACAAAGTTAATTCACTATTATCGATATATCCGGGTCTGAATAACATAGACATCGACAAGCAATTGACTCCAACAAATATCCCTTCAAGTTTTTTAATTGTTTCAACCAGATTATCACTTACTGACAAATGCATTCTCTTAAATAAACCAAAAGCACTAGCCAATATTTTCACTTCATTGTAATAACTCTGAGCTCCTATCTCTGATTGATGATATAGACATATAACTAGTATTCTGCTTGATCTTTGATTGATCATTTTCTCGGCATGCTTGCGGTACAAAAAATGAACCACATTAGCATAAGAACCATACTTAAACAGAAAATCATAGTCTCCATCGGGCAAATAGGGTCCTGGATAATACACTAATCTTTGAAATTTCTTCTTGCGGGGACACTTTACAGGATTTACAATTGTGAATTGAGAATATTTAAGTGAATTCAATTTTCGATGAACAATGAAGGTCCGCTGATTCAAGGGTTTCATAAAAGCTACCCTAAATAGTTTATTCATGCATAGTTTGTAAATTCTTGAGTTTACTAGGCATAAGTCTAACAAGTCAAGTTGATTCAAGTGATCTATAATTCGAGCTAAAATTTCATCAGGCAAGGATTCCAAACTTGTGGCTTTTTTAGTTGGCTGAACTGAGGACTCTATACATGTTTGGGTGTTTGGAGGAGTGGATATGAAGTTACGAAATATATGTATTACTGAACAAGACATTATTTTATAGTTTAGAGGCAATCAAATTTTTACTGAAATATAAAAGCGGTTTGGCTAATATTTATAAGGAGTTAGTTGTTACCTTTTTTTTGCAGCTATTGGTGCAGGAAATACGATAAGGAAATAATAAAATAATTTATTCATATTACGAGCCAAATAGCTGGAGTACTATATACAATTTGAAATTTCAGAAAGTGGTTCTCCGCTAACAGATTAAAAATATATATTGTCTTAGTTGAATGTTCTACGTGGTTGCTAAAGTCTTTGAAATTTCGAATATCTGCAAATTAAAAATACTTGTTATATTATAAGAAGTGTCGCACTCGGTGTATTAATGTCTCTAATGGGAAGACTAGTATAATACTGAGACTGTAGAATATGTGTTTTTGGTTTTGTAACAAGAGTGATGACAGAGGTTGAGTAAGTTAGCAATTACTCTACGGAAGGGGTTGGTTAAGGTAGTTGATTTGACCAAATAGTATAGAGCTTTAGAATCGATAGTGAATTAATAGTATAATTGATAGCGTATATATTTGATAGAGTATAACAACCTAACTATTTCATAAAGCAGGAGGAAACCAACTTACTTAAATAGTTAGCGTAAATCAAGGAGTAATGTATCGATACGATACACACATAATTGGTATGAGGGAATATAAATGGTATAAGAATAAGTAGTAGTGTAAGTTGATACGACATTATTGGAATGTCGGAGATGAACCGTATTGCGTGAAAGTAACGGTTAATCCACGACAAGATATTTATTGACGTGACTGATCATGTGATGCGATAAGTAAAACAGAGTAATATATCACTCTTTTTAATAAGTACACCTTATTGAATAAATGATTGGGTATAGCTGACTAACTTAATAACATTCTATAACTATATATCTATCCTCTATACCTACTTATTTGCATTCCACATTCACCAATATTAGTAGTTTGCAGCAATTTTCACTTTGCACCATCCATACCGCTAATGAAAAAAAAAATTAGCGATGGTCTTCCCAGCTCTAAAAAAAATATATAGACTATATAGGCGGTAATTTTCACTTTAACCTTTATATATATAGCATTGCACTCAGTAAACCATGTCCAGACCCATGGCAAAGCCCATGAGGGTTAAAACCACCGAGTCATCCAAAAAGCATACTTTCAGTTCATTTAGGGAGAGGGTGGACTCCATAAAGATTGAACCTAGTTTGAAATTAACCAAGAGAGCTTATGATGATGCCGACTCATCTCATTTTATATCTACTTTAGATCATTGGAGAGAAGTAAATTTGAGTGGTAACTTTACAGAATTGGTAGAGAAGATAGACAATTATTCACAATCCTTACCACAAATCATATATCATCAACAAATTATCTTTGATTCATTATATGATAGTATTCAAAAAAATGATATTCATTCTATTCAACCATTACTTGAATTATTATCTCAATTTATTCATGATTTAGGTCCTGATTTTATGCCATTTTATGAAAGATTTTTAAATTTATTAACAGAAATAGCTTTAAATACTGATCCTAATGAAGCTCAAAATAGTAGAAATTCTTCTAATTCATTAGAATGGATTTTTAATTGTTTAACATTTGCATTTAAATATTTATCAAGATCTTTAGTAGATGATTTGAAACCAACTTTTCAAGTACTTTTACCGATTTTGAAATTAGAAAAGAAGACTTATATCTCAAGATTTTGTGCAGAAGCATTATCATTCCTTGTAAGAAAACTGAAAATGGAGGCATTTACTGATATATTACAATTTACCTTTAATGAACAATCATCCACTATTCTTGATAATGAATCATATTGTGATTCATTAACCACACTTTTTAGTGAATCAATGAAAAACACTAAAGGAACCTTTCATTCAAAATCTTCCTCCATTTTATCTAAGATTGTTGAAAATGCTTTAAATAATCCTGACCTCGAAATTCAAGCCAAATATATTTCTATAGTTTCCGATATCTTATTGGAAGTAATTAATCATGGATCACCTGAAGCTTGTGAGAAATTTTATGAGTTAGTAGCTCAATTTCTTGAATCAGTTCTTATAGAAACAGACTCCTTAGATGCTGTTCTTTCGGTAGTTCTGTTGACAACTATCTTAACATTTGCTGAATCTGGTAAAAAGGTTAAGGATTGGAATATAATAATAAAAGTTATAACTAGTTTAATTGACAAATTAAATACTAAGTTGATCATTGATGATTCTGACCGTTCTATTGTACTAATGGAAGGTATCGTATATTTATTCACTATCTTATTCAGAAATGCATCCATATTATCATTAACTAAATCTCATAAGACAATACTTGACTTTATTTCAACCATAGGTAAGGGTCATTATTTTTTATTATTTTCACAAACATCATTATCTGTAAATGAAGAAAGAATGATCAATTTTGGTATAACCAATGCCATTCAAGATTTCATTAATAAAATCGATTTTAATGACATAATCTTATTACAGAAATTATCCCTATTCTTAACTTATTTGAAATCAAACAGAAATGGTAATATGGCATCCAATATTAATATTCCATTTGCATTAAAAGAGTATATCATGAAAGACCTTTCTGAATTTTCAAGTAACCCTCAAGAATTGTATTGGAGATTATTGATACTTAGACATAATGGAAATAATAAGGGATCTGATTCAAAGGTTCTCATCAATTTAATAACCGATTTACTTGCTGAGCATCAAGATAATTCCTTTGCTCATGATATTATTGCCATCACTTGTGATGCTATCTGTGAAATGTTGGATTCAGAAGATATTACTGTTCAAAAGGATATATTTAATCTTTTTGTTCAACATTTTGAAAGATTAAGTGAATCATCAGCTTTTATTGCAAGCTTTGATAAATTCTTAAGTACATTTTCAATCAATATCAGTGAATCCTTAAAGTCAAATTATACCTTTCTTGTTCTGAAAACTGCTGATAATGTGTGTTTACCAAGTAGTGTTTCTAGATTAGCCGCTAATGGACTTATACTGACTATTCAGTCAATTGCCGAGAAGGAAGAAGTTAAGTTTTTATCACAAATGAAACTTATTGATCAGATCCCTTTAACTATTTCAACCGCTAGAGATATATCACTTAGAATAAGAAATTTATCAAAGGAATTTAAAGGATATTCTGATCCTTCTGAATTTGATCGTAAGCTTATTACCAATTTCTACTTTGGTTTATTATCTAATAGATTCCAACCATGTTGGCAAGCAGTATATGAATCTTTACCTGAATTGGGTGAATCATGTTCCAAGAATATATGGGAATTATCTTATAAACTTATCACTCTTGATTATAAACAATCATTTATATATTATTCATCGATAGAAGAAGATTTCGGAATTGATAGTGATTTAATAAATTGGCAACCCCATAATTCTCGTCTTAAAGATAATTTCATTACGTTTGAAAACAGATATTTTGATAAGTTTAGAAATACTAAACGATCAATTTTAACGTATGCTGAAGATTCGAGAGAAAAGAATATCTATAGTTCATTAATGAGAAGTCAAGTTCTAGAAGGTCTTTCCCATATTGCCTATATTGCTGAACAACATTCAGAACCATTAATTAAATTATTATTGAACAATCAGGCTGAAGATGGAGAATCAGGTTCAACTTCTGAAGTATCATGGCCACTTAAGGATAGAAATGAACTTGTTAAATTATTCACAAAATTCAAGCGTCTTCGTAAGGTTAATAATAGTTCCCAAATTTATGATCATTTCATGAAATTACTTGCAAATAAACTGCCACCAGTTCAAAAGTTAGCATTAGAGGCTCTCTTTAGTTGGGGTATTCCTACTGTCAATAAATATAGAGATAACTTAAGGAACTTACTTGATGATTCTATTTTTAAAGATGAGCTTGCTAATTTCATTAAGAATGATGGATCAGATAGTTCAATTGAAGAAGCTGATATTGAGAAATTAATGCCCTTTGTGTTAAGAATTCTTTTTGGGAGAGTTCAAGGATCTCCTCGAAGTAATAGTAAAGCAGGAAAGAAATTTGCTGTTATATCTGTATTACCTAATTTTTCTAATGAATGGATTATAGAATTTATTAAACTAGGAGCTGATAAGATTGGCTATGAAAGTTACTTTACAGATGAAACTTTACCCGAGTTTAATAGTGCCAATATTAGAAGAATTAGTGGGTTTATTAACTTATTAACTGAGATATATGGTACTTTAGGATCTCAATATAATGAAGCTTTGAAGTTCTCAGTAGAACCTTTAGTATTTTCATTAGTTGTTGCTCAAAAGACAATTGATATAGAGAAAGATTCTGCAAAAGATACAGATACAGATACTGAAACTGAAACTGACATACAGATAGAATCAGTTGAAGTAAATGTTAATGATGACAAAGCTGCTCGTAATATTAGACAAATGGGTATGAGATGTTTAAATGATTTATTCAAATTAGTTGGAGAAAGATATGATTGGAATGAACAAATGCCTATTATCTATAATAATTTGATTAAACCAAGACTTTCACACTTTGCTCAAGAAAATTTACAACAAGTATCTTCATTAATGAAGATAATAGTTAATTGGATTGATAATGAGAATAGTATTCCATTCTTATATTTGGATAATCTTGCTCCAGTTAATGCTATTACTTCCTTATTTGGATCTAAGAAAGCTAAAGAAGTAGTAATATCAGAAGTATTAGAGTTTTCTATTAAAGCTCTTAAAAGGAAAGTTACTAATGATAATTATTTTACTTTATTGGCATTAATTGTGGATGCTTTATTAAAACATTTACCAATTATGATAGATAATGTATCTGATCGTGAGACTACTTCTAAAGTAGTAAATATCTTATTACTCTTAATAGATGGTGGATATATTGATGAATCTAATACAAAGGCTCAATTAATTAAATCATTAACTAAGGCTCTTGAAAAGCCTCAAGCACAAATCACTACTGAAGATAGAGCTAGTATTATAATTGCTATTTCATCATTGTTAAATGACTATGATTGTACTTTTGAAGATATTCAAGATTTATATACTTCATGTTCTAAACTTTTCAGATTACATCCAGAAAGAAAAATTAGAGAAACATTAGTAGGAGTATTTAAAAGTATTGCCATCAAGTTTGATGAGTATGAAGTAGTAGCTTCACTTCTTGAAGGATTAAATTCATATTCTCAAAAGAGAATGCAAGAGTTAGATTTTGAAAAGAGAATAGATAGCTTCAATAAGATTAATGAAGAATACTATAAGAACTTGACACCAACTCAATGGGTCCCACTTATTTCTTGTGCATTATTCTTTATTAATGATGCTTCAGAATTAGTCATAAGAACCAATGCTGCTTATCTCTTGAGAAGATTTATCGATTGCTATTCAGCTTTAGATGAACAAGAAAATGCTATGCCATATATTTCTATGCTTAAGAATTTTATTTTACCTCATATTAGAATTGGTCTTAGAAAGGAAAATGAAGATCTTCAAACTGAATATATATCTGTTTTAGAACATATTGTTGTTCATTCACAATATTTTGATGAATTACAAGATATGAAAATCCTTACATTCCATAATGATGATGAATCAAATTTCTTTAAAAATGTCAATCATATTCAACTTCATAGACGTCAAAGAGCTATTAAGAGACTTCAAGAATATGGTCATGAATTAAATGCAAGTTCTATATCTCATTATATCTTACCAATAATTGAAAGATATGCATTTTCAGAAGATGAAAAGTTTAAGAATATTGCTATTGAAACTATAGAAACTATTAATTATCTTATTCGTTCAGTAACCTGGAATCATTATAAGGCGGTATTTAAAAGATATATTAGTAATTTAAAGAATTCCAAACAATCTCAAATTAAAACTCATGTTAATATGATTGTTTCAGTTTCTAAGGGATTCTTAGCATCTATTAAAGCTAAAGAAGATCCTGATAAGATTGTAAGAAATCTTCCTGGACTGCAATTAGATATTGATGACTTTATATTAAAAGAAATATTTCCTTCAATTATTAAGATTTTGGTAATTAGAAATGATGAAACAATAGTGGCTAGATCTCCACTTGCTGAAGCTTTGGCTAGTTTAATTGTATGTGTTTCAGAAAATTTAATTGAATCTGAATTACCAGGTATTCTTACTAGTACTTGTCAAGTTATGAGATCTAGATCTGAAGAATTAAGAGATGCTGTTCGTAAAACTTTAGGAAATATTTTAAATTTATTAGGTCCAAAATATTTAAGATTTATCTTAAAAGAATTAAAGACAGCTTTATCAAGAGGATCTCAAATTCATGTATTAAGTTATACAGTTCATTATTTACTTGTATCAATTTCAAATTCTTTAAGTCATGGAGATTTAGATGATTCTGTTGATCTTATAGTTGAAGTTATTATGGAAGATATCTTTGGTGCTGCTGGTCAAGAAAAGGATGCTGAAGGTTATACCAGTAAAATGAAAGAAGTTAAATTCAAGAAAAGTTTTGATAGTGGAGAAATAATTAGTAGTAATATTCATATTACTTTATTTGGTGAACTTATTAATCCAATTAAATTACTTTTACGTGAAAATATCTCTCTTAAGACTCAAAATAAACTTGATGAATTATTAAGAAGATTTGCTTTAGGATTAAATCATAATGATGAAGCTAGTTCTAAGGATGTTCTTGTATTATGTTATGAGATTTATAAACAATCAATTCCATTAGATTCTTCAAAACAAGAAGTTAAAAGATCTGCATCAGAAAACCATTTCTTAGTCAATTTGAATGCTAAAACAAATAAATCACATCTTAATAGTCAACAATTAACTAATACATTACAAAAATTAAGTTTTGAATTATTAAGTACTGTCATATTAAGAACTGAATCACTTTTAGTACCAAACTTACTTGTGGGATTCATACCTTTATTAGATGAAGGACTTAAATCTGATAATGAAAGTGTAGTAATTGCTTGTTTAAAGGCATTAAATATCATTATTCGTCTTGAATTCTCTGATGAAGAGAATGCTATTTTCAAATCAGCGATAAGAAAATCATTAACAATCATTAAGGATACTCCATCAACAAATTCAGAAATATCACAAGCATCTCTTAAGTTTCTTGCAACAGCCCTTAGAAATAAATCAGATGTTGGATTAAAGGATTCAGCTTTTTCATATGTTCTTAGTCGAATTCTTCCTGATTTAGAAGAACCAAATAGACAAGGTTTGGCATTTAATTTTGTTAGAGCAATAGTTTCACAACATATAATGTTACCAGAAGTTTATGATACAATGGATAAAATTTCAAAAATTATGGTAGTAAATCATTCGAAAGAAATTAGAGATATGTCCAGAAGAATATATTTTCAATTTTTAATGGAATATGATCAAGGTAGAGGGAAATTAGAGAAACAATTTAAATTCTTAGTAAACAATTTAGGATATGCTACTGAAGCTGGTAGACTGTCAGTAATGGAATTAATTCATCTAATTGTATCCAAAGCAGGCTTGGAATTGTTACAGAAGATTTCCTCTTCTTTTTTTGTCGCCTTATCCAATGTGATTGTTTCTGATGAATCCCCAAGATGTAGAGAAATGGCAAATGCTTTAATTTCTACTATCATTTCCAAGTTAGGAGAGGAAAATTTATCTGGAATTGAAAAATACTGCTCAGGTTGGATGGTTCAATCGAATAATATGCTATTAAAAAGATGTGGGTTAATCATTTACAAACTTTACATAAATGCTATTGGATTTTCAACAAATGTCTCATTAGATAAGGTAGCTCTTGATAATGTGTATAAGATAATTGAAATGTCAAGTGGAGAGAATGATACTCAAATCGAATGGGAACTTGTTTATTCATCATTATCAGTATTTTCTGCAATTTGTGGGAAATTGAAAGATGATGTGTTTGGTAAAGAATATGAAAACATTTGGAAGTCAATCGTAAATGTATTATTGTTTCCACATGCTTGGGTTAGATTAATTTCTACTAGATTAATTGGAATTTTATTAACTGGAGTTGATAAATTATCGTTTGATTTATCTAGTTATACAATTCAAACCATTGCCTATAGATTACTAAGACAAATTGTTGCACCCACTATAACAGAAGATCTTGGATCACAAATTATCAAGAATTTGGTGGTGATTGCTTTGAAATGGGAGAATGATAAAACCAAATATGAAATAAAAGAGGATAGTAATAATAATAATAATAATAATAATAATAATAATAATAATAATAATAATAATAATGATGGAGATGATGATGAAAAGTTTGATTCAGCCAATGATTTCCTTTTAAGTAGAATTTGCTTTACATTAAGGCAAGAAAGAACATCATCGGTTGCTAAAAAATGTGGAATCAAGTTCTTGGCAATGTTTGCTCAAATAATAAGTGAAGAGAGACTATTGAAAACATCAGAAGAAATTTTATTGTCCTTATATAATTTTACAGAAATAAATTCATCCGAAGGAAGTGATGAAGAAGAGATCTCGAATTTAACATTAGAATGTATGAACTTAATTGAAGAAAAGTTGGGTGTATCTGCCTACACAAAAATATATTCACAAGTTAAACTGAAAGTCAATATTAGAAGACAAGAAAGAAAGACTAAACGAGCACAATTAGCTGTAAGTGCACCTGATGTTGCAGCTAAAAGAAAGCTAAGAAAGCATGAAAGAACAAGAGAAAAGAGAAAACACGAAAAGGATGAAAACGGTTACTACCGTAGCAAAAAGAAAAGATTTACATAGATAATTTTACTTCATATAATGTACATAACAAATAATAAATTTAATCTATTAATAATGCTAATAATTCTACTCAGTAGGTTCATCTTTAACTGACTTATCTTCATTTTCATGGTTCACTATGGTTGACGTATCATTGGTTTCAGCTACAGGCTCGGTTTCTGTTTCTGCTTCACCTTCTGCATCAACTTCAGCCTCAGCTTCGTCTTCTATTTCTTCCTCAACTTCTTCTTCTTCTTCAACTCCTCCGTCTTCTTCATGATCATTTTCAACTATCGATGAATCAAAATCATTAACGTTAGAATCCACAGGTTCTGGGGTATCTATTGGAGTGTCTGTATCCGTTATTTGAGCCTTTAATACGGGTTTTCCGTCCCCTTCATCTTTTTGTTTTTTCTGATTATATACTTCCATCTCTTTTTCGTACCTTACCTTATCATCAATATATAGCTTATAATATGGTTTCTTTTCTTCTTCATCTAAACTTTTCCATGCTTCCGTCATACTCTTTGAAAGATCACTGACAACACCAGGATTTTTCTCTTCATTTTCTTTCTTGATTTTCTCCTTCTCCATATCACAAAATATCAAATAAGCATTTGTTGGTCTCTTTGGCATGTCAGGATCTCGTATTTTTTGCTTAACAGTAGAAGAGCCATTAGTACTCTCCCCGGTATTTGAACTAACCAACTTGACTTTTTTGGTACCTTTCTTGGCTGGTCCACTTTTAGTACTGGTTGGAGCAACATTCAAAGATTCGTCCAATACACTGGGGGTTGGAGGAGAAGCCATTTCTTCAAAACCTCCAATCCCAGAAGGGATCTGCGTTGCTCTATCTTCCAATCTTTCTAACAAAATGGCATATTCTAATCGCAACCTCCTAGTGGCTGCTTTTGTTCTCATCAAGGCAATTGTTGCTATTTCATTGCTCTCTTCAACTTCGGTTATTCTCCTCTTCAATTCCTTGCATTTCTGCTTATATTTTTGCTCTGAATAAAGTTAGTCACAATTCAAATCACAAATTTATATCACATAGTAAACACATACCTTCACTTTCAGGAGCAGTTTCCTTTACCAGTTGCTTCATTGCACTCGTTAGCCATAGACTATTGAAATTCCAAGTGTGTGTCGTACAACTAAATCTTCAGTCGGGCTTTTTTGTTATAAATTATTTTGCAAAGTGGCACGACCATTTTGAACCTTTTTTGTAGCTGCAAAACTGCCTGGTTAGGGCCTACATGAACCTGTTATTCAAGAAGTGAAGTGAATATGCCTATACAAAAATATTTATTTACATAGGTCATTCGCCTCAAATATAAAGGTAAGAGACAAATTTAAAATTTTTATAATTATAGCCATCCAATTAACCACTATAGATACATGTGAACTGGAATTTCTCGTTCACAGGAATTACAAATCATAAGCTCCATCAAGATGCTTCAGAAGATGGAAATCATAAACCTCCAGCAACAATTATATAAACAACTCTGTCTACTTAACAACTTCATTCAAAAATATAAGATTATAAGCATGTAACTAACCGACAGCTTTTTTTCCAGCTCTCAACTAAATCAAAATTCCGTCCTGTCAGGAAACTAAATTCGAATTCACGGTGTCAAAAGCCGTCTTAATTATTAATTAATTCGTCATAGACCTCGCTGCCTCAAACGCACTATTTAACAATCCTACAAGAGTTAAGCAAATAAAAAATCCCAAATTGGCTTAATTCAGTGGACAGGACAGAAAACTCTATCACTGTTGGAATAGTTAGAATCCAATATGTAATTAAAAAGAGATCAAACAGAAATTAAATGGAAATTAAACAAAACAGAATCGAGATTGCCAGCGGTTTCTAATATCATGGATAAGTATATATTCCATATAATAAGCATGATAATATAAGCATTTTATTGACACTCAAGATAAAATCATTTACATTCAAACAAACAAAGAATTCGATGATCTTTCACAAATTGAAGTCCGCACGACAATCAGGCAAAACAACCGTCTTCATATTTATAACCAATACACAATTACATGTATAATAGTCAATTATTAAGCAAAATATGTATAATCTCTCAGAAATCCGTCTCTACACTTCAAATGAATAAAATGATAATAAAACTATCCTCTATTACGTGAAGTACTTAATTCTCTCTCACAAAAGAATTTTATATACATCAAATTTCAAATTAACCATAAATGAACGAAAATTGAAAGTGAGTAACACATCCGAACAAACAAAACAAGCAATCAGCAAACACTTCACTTATGTACCTAACTTAAGAGTAGAAGTCTACATAAAGAAGTTATAGAATACAAATCCTGGTTGGATTAAGAGATAAACCTTTGAAAAATTAAGCAGACCAAAGGGAAAACTTTCAGAATAAAACACCCATGACAACCCTAGGCCTATTCAAATTACTTAACAATCCTAATCAGCTCTATTCTCATCATTTCCTTCTTTCATCTCTGAACAACTAAACCTTCCTCAAATGACCTTCTAATGCTATACAAAATGCTTAAATTAATCATGGCTCATCATATTTTACCTTAATTATTATTCCAGATGATATACACCTCCAAAACCTCCGTTTTCATTAATACGAGCCTAGCATCACATCGTTGCAGAATCTGACCATTAGAAACAAAGGATGATCTTATCCTTAATAAACAAAGCCTACAGTACGAATTGGAACCACTTAGTTGTTCATTAAATTCAATTTCATACTCCCCAACGCTTTGCCATACTGAAACATTATATCACATCCTATAAACCCATCAAAACAATGTTTCTGGTATATTCTACCACTTATAACTAATTAACTAAGGAGCTATCGCTAAACAAATCCAAGTTGAACAAAGCAAAATATATGCTAAATTATGATTCAATATCTGGACTCCTTTCTAAACTTCCCAAACCACCAAAATATCAATCGAAAAACTTCATCGATTCTACCAGGGAATCAATTGAAATAATCCTTTGGTGATCTAGACGTTGTGGATTTGCGACGACCAATTAACGGTATCTTATGTTGAATAATTATATCACAATTTTCATTACTCCTTTCACATATTACACGAACTAGGTTATAGTTAAGTCCTCGATCTCATAACGACATCATCAATATCGTCATTCAATTTTCAATCACATAACCAGATCATCGATATATTAAATTAAGTAGAGTCTGAGGTCTTTAAAACAAACACTTATACCAATCATAGCTACTATACAAAACCTTTATACTTATATCATAGGCAATTGAGTTCTATTTATTCCTCTCAGCACAGGATATTCCTACGCTTTGTTTCGTATGATTACTGACCAGATACTATCCTAAAAGTCATCTGTCGTTCGTTCTTCAATCTCACAATCAGATCATCGATATCTTGTACATCTAGAGTTATTCCATAGTTGAATGTCTCTTAAACAAATACTTATATGTTGGATAGATATGTGTCTACAGGCCTACATTACTCTACAAGCTAGTAAATCTATACTTGGTAGTATATATTCATTTTATATCCATATTGCTTAACTTATAAAAAGAAGTTATATTTATTCTAAATCGCCTCACCTAGAAGGAGGTGACTTTTATATTCATGTCGATCCTGCATAGCACATGCATTCTTGGCATAACCTGCATATAGCATATGCGCTACCAATCACAACTAAATATGAAATACCAAACATATCAACATCCTCCCTTAATTCATATTTTGTTTGAATCTAATAAAGGTTAATTTCTCTATCCTTCAATCATACTGTGTCCTATCCCATCTGCATTAATATATGGTTTTGGATTCCATAACATCTGTTAATATTCTGGAGTAACATCCTCCCTGAATTTCATATTTCGGAAATTCTTCATCTTTTCCGTATTGTTGGATTTCATTCCAAAAGGCTGCTATTATATTCCTTTTTTTTTTTTTTTTTTTTTTTTTTTTAACCCTAGCTTCAAGTCATTGTGGTATTACCTATTGACTGTTTAATATTGATCTACTACAGACATTATTGTCAATCCTTTTTCACAGATCAAGTTACTCTGATTTAATCTCAATTCCTTTGACAGTTCTTTTCTATTTCAATATGTTATTTCAACCATCAGGTCATAAAAGACCACCGCCATTACTTATAAAAAGAGTATTGTAATCTTCCAAGGATCCTAATATTGTTTCTCATCTTTTATCCGGACTACACTAAATTAATCTCTTAGGCTTCCTATACTTCTTGTATTTCTTGTACCTCTTGTACTTCTTGTACTTCTTGTACCTCTTGTACCTCTTGTACCTCTTGTACCTCTTGTACCTCTTGTACCTCTTGTACCTCTTGTACCTCTTGTACCTCTTGTTCTGCTGTTACTAAAATTCTTATACACGTCCTGTATTTCTTATATCTCATCTTCAGATTAAATATACAGGGTATATTGTGCATATATTTGTTGAATTACGATTCTATGGTCTAGTTCACGTCCATGACCATTTCATGTTTTAAATTTCAAGTCTTCATTCATTCTTTGAAATTTGAATTTATACTTAATAGGCAATTTTAATTCTCGCTTGTTAATCTCACAATTTTAGTCGAGTTCCGCATCCATTAGTTCTTTAATGTTTCTATTGTCGATGATATAACCAATCACATTGTATATCCCATCGCACACTTATCCCTAATATCATCCTCCCTTAAGCTAAAGAAACCTTGAGAATGAAGCTTACCAGAAAACTATAATTAGGGTAGAAACATCGTTCTAATAATCACCCGCAGAGAAAATAGTAGGATTGCCAATATATTTATCATTGCAAGTAGGAAAAGCGAAAAAGCAATATAATACATCATGATGTCCATAATTGCCTACCTGCAGCTTTATAAATGGGTTGCTCGCCAAACACGACGAGAGTCATTTATATTCTGGTGCCAAATATACATCAAATACGTGCCAAACATGCACCAAACCTGTGCCAAATATGCACCAAACAGGCACCAAATATATGCCAAACATGTGCTAAATCAGCACCAAATATGTGCTAAATAAGCACCGCTACATTCTAAACAGTAGCAAATGATGACCTTATGTCAACAAATTGTAACCAACCACTAAGTGCTGTGCTGCCATACTACCCTCGAACATATGTAGTCAATGGCCGGAGATTCCATCACATGGAGAGCACCTCCTTCCAATGGAATAATCTCAAGTACACAAATAAACATGGTGTTACATTAGAAAAACACTGACTGAATAATCAAACCTTGCTACCAACAAAAGGTATATTCAGCCACAGGGTTGCCCAAATATCAGTTCAATATTGGTAATTGACAGCTGATCTGCTACTAGTCCTACAACATAGTACCCATCAACCACCCAGAGCCACATCTACAGTGCTGTTAAGTAGGGTGTCAAAATTTGATGGTACTATGACTAGCCAAAAAATTGAATCCTGAAGTATCTCTAGCCTACTTCTTAAGGGCATATTCTCTAATATCCCTATTCGTGAAGAGCAATCTTGTCTTCAGGCATTCCATAATAGGAGTCTGCAACCGTATAAATACTTCCTATTACATTGCACTAAGTCCATATAACAATGACTGAAAATGACTTTAAAAAACTGACAACCAAGCTAATGGTGTCCTGCTGGTAGCCTCCGTTCCTACGAACGTTGTACTGTAATTTCGAACAGTACCATATAACTGTTATTGATCTCCAACCCACAGGTAAATTAACGAAATAATGTATCAATCAAGCTTAACCTTTTCCTTATAATAATCGCACCAACATTTTAAAAAACTAAATTCCGTTGGTCTGCTGCTATCTAATACCTTATGAAACATAACCATATCTGTGTCGCAGCACATGGTATATCTAACTGTGACCATTGTCTTCTCAAGACTGTCGGATGAAGGTCCCACGGCATTCGCATAATACAATATGTACATATGCCGACTTCATCTGGTCATTTTCTTCAGCATATGCGTCTCACTTACCGTAACATATGCTGAAAACTCTATCAACCTTATTTGCCAAGATCTTCAATTCTTGTGCTTCTTCTAGGAGCAAATTAACAATATCGTCGTGAGCAACCTTCGGGCTTTGTATAATACACTTCCCGTTTTATAATGACGCATTCAATAATTGCAAATTGGGAACATTTCCAAGAGCGTCATCTAGAGGCAAATTAACTTGCCATATATATGAGCGTTCTTCGTTGAACCCAGTATCGTGAAACATAAAGTTATACAAACTTCAATCATGTTTCATTCTATTACTGCTGAGTCACGATTGTATAAAAAAAAAATAAATTCTTTTGCCAGACGTTGGTAAAATGTGTTATTAATCTCCAAGGGTTTAGTCCTCCTAAAGAGCTGTCTGATAATCGATCTCAAAATCGTTAACATATCGTGTAATAAAGATTTACCAGAACAAATACTAAAACCACTTCAAGAACTTAAGTAAAATGTCATACCAATACATGATAACATTACATGATTATTGCAACTCATTACTTTCTGAAGAAGGTGCTGTTGATAATTCAAGTGAATACCATAATTCATTTCAAGAACAATTCCAAAAACAAATCTATTCTAAAAGTAATTCCAAAATAATTTCAAAAATAATTATTCTACACTAGAGTAATCCTAACTCTAGATTTCCATTGTGAGCACCAAAGACTGTTTGTTAAAAAATGCCCGTAATGTACCTCTCAAGACTTAAAACACTACCCTCCGTGTTCATATTTAAAACAATAATATATCTCTTATCAAATTATTAGGGTACTATCATCGAGTGACGATTTTAATCAAATCAATCATATGTATTGCCACTTGCTTTCCATATAATCTAAGTTGTACATCCTTTCACGGCATATCATTCTTAACATCTTTCGCTATGCTCACATTAAATAACTTTCTCATCAGCCATTTCAAAAGATAATCGAATATCTCTAATTCTTTTGCTGATACATTCAAAAGGAGTCATGGATCTTTATTAAGAGTACACTGCTGTTTTGCCATCGATATTCGTATCTGACCAATCATGGTGTATCAAAACCAGCTTCAAACATAAAAGCATCCATGCTCAGCAATTCGACCAGTTCGTTACTTTATAAACGATCCCAAAAATACTAATCATGTAAATCAATGTTGATATGTTTGGTATTTCATATTTAGTTGTGATTGGTAGCGCATATGCTATATGCAGGTTATGCCAAGAATGCATGTGCTATGCAGGATCGACATGAATATAAAAGTCACCTCCTTCTAGGTGAGGCGATTTAGAATAAATATAACTTCTTTTTATAAGTTAAGCAATATGGATATAAAATGAATATATACTACCAAGTATAGATTTACTAGCTTGTAGAGTAATGTAGGCCTGTAGACACATATCTATCCAACAAGTTATGAGCCCTGATAAGTGTCTTGGTCTTATTCGTTCAAGTTCTAGTAAGAAAAGGCCAGTGAACGAGATAAGTTACAGTGAAGTTTGACGATTCTGATGAAAGTAGTAGGAATTTTGATGATGTTATTGTATTGAATAAGTTGTCGGTACTATTGTTAATGTTAGGTTATACATGATACGTTAAGTTGAGAGGTTGTTGAATGTGTACTTTGATGAAATATTAGTAATCAATTTTTGGTTTAAGTAACATGATCTTATCTAACTATATTAACAGAGAAATAGTCAAAAATTAAAGAAGTAACAATAGTTTGATTAAATTGTCTTAGGAAATGATTATATGACATCAGAAGCAAATAATTAGATGATTTGATTTACATGATTAGTATTTTTGGGATCGTTTATAAAGTAACGAACTGGTCGAATTGCTGAGCATGGATGCTTTTATGTTTGAAGCTGGTTTTGATACACCATGATTGGTCAGATACGAATATCGATGGCAAAACAGCAGTGTACTCTTAATAAAGATCCATGACTCCTTTTGAATGTATCAGCAAAAGAATTAGAGATATTCGATTATCTTTTGAAATGGCTGATGAGAAAGTTATTTAATGTGAGCATAGCGAAAGATGTTAAGAATGATATGCCGTGAAAGGATGTACAACTTAGATTATATGGAAAGCAAGTGGCAATACATATGATTGATTTGATTAAAATCGTCACTCGATGATAGTACCCTAATAATTTGATAAGAGATATATTATTGTTTTAAATATGAACACGGAGGGTAGTGTTTTAAGTCTTGAGAGGTACATTACGGGCATTTTTTAACAAACAGTCTTTGGTGCTCACAATGGAAATCTAGAGTTAGGATTACTCTAGTGTAGAATAATTATTTTTGAAATTATTTTGGAATTACTTTTAGAATAGATTTGTTTTTGGAATTGTTCTTGAAATGAATTATGGTATTCACTTGAATTATCAACAGCACCTTCTGTTGATATGTTTGGTATTTCATATTTAGTTGTGATTGGTAGCGCATATGCTATATGCAGGTTATGCCAAGAATGCATGTGCTATGCAGGATCGACATGAATATAAAAGTCACCTCCTTCTAGGTGAGGCGATTTAGAATAAATATAACTTCTTTTTATAAGTTAAGCAATATGGATATAAAATGAATATATACTACCAAGTATAGATTTACTAGCTTGTAGAGTAATGTAGGCCTGTAGACACATATCTATCCAACAAGTTATGAGCCCTGATAAGTGTCTTGGTCTTATTCGTTCAAGTTCTAGTAAGAAAAGGCCAGTGAACGAGATAAGTTACAGTGAAGTTTGACGATTCTGATGAAAGTAGTAGGAATTTTGATGATGTTATTGTATTGAATAAGTTGTCGGTACTATTGTTAATGTTAGGTTATACATGATACGTTAAGTTGAGAGGTTGTTGAATGTGTACTTTGATGAAATATTAGTAATCAATTTTTGGTTTAAGTAACATGATCTTATCTAACTATATTAACAGAGAAATAGTCAAAAATTAAAGAAGTAACAATAGTTTGATTAAATTGTCTTAGGAAATGATTATATGACATCAGAAGCAAATAATTAGATGATTTGATTTACATGATTAGTATTTTTGGGATCGTTTATAAAGTAACGAACTGGTCGAATTGCTGAGCATGGATGCTTTTATGTTTGAAGCTGGTTTTGATACACCATGATTGGTCAGATACGAATATCGATGGCAAAACAGCAGTGTACTCTTAATAAAGATCCATGACTCCTTTTGAATGTATCAGCAAAAGAATTAGAGATATTCGATTATCTTTTGAAATGGCTGATGAGAAAGTTATTTAATGTGAGCATAGCGAAAGATGTTAAGAATGATATGCCGTGAAAGGATGTACAACTTAGATTATATGGAAAGCAAGTGGCAATACATATGATTGATTTGATTAAAATCGTCACTCGATGATAGTACCCTAATAATTTGATAAGAGATATATTATTGTTTTAAATATGAACACGGAGGGTAGTGTTTTAAGTCTTGAGAGGTACATTACGGGCATTTTTTAACAAACAGTCTTTG